GAAATATGTTCGTGAAGTATTACCCTCTTATACAATACATATTCTATTATTTTTTTTCTATTTTTTTTTTTGACTTGAATGGTAAAATAAGGTGTAGGCGGCTATTTCCAATTAACTTTTGGAATATAAAACCAGAATATAACAAAGTAAATCCTAGTTAATGTAATGATATATACCAACTGGATCTAAAGTGATACTTTCAAAAAGGTATGTGCTATTCATTGTTTTGCCGACCAGTTGGGAGGAACCAATGTATTTATATATGTATATATATAAGCTTACAAAAGAAACCAAGCTGAGGAAATATTGATAACTTCCTAAAAAAAGGTTTAGAATATACCACTTTAATTATTCTAACTATATATATGTTTGAATTACAACTAGTTATAGAATAACTTAGTTTTAAATATTCGATCAAATGGGGAAATAATTTTGAAAGTCTTCATCACGTGATTTGTTTAAGTTGAGGTTACCCTCTATTATAAAAGTTGTCTTTTTTGAAGTTCATTTTTGAAATTTTCCTTTTCTTCTAGCCCCCCCTATTCTGGACACCGCGGTGAGGTAAAATATAGCTTTGCACGACACAGGTCTCCCACAGGGAATCAGTTAGATGCTAGACAAACAGTTGAAACAGATATAGCCAAAAAAAAAGATACCTAAAATACTATATGCTGTCGCGGTAAGTGAGCCACTGGATATGGTACGTTACCAAAAATTATACACCAACAATATTTGCGTTTTGCATTTGTGAATTGTTCAAGAAAATAAAAAAAAAAGAAAACAGATAAAGATAAATACACATTTGAGGGAAAAGATATTATATATATAAGTTATACTTTCTTTCATCTTATTACAATTCATTCCTTTTTCTTTAAATTACAACTAACTGACACTACACTCATAACAATAGTATAACTCTACACCCCTCGTTATAATGAGTGATTTGCCAATTGAATTCACTGAACTAGTGGATCTGACATCATTAGGGATTTCCCCTCAATCTCTTGATTTCAGATCAACTACTTTTGAAAGTGACCATTATGTTACCGTCAGAGAAACTACAGACGGAAACAATTCTGTCGCTATCGTCGATTTAACTAATAATAATGAAGTTACAAGGAAAAATATGGGTGGTGATTCTGCAATAATGCACCCTTCTCAAAATGTTATCTGTGTTAGAGCAAATGGTACAATTGTTCAAATTTTTAATTTGGAGACCAAGACAAAATTAAAGAGCTTCACTTTAGATGAACCAGTAATCTTTTGGAAATGGCTTGATGATGAATCCCTAGGTTTTGTTACAGCTAGATCTATCTTAGTCTCTGAAGTATTTGATGGAAACGTTAATGCAAAGCCAACAGCTTTAACAATGAGACATGCAAATTTAAATAACACTCAAATTATCAATTTTGTAGCAAATAAGAAACGTGATTGGTTTGCTGTAGTAGGGATTCTTCAAGAAAATGGCCGTATTGGTGGTAAAATCCAATTATACTCTAAACAACGTAATATTTCTCAAGCAATTGATGGTCATGTTGCGATTTTCTCAGAGATTGTCCTTGAAGGTAATGGATCTGTACCTGTTCAAGTCTTCGTCACAGGTAATAGAAATGCCACTTCAGGTGTTGGTGAATTGAGAATGATAGAAATTGATCATGATCAAAATGTTCCAGTTCAATACCAAAAGAATACTAGTGATATTTTTTTCCCTCCTGATGCCACTAATGATTTCCCAATTGCTGTTCAAGTTTCAGAAAAATATGGTATCGTTTATTTATTAACCAAGTATGGTTTCATCCATCTATATGAATTATCCACTGGTACTAACTTATTTGTTAACAGAATTACTGCAGAATCAGTCTTTACTGCTACTTCTTACGATAATAAGAATGGTATTGCTTGTATTAACAAAAAGGGTCAAGTGCTTTCTGTTGAAATTGCTACTAGTCAAATTGTTCCATACATTTTGAATAAATTATCCAATGTCTCTCTAGCATTAACAGTAGCTACCAGAGGTGGTTTACCTGGTGCTGACGATTTGTTAAGTAAACAATTCGAGTCATTATTGGCTCAGAATGATTACCAAAACGCCGCCAAGGTTGCTGCTTCTTCCCAATCTCTAAGAAATCAAAACACCATTAACAGATTAAAGAATGTTCAAGCCGCTCCAGGCGCAATCTCTCCAATTCTATTATATTTCTCCACTTTATTAGATAAAGGTAAATTAAACAAAGAAGAAACTATCGAATTAGCTAGACCTGTCCTGCAACAAGATAGGAAGCAATTGTTCGAGAAATGGTTAAAAGAGGATAAACTAGAATGTTCTGAACAATTAGGTGATATCGTGAAACCATTTGATACCACATTAGCCCTAGCTTGTTACCTAAGAGCCAACGTTCATGCAAAGGTCATTTCTTCTCTAGCAGACTTGCAACAATTTGATAAGATTCTACCATACTGTGAAAAGGCCAATTATCAACCAAATTTCATTGTCTTGATCTCTACTATCATCAGTTCTTCCCCAGATAGAGCTTCTGAATTTGCTCAATCTTTATTACAAAACCCAGAAGTTGCTGCTGAATTAGATATTGAAAAAGTCGCCGATTTATTCTTCTCCCAAAACCACATCCAACAAGGTACCTCCTTGTTATTGGATGCACTAAAGGGTGATACTCCAGATCAAGGTCACTTACAAACACGTGTATTAGAAGTTAACTTACTACATGCCCCACAAGTCGCTGATGCCATTTTAGGTAACAATATTTTCTCCCATTATGATAAGCCAACAATTGCTTCTTTAGCTGAAAAGGCTGGTTTATTCCAAAGGGCTCTAGAAAACTACACTGATATCACCGATATCAAGAGATGTATCACTCACACAAACGCTCTACCAATAGACTGGTTAGTAGGCTACTTTGGTAAGTTGAATGTTGAACAATCATTGACTTGCCTAAAGGCTCTAATGGACGATAATTTGAAGGCTAATATCCAAATTGTTGTTCAAGTTGCAACTAAATTTACCGATTTGATTGGTTCTGCTACTTTGATTAAATTGTTCGAAGAATACAATGCCACTGAAGGTCTATACTACTACCTGGCTTCCTTGGTTAACTTAACCGAAGACTCAGATGTAGTTTTCAAGTATATTGAAGCTGCCTCCAAGATGTCTCAATTCAACGAAGTTGAGAGAATTGTAAGAGACAACAACGTTTATAACCCTGAAAGAGTTAAAAACTTTTTGAAAGATGCAAACTTGGAAAATCAACTTCCATTTATCATTGTTTGTGATCGTCACGATTTTGTTCATGAGATGGTTTTACACTTGTACAAGACCCAAAATATGAAGTACATCGAAACATACGTCCAACAAGTCAGTCCTTCTAAGACTCCACAAGTTGTTGGTGCTCTATTAGATATGGATTGTGATGAAAAATTCATTCAAGATTTATTACAATCTGTTCTAGGTCAGGTCCCAGTTAGTGAATTGACTACTGAGGTCGAAAAGAGAAATAGATTAAAATTGCTATTACCATTCCTTGAAAAGACTCTCGAATCTGGTACTCAAGACCAAGGTGTTTATGACGCTCTGGCCAAAATATATATCGATTCTAACAACTCCCCAGAAACCTTCTTAAAGGAAAATGACAAATATGATACTTTAGATGTTGGTCGTTACTGTGAAAAGAGAGACCCATACTTGGCTTACATTGCATACGAGAAAGGTTCGAACGATGATGATTTAATCAGAATCACTAATGAGAACAGCATGTATAAGTACCAAGCAAGATATCTGTTGAAACGTTCCGATCCTCAACTATGGAACAAGGTGCTTGACAGTGAAAATATCCACAGACGTCAACTGATCGATTCTGTTATTTCTGTTGGTATCCCTGAATTGACTGACCCAGAACCTGTCTCCCTGACTGTTCAAGCTTTCATGAACAATGATTTGAAACTTGAACTAATTGAACTTTTGGAAAAAATTATTCTAGAACCATCTCCTTTCAATGACAACGTTGCTCTACAAGGTCTACTACTGCTATCTGCTATCAAGTATGAACCAACTAAGGTTTCTACTTATATCGAGAAGTTGGACAAGTACGACGCTGATGAAATCGCCCAATTATGTATTGAACATAATCTAAACGAAGAAGCCTTTGAAATCTACAACAAACATGAGATGTTTGGTAAGGCTCTACAAGTGTTAATTGAGAATGTCATGTCTCTAGACAGAGCTGCTACATATGCCGACAAGATAAACACTCCAGAAATATGGTCTCAATTAGGTACTGCTCAACTGGATGGTTTACGTATTCAAGAATCCATTGACTCTTACATCAGGGCCGAAGATCCATCTAATTACGAAAATGTTATTGACATTGCTGAACAAGCTGAAAAGTTCGAAGAATTGATTCCATATCTATTGATGGCTAGAAAGACTAGAAAGGAAAGTAAAATCGATGGTTCCCTAATCTTAGCTTATGCTCATTTGGGCCAAATCCACGAGATCGAAAACGTAATTTCTGGTTCTACTGTTGCTAACTTAGACATTGTAGGTGACAAATTATTGGAAGCTAAGAACTATAAGGCTGCCAATCTATGTTTTGCTGCTGTTTCTAACTATTCTAAGTTGGCATCTACTCTTGTATATCTGGGTGATTATCAAGCTGCTGTCGATACTGCCAGAAAAGCTTCCAATATCAAGGTCTGGAAACTCGTTAATGATGCTTGTATCGATAAGAAAGAATTTAGACTTGCCCAAATTTGTGGTTTGAACTTAATCGTTCATGCAGAGGAACTAGAAGCGCTAGTTAACAAATACGAATCCAACGGCTACTTTGAAGAATTGATATCACTATTCGAAGCTGGTCTTGGGTTGGAAAGAGCTCACATGGGTATGTTTACCGAGCTAGCAATTCTATACTCCAAATATGACACATCTAAGACCTATGAACACTTAAAATTGTTCTGGTCTAGACTAAATATTCCAAAGGCTATCAGAGCTGTCGAAGAGGCCCACTTGTGGAACGAACTTGTTTTCTTATATGCTCATTATGATGAATGGGATAATGCTGCATTAACTATGATTGAGAAGTCCGCTGCTGACTTTGATCACGGTTACTTCAAGGAAGTTATTGTCAAAGTTGCCAATTTGGAAATTTACTTCAAGGCTATTAACTTCTACGTCAAGGAACATCCAACGTTATTGGTAGATTTATTAGCTGCTCTAACACCAAGATTAGATATTCCAAGAACTGTCAAATTGTTTACTAGTTCTGATAACCTTCCATTGATTAAGCCATTTTTGATTAACGTTCTTCAAAGAAACAATTCTGTGGTCAACCAAGCATACCATGATTTAATGATTGAAGAAGAAGATTATAAGGCTCTACAAGATGCCGTCGATTCCTACGATAAATTCGATCAATTAGGCTTAGCCGCAAGATTAGAAAAAAATGATCTAGTTTTCTTCAGAAAAATTGCTGCTATGCTTTACCGTAGAAATAAGAAATGGGGTAAGGCTCTGGCAATTCTAAAAGAGGATAAACTGTGGAAGGATTCCATCGAAACTGCTGCCATCTCACAAGATCCGAAGGTTGTGGAAGAACTTATTACATACTTTGTTGAAACAGACAATAAAGAATCTTTCGTTGCCCTGCTATATGCCGCATACAACCTAATCGACTTTGATTTTGTATTGGAAATTTCTTGGTTAAACAAATTAGATGATTACATCAGACCTTATGATATCTGTATCAGAAAGGAACAAAATGATAAGATAAATAAATTGTCCGAACAATCATCAAAAGGTGACGGCAATAACGATAACGATACTAGGGATGGACAACCACTAATGTTAATGAACAGTGCTATGAACATGCAATAAATCGGTTACTAATTCTGAAAACTTTCTATACCAAACCCTAGTCTTGATTGTTTTCCAGAGAATTCGAATTATATTGAAACCCATATAGTTTATCTGAGGGGATTTACTTAAAGATTTCACTATAATATAATATACAGGCTATTTTCGGAATTCTCTTTATTAACACATTCTTAATATAAGTTATGTATTTTTATATTTTCCTTTTAATTATAATGTATGATATTAAAATCTTATTAACATAATATACAACATATTCATTACTATATAAATGGAGATAAACGCTAACGATTTCTCTGTTTTAAAATATTTCCAAAATGGTTATGAATATCACGTTTTGAAAAATAAAACCATCAATCCTTGAAATTACCACCACGATCAGCTTTAGCAGCCTTTCTTTCTAGATCGTCCCAGTCATCACCTTCCTCCTCACTCTCCTCTGCACTATATTCCTCACTTCCATCGTCACTCATACTAGCGTCTCCAGAGTCTTCCTCAGAATAATCACTTTCATCTTCTGGTTCTTCTTCAGATGCCTCGTATTCACTTATTTCTTCTTCACTTTCATCAGAAGCTTCATCGTCAGAACCAGTTGCTAAGAATGACCAACCACCATCTAAGAAAAATTGATGTGGATCATCTTGAATAGATTTCATAATTGTACCCCAATTCAAATTGATTGTAGAAACGGTGTATGGAATATCCATATCTGTTAACCATTGTTTGACGAAATCAAGTGATTCTATTGGAACTGTATTTATATGGGTTACTGGTTTTTTAATATCTTTGTAGGCGAACACCATATCAAAATTTTTTAGGCCAAATTGAACTCTTTCAAGGATACAAATTTCAATTTCCTCAAGATTAACGACCATAAAAGGCGGTTCAACTAATTGGACCAAACAATCAGTTGTTGGCATACAATACACTGCAGATCTGTTTGGAACACCCTGGAAACCTAAATCTCTGAATGTACTCTCAACTGTAACTAAACCTCTTGATGCCTCTGCGATTGCATCTGCGAAGTATTTAAATTCTTTATCAAGGGCAGCACGTTTTCTTCTTTCTTCTTGTTCTTGTTCTAATTCATCTTCATCACCGTATCTTCTAAACTTATTCATACCACGTTTACCAGTACCAGTTTCATCAACAGACATATCGGAAGCTTCACGATAGAATTGCACATCTTGAATTTTCTTTTTACCCATCATGATAGGATTCTTTAAGTGAACATGAATAATAACGATCAGTTCACCTTTACAGGATTGAAAGACTAAATTCTTTATATTAGAAAACAGAATATCAATTCTAGAATCTGTCCTCAAAGGTGACTGATATCTAATACCATTTTCATGTATAAAAACAGTACTTGGGACACGCTTAGTATCTGGACTTGGTCTAACAAAAATTTGATCAAGTCTTTTAGTTCTACCTGTTTTATTCTCAATCAACTTGTCTTGATGAACAACATCAGCAAGTGCTTTCCGTTCTTGGTCTCTCTTGGTAGATTCCTTCTTCAAATCAGCAATTTGTTTGAAGGTATCACTGATACGATCGGCGTCCTTCGATCTTACTGTAATAGAACGAACAAACTGATTATCAGGGGAGTCATCATAAGGTAGTTCAATTACCTTTTTTGATATACCACCAGCAGATCCTGGTGCATGAAAATTCAAACGTAAATATGTATACTCACCTTCTTCATTCTTAGAACCATTCTTGTAAGAATTGATATGGAATGGAACCGGTCTACCGTAGATTGGAATAATAATAGTTTGAGTTTTCCAGTCAACATGTATTCTTAAATCACGTACATTGTTTGGAATTTGTGATTCATGTACATATGATTCGTATTTCTTGAAGTATGGTTGGGTTTCATTCCCAGTTACACTAGCATCTGCTTCAGAATATCTAACCAAACCATCCTTTTGTAATTTTTCGTGTAGCTTTCTTTGATTTTCTTTACGAATTTGTTCCTTTTGGGCATCATCTGATCCAGATCTACCATCCCCACGAAGTTTTGTTCTTAAGATCTTCGAATTTCTATCTTGGGCAGCAGAATTAACAGGTACCACAGGTTTCTTTTTTGCCTTTTCATCATCTTCTTCATTGTTAAAAAAGAAAGATATTTGAGTACGCGCCTTGGTTGAAGTCGTTAGAACCTTAGCAATTGGAATAGTGTCATTAGATAATTGCACTGTATCAGCCAATGCCAGAGCATATGTTTTACCGGACTTAGAATCCTTTAATCCATTGAACCCAAAGGATATGTTAAAACATTGTCCACCCGTAATTGCACGATTCTCATTTTTGCTATTCAAAATAAAACAGGAATCTCTAAATTCTAAACCAATCAAGAAACCAACATTTTTTGTGAAATTTTGCACAAGTTCCGAACGTTTTTCTTTAATATATTCAACAGTTTCATTATAAATTTGAGCCGGTGTCTTACCCTTCTTAATAATTTGGGAAACAACTTGTTCTTGTAATTCTAGCATGAAGTCGTAGTTTTTTATCATTTCTTCAGATGGGTCAATTAGAAATGTTCTTGTAATATTAGAACAATAATTGCTGTATCGAATACCACATGAAGCTAGAATACAACCATTGCCATATAATTGATCATTATTTGAACGAGCTGACACTTTCAAATCAAAAGATTCACCAGATTGAATGATTGGTGAATAAGTCCATTCTAAAAATTCAGAAGAATATTTTTGACCCGGTGGACAAAGTGGTCCAACGGTGGATCCAAGTTTATTAGTAAACTTATCATCCTCAATTTTATCCTCAATTTTATCAGATAATTGCGCATTTGTAATTTTTAATTCTTCGTCAACTGCACGAACCATTTCATCAGATAAGAAATCCATAAACAAATCGGAACATCTACTTGCAACAGAAAGTAGAGCTTGTTCAGTGTCGTCTTTGCTCTCCCATAAAGTAGATAGACCATTGGAAACATCAACAAAGGTAAAGTTATTCTCCTTTACGGCAGCATCCCATAGAGGGTTCCACTCATTAATAAATTTCCCTTCAAAAGTGTCCTTTTGCAAAATACCTACTGTAGTACCAGCTTCTTTCATGGAACTAATAACATCTTCAAACAATCCTTTGTTATGAGCAGGTTCTTGGTTGTGTCTTTCTAAAATTTCAAACTTAAAACCATCCTCTTCTTCTTTAAAATGCTCCAACGCCTTATGGATATGTCTAGCTTTACTTGCATTTGTAATTATGGCGACTCTTTTAGGTAAAAATGCAATTAATGTTGCTGGATACTCGTAACCAATAAGCCAGTCTTGCAAAATTGTTGTCTTTTGATATGGATTATCAGTTTTCCTTGAACCAGATACAAACAGCAAAGAGTTTGGAGAGTTCTCAAACTTCTGATAGTTTGAATGAACAGAAACAACTCTCTCCCTGAGTTTGTCAAAATCAATGTATAATTCGTCCATTTTCAAGGTATTGTTATATTGCCGTATTTACAACACGTTTTGCCCAATATGATTAGTTTTTTATGAATCACAAGGGAAAGTTTAACACTTAAAAATAAAGAAATAATGAAGTTGTATTTTAAATAGGACGTAAAGATATTTTTTTTTTAGTAGATAACGAATATGGTTCAAAATTTTGGCTAATCTAGTTTAGGTAATATAGTTTAACCCACGACCATCTCGTACTCTCAAAGTATTTTCACGGTACATCTAGCAAAACGCGTAAAATTGAAAAATACAGGAAATTTCGCCTAAAAAAATCCCAATAAAGGGAGGGTAAATTAAGTTCGTTCAACATGATAAGAGATTTTAAATGAATTCAAATATTTAAGGAAATAATACTGTAATTATTAGTAAATTCTGCAACAGTACTTGGATGATACTAATATCAACTCGATTTATATTAAGTGTCAATGTCGAATATGTAATTATTTGTTATTATGTTCCGTCAATATACTAATTATATATATATATATATATATATAATATTTACAAATTTAGTTGACTAAAAAAACCGTAAAGTTCATCAGTTCTAAGTTTCTTATTTTACAAATTGGAGGTCATTTTATTTTTTTATAGGTGAATAATAGACTTGTGTGATATATTTGTCTTTGTAACGAACTGCTGTTGCTAAACCCAAAGTACCATGTTTAATGCTACTTGTTAACAAATGATTCAACACAACATGGTTAGAAGTATGTAATGAGCCCCCGTGAGCAATTTCGTTTGTAGTGGAAGCAATATTTGGGAAATCATTTAAAATTGCATATTCTAAATGAGGTGGTAATTGAGCAGGTAACATACCGCCAGATCTATTCTTTGTTCTTTCATAATCTAATTTGGTATAATATTTTTCCATAATTCTTGGATCTGTAAATATTGATGGTAATTTATTTGTATATTCAAGTTCAGGTTCTTTTAATTCTTCATCATAAAATCTTGTAAATCCATCCCCAACATTATCTGGTTCATTTTTAATCTTCAATGCAATTCTTGATTGTCGACTCATTTTTTTAATTTTAAAATCAGATACATCATCTTGTTCTTTAATTTCTTCAGTATCATCATCATCATCATCATCATCATCCAAATGAGAAGTAAATTCGGTACTATCTGTGGGTCTAACTTCTAAATAATTAACAAAATTTCCCATTTGATCTGTCGCAGTTGGTAGAAAATCACTGTAACGAAGCTCGTTATCTACAACAAACCGAAATCTATGTACACCAGGTGGAAGTCGTAATCTAATATGCAATATTCCATTTTTATTAGGTATTGGTAATAACCCAATCATTTTAGTCCAACCTGTGAAGGAACCAGTTACATATACTTTATCTCCACCTTGTTCCCAAACAATATCTACAGGTACCATTTTTCTTTTCTCCTTTTTTGAATTTAAATCTAAATTATTTTCCATAGAATTTGTAATCCCTGTATCCGATTCACTTTCCATTGCAATATCTTCAGAGTCATCAATAGAATTTTTATTTTCATCATCAATTTCTATTATTTGATTTCTTTCTTCATCTAAATCATTATAATCGTCATTATTATTATTAAAATCACTACTACGACTTGAAGCAACACTGCGAACATCTTCAGTAAGTTCGTTTGAAATACTTTCATCAGAATCTTCAAATATTTTATCCATTACTTCTTCATCACCTAATATTAAACTAGAACTACCAGATAATTTACTACTATTACGATTCCCCCCTTTTAATTCTGCCATCAAATCTGAAAAATCTTTGGTAAAAGAATTACTACCAATTGTATTATCAGCTAAACTACTGGTATTAGATCCGATACTATTATCCATTTAAATTTTTTTAATATATTATTACTTGTGGTTACACTAATAAACCGTTGAAAAAAACCACTAAAACTAAAACGAAAAAGAAAGTATATTTATAACCAGGAAAATGTAATAATTGAGTTAATTTATGATATTAAACGTCCTTTGGAATATCTAGTACTGTTTAGGAAATTTAGTTTAATCTTCAAATATAAAAAAATCCTTTCTTTAGGTTACTAAAAACGCAAATAATAGGGTAAAACGAGAGAGATAAAAAGAAATAGTTTTAAGAGTTATAACAGGACTTTTTTAACGTTTAAATAAACTATATCTTAGTTAAATATATATGTTCGGTAATGATATCGGCTTGAAATTAAGACCAGATTGTATCGTTTTTTCAAATTGCAACTTAATTTGTGTAACTGTTAGAGAATTTGTTTTCGTTCTCGAGAATGGTCAAGGTTCTTGTTTGTTTATTACTTTGCTTTGTTTATATGAATCTCTTTCTCTCTTCCCCAGACTTTCAATCTTATGTGAGATTAAATGAAAGAATGGTTCAATTAAAAGAAATGTTTTGTCGATTACCACAGAAAACTACAGAGAGAAATGACCGGACAACCCTCCTCTCTCCATTCCCCGAAAAAAATGGCGATAGAGCCGTAGAAGCTGAAACTTTTTTTTTTTCGGGTTAACGGAGATTGAAAATAATATAAATTTGATGTAAATCATTAGCGTATATCATGTTTAAAAATAACGAATTTATTGGTGTTAAGAATACCGACAAATCAGACTAGTGGCTCCAAAAAATCTGTAGTCGAATGATGATATATATACGTCATAAAATCGTGTACGTCATTGAAAAAAGTTATTTACATTATTTAAGGTAAATATTTTATATATGTCACATACTCATAATAAATGCAAGTACGTAATGATGTGTAAATGGATATATATATAAATATATCCATAAATGCTTGTTGTTTTGGATAATCATGAAATCGTGTATGTTGTTGAAAGAATTTTAATTGAAATGAATCAAGTTCCTTCAAAAAAAATGCTATAATTAATTTACAGGTTTGTTGAAGACATCTATCTGTTTTAAGATATTTCTCATTGGTGGTAATTGAACATCAAAATTTGTAGAAATTGATAAACTTTTATCTGTCAGGATACTACTACTATCATTAACTTTTCTTTCTTCTTCAGATGATGTATCATCTTCATCTGTTGAAAGATGAAAATCGGCTTTTTGTCTTATTCTTCCTCTTGGAGTTACACTAATTTCCAAGAATGTTGATTCTTTTTTGCTTAATCTTGGGACAGCCTCATTCGTTGTAATCATATCTTCATGATCATAATATTTAGTACTGGTATTGTTGTTTAATGCTGTATTTATTGAAATGATACTATCTGTATTTGAGACAGATCTAAGTTCATTATTAGATATAGGTTTTTGAATTTTCCCTTTCTTTGCTTTTGTAGCAATTGGTCTAATCACAGGAAGTGTACTCAATGCATTCTTAATGGTAGATGAAATCTTTTGAGTGGCAGTCTTTTCCTTTGGCATGGTTAAATCAGCTTCATTTATCTCTGAACGAGGTGATTCAATCACTGTTAATATATTATTATTCATTACATTACCGTAATTATTGGTATTACTTGGAAGCTTATTGTTAGAGAAAACAGAAGATACGTCACTTAACGTCATCGAGCTATTTGAAGTAACAAAACTTTGATATTGTGGATAATAAGCACTATTATTAATGCTATTAAAATTTGTTTGTTGTGACATTGGTATGGCAGATGTTTGTTGAGGTTGGGAAATTGATGGGGGTGGTGGCGGCGTCATTGATTGCGTCATTGATTGCGGCATTGGATACTGCATTGGTGATTGAGGAATTCCCGTTAAATAAGTTGGATAAGTTTGATAACCAGCATTCATGAATGGTACCATCATTGGGAAAACACCAGGCTGAGGTGTAGGTGAAAACATTCCATTATTCATAGCTGGAATATTAATTGCCATAGTTTGCACAGGGGTACCAACAGGTTGTGGAAATAATATAGCCTGACCATTTTCTTCATAAACATTAACCATTGGACCTTGCATTCCTCTATTGTTAAATCTTTTAGAATTACGACTTGTATTACCTGAATGTGTTCTTAAATGTCTCTTTAATTCATCACTTCTACTGAAACTTTTACCACAACCTGGAAAATTACATACATGTGGTTTCTCACCCGTATGTGTACGCATGTGTCTCTTTTTATGTTCTAATCTATGAAACCCTCTATTACAAACAGTACATTTATAAGGCCTTTCGTCATTGTCCTCTGGAAATGTTGATTCTTTCCTTGACATATTTGTATATTTTTGTTTTGTGACTTTTTTTTTAATTACCTATGGTGTGGTCTGTAATTATAATTTTAATTAGTATGTTTTAATTTTTTTATTTGCTTTTATTGACTTTAAAGTTAAACTTCGTAAGAAAGGTAATAACAAGGAAATAAAAGAAATTTCAACAATCTTTCTTCATTAAATACTAGCTGATTCTTATCAACAGTATTTCGAATATATATATATATAAATATGTTTTTCCGTTCCACCTTTTCGTATATGTCATTCTTGTTACAATTACCAAGGTGAAATGCGGAATTATCTGGTTACTTCATAATAAAAAGAAAAAAGCAAAAAAAAGGCCTCGAGTATCTTCTGGGGAAAACAGTACCACGATGGCTCAATGGGTTAATTTTTTTCCCTTTCTTCTAAGGCAAGAAAAGGCTATCATAATTCTTTTGGACCAAATCTTTAAAATCAGAAACGAAAGAATAGGCTTTCTTCTTCAAGAATGAAAGAAAAAAATTGACTATTGATGTCATAAACCTGCGCCAGTTTCTTCACCCCAGATATATCTCGGAAAAACTTTTCTCTCATTTTCCCAAACCTTTGATAAGAAAAAGAAAAGACGCACTTTAAGAGGCGTACTATTTTCATATTTTGTGTGCGTGGATCCGCGAAGAATTGTTTTAATGGCAAAGAAGAAAGGATTTCCCCGCTAGCTGAAACGGGTTCTCTTATCAGACTGCGGTTGATTCTTCGATAAAATGTGTAAGTTCTCCATAAACCCCATATGATGCGCGCGTTTTTTTATATTAGTCTCGGAAAAACTTTGACATTTTTTATTATCTTTTTCTTTCTTTTATCTCATATCATTCTTTAACTGTGTATGAATATACCAATTAAAATGCGACGATGTTATATTCGTAATTGCACCAGATTAACAAAAAACTGGGGCATAAGTGGGAACCATTTATTGAAATTTGAATATTGCGTGGCAGCTAATTTATTACGATGGTATGGAGTAAAGGGAAATATATTCCAATTCTTTTTTACTACATTCACGAATACGATAACAAGGTCAATTGAAAGATTATGTAGTATTAATATTATTGCAAGGGATTAAGGAGGGCATCGTTTTGAAATTTTACAAAAATTTTAAAAGAAGAGGCTACAAACAAACAAATGAAGCATCACTTACGACCCTATTTAATTTAGAAGATGGAGAAAGAGAGCAAACATAGGAGGTTTAAATTCATAAACGGAAAAGGATTTCTCAGTATCCGAAGAACCGCGGGTTGTAAATGCTTATAATATAGATAAAATATGAATGACGCGGCGTCCTCGGTTAAGATTATTGTTGCGGTTGCGGTCAATTTAAAAGAAACTGGTACACATCTGTCTTACTGAAAAACCTGGGGAAATAGAATGAGAACGACAACAACGGTCCATATACATATACACCAATTGTTCCCATTTTGATTGCAACGCCACTGACGTAAACAATATGGATTTCTAGCTCAATATAAATCACAGTTAGGGTTTAAAATATTGATCCCGTATATTTATATAGCAGTAGTAGCTACTACTATTTATAAAACAAAACGAAACATACACACAACAAATCATATATATAATGTTGTATGCCTGGAAAAAAATTATTAGGGCGTGTTCTATTTTTTGTTATATATAATTAAGTTTAGGTTTGAATGAAGTCAAGAATACTAAACAATATTGGTCACAGTAATGGAATTTTCATTTTCTTGTCTCTCAACTAAATTATTTTCCCATTCTTTTGTTATGTTATGGGAAATATTAATATTTTATTATTGATTTCTAAAAAAAAGATAATTATTCCGTTAATATGATTTTTGAATTTTATTCTCTTTTCTCCATTCTTCTCTTAAATTGATTTATTCAAAAACCCGCAATCTCGCATGAACTACACAGAATGGAATGAACAAAAAACTCTACCGTAGATGAATACTACGGAAAAATACTACCACAACAATCATATACTATATAGTGTAACTTAAGTTTTATATACGACATCGAATGTACTTTGAACAACAATAAAGTCAATAATGAGATTGACCAGGAACGTGGAAAATTTACATAGACAAGAAATTGCATTTAACCTAGAAAACCGTTAATAAAACCAATTCTTTTTTTAAAATTCTTTGGGGGAATCCCAGTATAGAATTGAAACCTAATTTTAGATACAGTGTGAAAAACACAACCACATATTTTAAGCAATCTGCTCTACCAAAATAATGTTTCGCTTGTCTTAAACTACTGCAAGACCTCCATCTACCTACCGCTTCTTTTATCCTCCTTTGTACAAAAGGGTACCTGTTTTTTTTTGCTTTTCCCTTTTCTTTTTCGCCCCACCCCCGCCGGAAAAACTAACTGTCAAAACGAAAAAAGAAAGGAATGGAGAAAAATATTCAAGTCTTCCCTAAATAGCTTGCCGAATGTATTAAGTAATGTAGTACACAGAATTTATAGCAAAACTCGTTTTTTTTTCTTCCCGCAATAATTTGGACCCGTTTCGTAAGTTTCTCACTTGCAACACTTTTCAATATCAGTGAGATAGGATAGGAAAGGAACCGTAGAGAATCGGAAGAAAATAGTAAATGTTGAACTTTTACAGGATAATCTTCTCATTTTGTTAAAAATGCAAAAAAAATTTCCCCACGGACCCGCAGTATACTGTGGATATCCCCCACAAAGACCCCACCATTCAGAAGGACAACTTGTATGTTTTGCTGTGTGTGACAATGAGAACAGTACGTACAATTCCAATTATAAAACTGATTATTTTACAATTTGGTGCAGACAATTAAACAGAAGCATGTCTTAATTCATCAGAATATGAGAGAAATACATTGGAAGAACATCTTTCTTTTATTTGTTTACTTAGATTTGTCAGGAATTTCTTACATACGTTGATTTGTTTTCATTTTACTTCCTCTGTGGGTTACTGATTTGCGTTAATTTCTAACATATTACAATTTAGTAGAGGGAACGGGGTTATGTTGGCAATATGCAGGACGAAACGAGGTTACTTGATAAAATAAGTAAACCATCGGTAGAGCATTTCTGTCTTATCTCTTTTTATGTTGATTGTATTACAAATTAACTTTCTGTTATAAGCAAAGTGAATATAATGAAAAAGGATAATTAAGAATATTTTCTTAAGAAGTTGGCATTGTATCTCAACAATTTTGTTTATATATTTGCTGTGTATCGTTAATTCAAAATTTCTTAGAAAAACTGCATATTAAAGTATTATCCATCAGTAAACAAAGTTGTAGGTACTTTCATTTAAGAAAATCATGTTGTTATTTTAATCTTGTATAAAGGGTAAAAGTGCATTTCCTTTCTTTCTTTCTTTCTTTCTTTGTTTTTTATTGAGAAGAAACATTATAATATATAATATATAATATATAATATATATATCTTTGTATGTTGTTTCTGAATGAGGAATGAGGAATGAGAGTGTTTATGAAGTTAAATTTAGTTATATAAAAAGAGCACTACGAGTTCTGTTTGGTTTGTCTGTCTATTTGTTTTTATCGTTATTAATCACATATTGACTGTAACAATGACGAACATTATCGATAATTTTACTGTATCGATTGTCCTTGTGTTATATTCGATTTCTTTTTTCTGGACAAATGTTTAAGCATATATTGTTCTTCCCTTGATGCTAAAAAAAATAACGACCATAGACAAGCATCAAGATTAACAACAGTTGTTCGAACTACTCTTCTTCTTTTCATTTGGAGTAGGTGTCAAACTAATAGTCGGACCCTTTGGTGCATTAGCACCATTTGCACCACCATTATTATCACCCATGTCTACTTGATGTTTACTGACCATTTGATATATGGCAGTAATCAATTCTCGGAATGCTTGGTCAACATTTTCACTGTTCAAAGCACTGGTTTCGGTGAATAACAATTGGTTTTCAGATGCAAAATTCTTAGCTTCATCAGTTGGAACAGCACGTAAATGAGATAAATCAGATTTGTTACCGATTAAACCAACCGCTACGTTATCGTCTGCATTTTCTCTTAATTCTGTTAACCAATGATTACAATTTTCATAAGTACTAGACTTACTTATATCGTAAACAATCAATGCACCAACGGCACCTCTATAATAAGCAGAAGTAATTGCACGGTAACGCTCTTGACCAGCAGTATCCCAAATTTGTGCTTTAATCTTCTTTCCTTCAACTTCAATAGTTCTTGTAGCAAACTCTACCCCAATAGTTGATTTGGATTCAATGTTGAATTCATTAGTAGTAAAACGCGAAAGTAAATTAGATTTACCAACACCAGAATCACCAATCAAAACAATCTTAAATAGATAATCATAATCGTAACCGTAATCTTCGTTATTCATTGCGTATATGTATGTATTTATGTATGCGTGTTTGTATGAGTCTCAAAGATAAAGAGGTAAAATTGAAATTCTTGGATATGATAACTTTTGATAGATAGAATCAAGTACCTTTAATAAACAAACTTTTTGTTTTTTAACTTTTGTCTTATTTTTTGTCGATTATTTTCAACACTTAACAAAATCTGGAATGTATTCTTTCACTTTTATAACGTTAGTTGTAATCGTATAGTGATGATGTACTAAAAGGGGACTAAAAGAAAATGACTGTATACAATAAAATATAAGACTCTTTAAAACAATTACAGTAAAATATGAACTTAATTTAAAATATTAATATCAACTACTATCTTGGTAACGTTTCCCAAGGCTACGAACGTATCGCTACATTTACCTGTTACTGAAATTGTAAAATCACAACAAAACGCAAAATGCGATCGTGGTTTCTTCGTTTGTTGATTCATGAAACTTCGTTTCGTTCGCTCTTTGTTTTTATGACAGAAACAGGAATTCGTATCGCGTTATACGACACGCACACCACGTACGAATTCAAACTATGGCTATATATAGCTTGAACATAAATATTTACCGATATGCTTACCTATATACATATATATACGATATGCGATGATGAGTATTAAAAGGATAAGTGTTCCAAGGTTCTCATAACACGTGCGGCACCGTCAACGGAACTATCTTTCTCTAACGTGATGGCGGCTCTATTCTTTTCTAGACCTTCGAGTAGCATACAGGCTTTACAAATTTTGTTACTAGATAAGTAACCACATCTCTCACACCGATTGCCATCTATAAATCCACTGTTAACAGTGAGTGGGTCTTGCCCTGGTGCTAACCTCTTGAATCTTTGTTCTTTCTCCTTTAAAACAAGATTTTCACCACTGTGGATGATATCAATGATACAACTTGGTCTAACAGCCTCCAGGTTTTTCATCAATTCTCTTGCAGTACCTCTAAAGGCTTCTGGTGCATAAGTACATTCTGTAGAAAAATAATCCAATTTCTTATAATGTGCATACAAAACAATCTCTTTCTGATATGAATATTTGAAAGGTTTTGACCTCTTGATTGGAGAACCAGAACTTTGAGTAATAATTGCTGTAGACTTCTCTAACCTAGCCACGTCACCACGAAGAATATTCATAAGGACTGTTTCTGCCATATCATCAGCATTATGTCCAGTGATCACATGATGTATATCCAGTTTTTGAGCACCTCTATCCAAGGACTGTCGTCTAAAGACACCACAGTATGTACAACTGTTTCTTATACCAGCAGTAGCAACAATTTCATCCATGGTCCAGTTGTAAAGTTCTTTGAATGATACAATCTCTAATGGTAAACCATATTGTTTTTGATTTCTCTTCACTGTAGCCAATGAATCATCACGGTATCCAACAATACCTTCATCCACACTTAACAATGTAATATCAATTCCATAATTGTGTCTCTCATTTAAAAGTTTCATAATATGAGCAAGTACTGTAGAATCCTTACCACCAGATGCGCCTACAGCGACCCGTTCACCAGGATAAAATAACTTATTTGTTACTATAGTATTATGAATTTCTGTTTCAAAGACATAGAAGAAACATTCTTTGCAAACCTTTTGTAAATTTTTAGGTCTCTTTAGAATTGCTTTACGACAATGACATAGCTCACATAATTGAGATATCTTGATTGGTTTGTTCTTGTTGTTAACAGGATCTGATGGTGGAGCCCAGGACATTTCAACTATTCTTTTTTTGTGTAAAGCTGTAGTTCCTAGGGCGTAGAGTTATTATAATATTTTCTTCTGGGACTATACTAATATTTACAAAAGATTATAATGAGAAGTATCCTCTATGGTATAAGTTTATATCTTAAATCGATGCCTGCATTGTGAAAGTCTCCATTATATAATTGATGGGTTTCTTAATTTGTCATCAGAAAATTTTCTGCATCGCGCTGAATAATTTATGTGCGGCGTTGCCTGACAAGTTAAAAGATGAAAACATCCTAAACTCAAATCTCTCTGTATGAATTATAAGTTATATGAGACAAGATATCAATACATAACGAGTAAGGTCATATTTATTAATATATACGCGCATACACCATATGGTATACGTAGTTTATAACGATTCATTGAATTTGGTGGCCCTTCTTGTAGCGGCCTTTAGTTTATTTGCAGTTTGATCGACATCATTGCTGAAAGAATCTAATAACTCGTTCTGTTGACTTAGTTCATGATTCATTTGAATAGATATCGCCTTTTGGTTCTTAATTATTTTATGGAGGTCCATCAATTCCTCATCTTGATCTTTTAGCTTATCCTTATGTAATGATAGAAGTTCCCTATTATTTAATTGTGCTGTTGTTTCTGTCTCTCCAAAACGGCGTCTCCCGACAGGTGGTCTTTTAGTTTCCATAATTTTAACAGTATTCTCAGACCCTATCGATCCAGCGTCTCGACTTAATGAGTTGGTATATGTGTTTGGCGTATTGCTAAATTGATTAACTGCTGTATCGTCGAACGATTGTTGCATAGAGAGTTCATTTATATCAGCTTTCAATAAGGCTAACAAATTCTTCCTTCTTTCAATCTCTGAGACCTCCATCGCAGTATCACTGTTTCCAATATTTGCAAATAACTTTTCTAATTGATTTACTTTTAATCGTAATTGAATCAATTTCCTTGTGCGGCCTTTGAGAGGCGTTGTCTTACTCTCTGCTAAATCATTTTTACAATCTCTATATAAGGATAACCAGTTATCTTTATCATTATCTGTGGTAACCATCACATTACCTTTAGTAGTATCGCCCCCATCTTTGATCAAATCACTCCATCTTTTAGGTATACTTAAGAACCGCGCCACAGTTTGAGTATCTCTCCATTTGCTATCAAATGAATCATTTAACATATCATATAAAAACTTTTCGAGTTTAAATTTTCTTTCTTTAATAACATCATTGGTGATACTTGTTTGCTTACCCCATAAGCTGAATTGTTTGCTTGGTAATTCATATGGGAAATCTCCATTCCCAACCTCATTAATCATTTGTTGCCTGAGAGTAATGAAATCTGAAAATCTTTTATGAATATGAGTATCCCAATTAATAGATCCATGCTTCAGTACCTTTATGTGTATATAGTATTGGGTATATGTATCGTTTATAAGTTGTGTGTCTTCCACAGTCACCTGCGTTTGCGATTGTTGATTACCATTGCGATTTATCATCTCTATTTAAATATTTTTGATAATACTTAGGACCCTTACTATTTTATAAGTAAAGCTATTCTAATGGGTCTTAAAGACATACGTTTTTATAAATAACGAACAGTGTGTTAGTCTTGATAACTAAAGTTATTGTTTCTCTGCCCTATTCGCTAACATTCTCTTCAGCTCCACTTGCCATTGATACTTCTCATATCAACGTACCTGTATATTTTCTGTCTGCCCAGTACGATAAGTAGTACTCTCGCTTAGTTAGGTTTACACGCTAAGGAAATAGAAGAAAAATCTATTAAATATTTAACAATGAATCCGAAGAACTTACAAATGGATAATTAGTTCGAACAATAGAGTGTTAAACTGGATAGGAAACGTGGAACAACGACTATTTAAAAGACTACAGAACAATCAAAGTTAGGTCACAGCATTTATAATTTATTTTAGAACGGTAAATCGTTGTGAATTGACGTATTAATAACTATTCTCATGTCTAAAGTATTCATCCCAATTGCAAACGTGGGTAAAGCTCATGAAGCTGACATATACTCTGTTACTATTACAAATCCTTATTCAATTTCCTGTGGTGGTGATGGATATTTAAAATTATGGCCTAATAAGACTTTGATTCAAGAACAGAGCAGATTAAAGGATATTGTAATTTCAAAATTTGTTCATAAAACTGGTCTTCATCATGCAGACGCTATTTATACAGTCGAACCACATGATGTTGGTACAGTATTGCTTATTGCAACTGTTTCATTTTCAGGTAATATACATTTTTATCAATTCCTAGAAGATACGCAAGAATTCAAAGAGTTGAATCTAATAGATGACGATTTAAAGAAAAAATCATTTTGGAGCTGTAAATGGGTGAAGAGTAATGACCAAGTTGTTAACCACAGATTTATTGCCACAGATGTCAAGGGAAATACATATGTATGGAAATTTATGTCAACTGATAAGATTGTTGGTGATGATGAAGAAAAGCCAGAGTATAAGAAAAATTTGCATTTTGAATTTCAAGGTGAAATACCATCAAATGAACCTGTATTTGCCACCTGTGTAACTGCATCTTCTAGTAAAGGGTTATTAGCTACAGGTTTTGCTAATGGTTCAGTTATTGTTTCTCAATTGAGTACTTTAAGACCATTATACACTTTTGAAGGTCTAGGCCGTGAAGGTGTAGATCAAAACAGTAATTCTGTTCGTAGTGTAGCATTTTCCCCTGCAGGTAATCTGCTTTCTGTAGCAAATGATTCAGGATCATATGGTTGTGTTACCCTTTACGAGACAGAATATGGTGAAAGAATTGGTAATTTAACAGTTCCAACACACTCGGGACAAACAAATATTGGATTATTTGCACATAATGGATGGGTATTCAATCAAGCATTCAATCCAAGTGGTGAATTTATCGCTACATGCGGTTATGACGGTAAAGTCAGAGTATGGGATGTCAAATCCAAAGAAAGGGTATCGACTTTAAATATTTCTGCTACTGATATTGAAATTGAAGAAGATATAATGCTTGCTGATGAAAATGGTGATTCATTAAAAGTACCTCCAGTGTTTGATGTTCAATATATCCCACAGGGTACGTTAAATGGTGTTGGTAACGAAACAAATGAAGGTTTATGTTGTGTATGCATGGATAGGAGTGTCAGATGGTTTAGAGAAGCTGGTGGCAAATAGTAGATTGCTATTTATGTACAGTAATTATGTATACATATGTGTATGTAATCATTTAATAATAATACTTTAATACTGAAACTTAGATGCTTGATATTATCATTAAAATAATCTTATGTTTGCAAATTTAACAATTTGTAAGAGATCCCACTCTTTGATGGAGTGAAAAAATTAATAGTTTATGAAATATTAAATACAAATATCGTGATTTTTTATATTATTATATGTTATGTAAAAAAAATTATATTTTATAAAAAGTAGAAGGTTAAAAGCAAAAAAAAAAAAAAGGTTTCAGACGTAGAAGAGCTTATTCTTGAAGTTGTCTTTATAGTAATCAAGCTCTATACTGATATCCAATCCAATTACTGTGATTGTTCGTTCATTAAAATATGAATCATTCTTTCAGTCTCTTTTATAAAGGTAATATGTTTTTTTTTGATTTGTGATAATTCGTTTAAAAAAAAAATTTCGAATGCTAGTTGAAAGAAATGATGCTTTTGGTTTATTATTATTATTTATTTTTTTGGGAAAATGCAAAATGTTTATGCTTATGTTTTAAATGCTGCTTTATTTTATGTCCTCCTTGTTTTAAAAGAAAAAAAAAAAATAAAATATTGCAGTATAAGTGGTATCATCAATAAATCGTCGAGAAATTATTGTAGAAATTATTTGATTTATTTCTTAATGTTTGATCGTTTGAGGTCCAATAAGTATCAGGTTGAATAGACTTCAAGTTTTGAGATTGTGGTTGTAATCTTTGCAATTGTTGTTGTTGAGACAATAATATCTGTTGTTGTTGTTGTAATTGTAACTGTTGTAACTGTTGCTGTTGGTTAATTTTCATATCTTGTTTTGAATCATAGAAATTATAATAATCATAATTAAATTGATCATCATAAGTATTAGGATGATTATTGCTGGTATATCTATTCATGATAGGTGACGATTTTAGGGTTGGAATATTGAAATGATTTAGATTATTTTGGTGATAATCATAGTTACTAAATTGTGAATTCATGGTATTATTAGTATTATTATTATTATTATTATATGCATCGTTCAAATAATGATAAGGTGATGAAAAGATTTGATTTCCACAGGATGATGTAGTTGACACACCTGAAGAAGTATTAGTAGCAGTATTTTTTGTAGCGGCAACAATAGCAGCAGCAGTAGCAGCAGCTATAGTTGATGACGATATTGATGATAATTTTGGAGTTTGGAAACCAAATGGTGTAGATGGAGTAGTTACACCAGTAGGTGAAAAATAAGGAGATGGAACATTTAATGGAGATTTTAAATTACCAAATATATTTAATTCATTGATGCTAGAAGTATAATAATTTGTACTATAATTATTATTATTATCCAAAGATTGTTTTAATAAAGTTTTCTCTTGAGAAAATTGTCTAAAAGAATTAACAAAATCTGAATATAAAATAAATTTATCATCATAAAGTTTCCAATTAAAAATATTTAACCAATTTTTTTCATAAGAATTAATTAAATCAATATCCATTCCAGTTGCCTGTGACCATGATTTATTTGTAAAAGTTTTATCATCATTAAATTTATTTGCTAAAATTAATGACACTATTGTATTTTGATAAATGACGTTAATAAATTTACCACCAATCGAATCAATTCCATCAGGTAATTTTCGTAAATATTTTAAAAGGTAATCCAATGACATAAATATTGTTACTGAAGGCAATCTTGTTGCATTTAAAACAGATATTATACCTTTTAAAAATAAGTTATAATTATTTGGTGAGGTAATTGCTAATGAATTATTGTTGTTATCAATATTTGAATCTAACATTAATCTAGTATCTGAACCAAAAATAAAATATGCAGTTTTAGTAACAAATTCTGACATTAAATCAATATCATAATCTAAATTTTCACTTACACCACCATTAACAATTTCTTTATTATTATTACTATTATTATTATTATCAATTTTAAATTGTTGTGGTTGAATTAATAAACCAGGTGGAGGTGGTAAAATATTATAATTTGTTTGTTGTTGAACCAAAGGAATATTTTGATTCATAAATTGTGGATGTATTAAAGGTGGTAAATTATTTGTAGTAGCATTATTATTGTTATTATTATTATTGCTGTTGTTGCTATTATTAAATTGTGGGAAATGATTTAAATTATTTGATAATTGAGGTTGAATAATTTGTGGTATATTTATATAATTTTGAAAATTATTAATTGTAGTCATGATGCAAAAAAAAGTAAAAAAAAAAAAGAAAGATAGAGGTAATAATAATAATAGGTGATAAAAAAACGAGTAAAGGATAAATTAACTTAATAACTCCTTTTTAGTAATGGTGAATTAGAAAGAAAAAAGACACAATTTTTTTTCAATTATTGAATAATTAATTGTTCTCTCTTCTTCTTTTTATTTTTGTTCCTTACAAATATAATATGATTTGATTAAATTACCAGAAATAATTGGAAAAAAAAATAATATCAACCAGTGAATTAAATTATAATCAAATTAAAAAGGTAATAAATAAAATGTAAGTTGTGAAGAGGTAATATAAATATAATAATTAAATTAATTTATACCTTTATTTTTGGAGAACACTTAAAAAATAAAATTTTAATATATATATATATATATAGATATATATTAATATATTATTAATATATTATTTTAAATGTAATTGAAACACTTACTAAGATAAGAGATCTACTAAAATAATAATTGTAATTGTATAATAATACTAATATTAATTGTAGTTATATATATAAATATATTATTGTTATTTTGGACCAAAATGCTTTTTTTCACTAGTAGTAATGACAAATTGACGATGACAATCAGAAAAAAAAAAAAAATCTTTTAAAAACATAATTAAATCAAAGCAAAATTTTCTTCTCACAATTGCAGCATTTGAATAATGAATGCAATCAATTCAAGAGACGATACATTTTTTACTCAGTAATATTCAATAATTAGTGTTATTGTAAATACAAGAGCTGTTGCACCGCACGTACTGCAAGCGCAAATACCACTGATACTTCTCTTGCAAAGAGAGCCAGACAGACAGATAGATTGTTCTCCCGCTCCCCCCCACCATAATTTGTCTGTTACCAGTGGACAAAGACAGACAGGGAGGAGGCAAAGTTAAGCAGAGAGAGAAATAGTGAATGAAAACGCATAATAAATGGCAATTATTATTATGGTGACGGGATGATATCTGTTAATAATAATTCCAATTTTAATTTAAATTAGCGGGAAATATGTTTTTGTTTCTTATTCCTTTATGGTATTGTTGTCATTACTATTATTAATGAAGAGGGAGAGAGATATGGACAATCCACCATGTTGGCTTTTGGCTTTGTTCTTGATACTTGGTTATGTGCGGTGTATTGTTAGCAGTGCGAATACATTATTTGAGGGTGAAGGCTCTGTGTGTGTGTGCGAAGAAAAACCCAAAATTCTTCTTTGAATAGTGGTGTGTGGGTTATACGTTAAATTGTTCTATTATGCCGTAACGCGTAATTTGTTGTCTTTGCTGCGTGGGTTTTATGAAAATTATACCGAGAGAGAGCGTGACAATTACTTTGGGCGTCACAACAAAGAAATAGCCGTAGTAAGAACAGCTAATATTTTAATAATTTTGACCCATATTAATTTTATCAACAGCTAATTTTGTCAATTTTATCATGTATCGCTTTGTTAATGGGAAAGGAGGGCCAAATTTTACCGATATGCAAGAAGAAGAAGAAGAAGAAGAAGAAGAAGAAGAAGAAGAAGAAAAAAAGGGGTTTATAGTGAAGATTATGTAGTTAGTTTTGAGAAAAATGGCTGTTTTCTGTTCACGTCTACTCTGTCGCCATCATAAAAATTGGAGTTGATTGGTTGATTGTTTGATTTTTGGGCGTCAGCTTCTTTTTTGTTTGTGAGTGAGGTCTACAATGAAATTGACATCCAAGCCTGGACTTTTCAGTATTAGTATATTATTATTTCGTTTTGGGAAACTTGCCATTTTTTACATTGAGTAACGGAGTTTATTTTTCCTCAATAATGAATGGAATACTTGCTTGTTCTATATTTTTGTGGTTCTTTTTTTAACCTTAATTTAGTTTATAGTAGTAGTATAGTGAATATTTATTATATCGTACAAATGACACAGATTAATTATCTGTTTCTTTTTTTTTTAAATACATAGTATGGTGATGATGACATTCAAATTATTCTTATTTGGCTATGAATCGTCTGTAAGGAAATTTCGTCTTAATAGCATTGATCCGATATTATTACTAGTATTACTATTATTATTGATAATTGTACTCCGATCTCCATTATTAATATAACTTGTATCAGCAATACTATTATTAATTACATCATTATTAGTATCAATTGTTAATTTATTTTCGTTTGTTAGACTATCTTGTGTGGTCATTGTTGTATCTTGTAAACTCATATCAATTTCCATAGAATCTGAAACTATTCTATTATTATTATTATTTATTGGAAATTTTAAAATTGGTTCAATTAAAGAATCTGACCATCTTAATTTCTTCTCCTTTTTATTCATCAAATTACTGTTACTTTGAATGGAATTATTTGTTGCTAATAAAAATTGTTTAGCAAATTCATCAAATTCTTTATCAATATTAACTAAATCTTGTATCATTAAATTAATATCCTTTTCATTAATTAAACAATCCGTAAAAAATTTAAACCTTTTTAATAAAATTTTATCATTAAATAATTTTTCGATTATTATTGATGAATTAATCATAATTTCATTTTTTAAACTTTCTTCAATTTGTAAAAATTTATTTTCAAATATTGTTTCATAAATACAATCATTCCAATCTTCCATTTCTTTTAATTTTAAATAATCAACTTCTTTAACATGTTTAATTACTAAATCTAATTCATCCTTTGAATCAAATTTAATCTCTAATTCTTTAATCTTTTCAATTATTTGAATCTTAATTAATTCACAATTATTAATAATTTGTTTATCTGTAATATAATTCATCACATTATCAATTTCAATTTTAATTAATTGTAAAAAACGTCTCTTAACCAATGTTAATGATCTTAATATCTTTAAATTAATATATCTTTCATTTGTTGAATATTGTAATTCAATATTATTAAAAATTTGTTCAAATTTATTTTCAATTTTTTTATAATTTGTCTTTAATTGATTTAATTTTAATTCAATCATTTCTGATTCTCTTTTACGTAATATTTCAATCTCTTTTTTTTGTTCAGTTATCATCTTTAAATATGATCCAACATGTCTATTCAATGATTGTTGATTTCTAATAATTTTAGTCTTAATCTCTTTAGCACGATTCGCATATTTTAATGTATTCAAAGTTTCATCATAATGTGAACTACTTGGCGATATACAAACAATCATAACAGTTTTACAATTACCACCTAGTGAAAATTTAAGTAGTCTTGTCAATTTTGAATCTCTATATGGAATATGATTCGATCGTATATTATTACCATTATCAATACATAATGCATTGATACAATTTCCTAATGCTAATAAAGATCTATTAATATTTGCACCTTCATGAAGTCTTTTACCTCTATTTTTTGTTGATGCCGCACGTTCACTACCTGCAAGATCAATAATTGATAATGTTGCATATTTATGTTGTGAAGTTAAATCAACTGTTTTATTTGTTTGAATTATATGAACTTGTAAAACTGCATGAGATCGTGATGATACTTCATTAGCTTCAGTGGCTGATGTTGTTCTATTAATATTACCTTTGATTACTAAATCAATTACGTCTTGAACAGTCTTTGGATAGTGATGTGATAAATTTGCTACAGTAGTACGTTTATTATCATCTTCTCTTATTACTAATTTTTTATAATTTGTCTCTGGATTTAACAAATCTCTTATTCGTTCATTATAAATTTCTAAAAATGATAATGATATTTCAAAATTTTGAGTATCTTTTAAATTTTCAATTTTATTAAATAATTCTTCCATTGCTTGAAAAATTATTCCAGGAGCCTCTGGGGTACCACTTACTGTATATGTTTTACCACAACCTGTTGCACCATAAGCAAATATTGTTGCATTAAATCCTTCTAAGATTGATGTAATTAAGGGACTTGTAGTATTTTCATAAACTTCTTCCTGAGTAGAATTATCATCAAATAATTTATCAAAGACAAATTTAATTTCTTCAGAATCATCATTATCATCATTACTATTATTATCATTTAATTTATTAAATTGTCTCTTTGTAGGATCGTTATCATTATAAACATTTGTCTTGAATGAGTATCTTCTTCTTCTTCTTTGTCTATTTTTCCTTCTTTGAAAATATGTACTATTCAAGAGATTTTCACTCATTAAATTTAAAGGACTTCTCTCAATAGGATCAAATATTAACATTTTATCATCAACACAATCAATTAATTTCCATATACCATTTGATCTTATCAATTTATTACTGTTATTGTTTGTTGTTGTTGTTGTTATCTTATCATCTTTATTATTATTTTCTTTTAAATTATTAGGTAATGAAAGACTGGAATCTCCTGTCATATTAATCGATTCATTATTGTTAGATTTTATAGGGTACGGAAAATTAGTTAATTTTGTCTTTATTGATTGATCTGTTTGGATTAAATTTGACAATTCAGTTTCATTAAAGGGTCTAACTCGTACCGCCACCGTAATTGACGATTGTCTAGCCATAGAAGAAGAAACCATTTTTCTGTCTTTCTATAATTATAACTTTATCTTAAATATTTGAATCAGAAATTTTATTACTTTTCCCATTTAAATCAGGATTACACTACGAAAAAAAACACAACTAAGTAGACAAACGCCACACGTCCTTCTAGTTAATATGATCTCCGATACTTTATATTTTGGTTTACTTCTACTAAAATGAAACGAATTATTTGAATACTGTACAGGTTCTCTCTCTCTCTCTCTCTCTCTCTATATATATATATATATGGCAAATTACAAAATAAAAATATCAGCCATTTGTATACAAATGTATACACAATATTTCAATAAAGAACCTATCCCTTTGCCGCCCAGAAAGGCTGGGGTTATTTTGTTTTAATTATCGAGATGAGCCCAACCATCTTATTTATTTATCTGAGTATTTGTCTTGAGTAATCCGTGTGGTACATAATGAATACTATTTAATATTGTCGTCGTGCAGAGTTTCTCAGTTCCCCGTCGCTGCGTTTAAATATTAAGGCAAAAAACAGCAACAAATATAAATCACTGGGTGCCGTATAAGACGACAACTCAGCACAGGAAAATTTCAGCGGTCAGCTGACGCGAGTTGCCCGATTAGGAATGCCTACCGCTCAGAGCGCAAGAAGCTAAAATGTCATGTTGCACGATAATAGCTCCCGTAATGCCTTGGGCGTCAAGCTCTGTGATTGGACCATTCCCTCTGCATATCACTGTGCACGACGCCGACGCCGACGCCGACGCCGACCCCGGAGAGTTTCACTGCCCTCCCGAAGCAACAAAAACAAAAACAAAAACAAAAGGAGTCTACGTACAGAAGTTTGTTTGTTTCCGTCTGGAAGTTTTTGACTCGGCGAGTTTCCGTTGCAAAAAAAGTGAAATTCGTCCCTTTGAAGTTGCCGAGAGCGTCGTACGAGAACTAGTGGATGCAAAATATGCACTGTACTGATGATGATGATGATAATGATGATGATGATGATGCTATATTGGTATTCAAAAAGTTGTGAATAAATTTTTTATTTATTCACAAGTAGTTGGCACTATTAATAACAACAGCAACTGAAAGATATATATATATCTATCTATATCTATATCCGGAAAGAACATTAGTTAGTGATAGTTCAATACATATTATAGAAGAGTGCAACAACACAACTTTCTTTTGGAAATATAAATTATTAGTTTTTCGTACTGTATTGAAGCAGGTTACTTCTATATTTTACTTCCAAAAAAACTTTATATTCACTTACTATTTAACTTTCTCTCTTCTTTTCATTATTATTAGAAGTGGTTCTAAGGATGTCCTTCAAATTTAATGAAGATGTGTTCAGGGATAATTCCTTTAATGAAAAGATAAAAGAAAAATTAACTGCTGCTCTTAATAAAGGATTCCATTCAGATCCAAATTCAAAGTCAAGTTCAAATTTAAGCGATTTAAATCAATATGATATTATTAATGATTCAAATAAACATAAAGAAAAATCTGATATTTTAAAGAGTAAGATTATTGTTAAGAGCACAAATTTTCCCACCATACCAAAATTTGAAATTTTAGATCTTGATATTAATACGCAACCAAGATCTTTAGTTAAAGGAATTTGTAAAATTATTGTTAAAGATGCAATGGTTCAATTACAAACTGTTATAGAATCTAATTTATTGCTGGTCAATATGAAAAATTCACCAACGTTTATTAAACCAAAATTAATTGAAAATAATTCCTTAGAGATTCCAATTATAATGACATTTAATCAAATTTCGTTAGAGGCAATTAGTAATGTCTTTGTTAAAAATAATAGTCTTAGTATATCCTTTAATGATGTTAATTTAGATTTTAATTTTGATTGTTCAATTAAAATTTTACAAAATACTATTGAAAAAAGATTAAAGGATTCAATGCATTTATTATTTAAAGATGTTTTACCAACTGTTTTATTTAATATGTCACAAAGTTGGTTTACAAATAATCATAATACAACACATAATATTAATTATATTGAAACTCCAATACCAGAATCTACAACGACAACACCGACAAAATTATTTGATGAATCTAATTTGAAAAATAAAGGGATAACATCATTACCAAAGACTATCTTTGATGAAGTTGATTTACAAGAATTATCACCAAAAAATATGATTAGATTATCAACCATTGTTTCATCAAGACATACTTTATCATTACACGGTACAAGTGGATTACATTCTATGGCAAGTATTCCTGGCTGTTTAGAGAAACAAAATTTATATAGATTTATCTCAAGAATGCCCTCTTTGTCAAATTATTATTCTGCTTATCGTATCCCACCAAATTCTGATACAACAAAAAATTCCGATAAAATTAACTGTATAAATTCAAATCATTATTCTCATGATAATAATTGTCTTCCAGAAAGAGTATTAAGGGAGAAAAAATATGATTTAAATCAAATCATTGATATTCAAAATAAATTATATGAAAGAAGTACAGCTGATGAAAATGAAAAACCAAAAAGAAGAACAATTAAATTAAATAAAAAACATAAAAAGAAACAAGAAAATAATCAAGTTATTAGACAATCAACACCAACTTTTGAAAAATTCAATTTACCAATTTTAACTGATGAAACAAAAAAGACGATTAAAAATGAGAATAATAACAACAATAATATTATTGATGATGAATCATCATATTCAAAGACTAATCTTTCACCTCATACTATCTTTAATGAAAATCAAGAATATTTCATTGAGAAAAACCATGAAATGTTACACAATACGACCATTCATACCAATGATACCTTGAACTCGGAGATTTTCTCTAATAATACTGTACATAACATGGACCTTAAGGACATTAAACTTCTCTCAAAGAAAAGAATCAATTCTCTTGGTTCTAGCGCCAAGAGAATGTCGTTTGTGGGAATTAATAACCTTTATAACAACAGCGGCTGGAAATGGGGGAATGAAGATAATACCACAGTTTTACCTCCACCACCATACAGATTATAATATGGATTTATTACTTTACGTTCTGTTTGCATGACAAATACTATATAAATATTCTTTTATACCCTATTTAAAGTTCCTTGATAAATGAAATTAAATATACCTAGGCTCGTTTTTATAACTGCCTGACAGTTTTATTTATTATTTATTCCTATTTATTATCTATAAAAAATATAAAATCATATTTTTTCAACTGATACGATATATATGCTGGCATGGATCTTTGTTAAATGAATTTTTTATTACTTATAATAAATGCATCCTTCGTTATATGACAATCTTGGCCCATTCGTCTTCGGTATAACATTTACAACTGAATGCATGTATAGTTTGTATTTCTTCCTTTAACGCACCATTAACAAGACGACTTCTTTGGAGCTTATTCTTACCTTGAAATATATTACTAACCACAACAACATCAAACGATTGTCCACAACCATATGATAAATCAGTGACTATAACATTGTAGATATCTGGGATTGTAGTTGATATTTTATTACGTAAATCTTCTTCTGTCAGCATTTCTTTTTTTTTTGGGCGGTGGTTGTATAATACAAATATTAGATATATGTTCTTGACGAAAGGATATAGATAATCGAGAGTGGTTCTTTAGAAGTTTATTTCTATTTTGTTATTGGATCATCTATTCGTTTCTATATTATTAAGCATGATAGAAAATTTCGGTTTTCTTTTCATATTTGCTCGAATATCGCTAAATGTTTCTAAAAAAAAGAAGTATTTGACTGACAAATAACACCATTATTTTATAGCGTGCTACTAATAATGTATAATAAATCCTCTTTGAACACAGCTTCATATTTAGTAACATAAAAGCAAAGAATGTAATATATTTATATATTTATATCGTGTATTATCTATATACATTTGTTTAGTAGTTTACTTACAATAGGATGAGTTTAGCAGAAAAAAAACAAAACAACAACACATCAGTGCAATACAATCTTGCGCTATTTCGAGCTGCCAGCAGTTAATGTGTTAATTAATAGATCCTTGACAGGACCAAGGCTGTCAGTGAGTTGTAGACCTAAAGATCTTAATTGAACAACGGGTGTAAAATCAGTGCCGTATATTTTGTGTAGTTTATCAGCCATTCCTAATCTAACATTGTTGAAAGAATAACACTCTCCCCAGAATGGTTCAAGACAAAGTAATGAACCTATATCCAGACCACGTAGAGTACCTTTCTCCAATGCCTTAGTTAACTCCTCAACATCATGTTGACCCATATTTAAACCTTGACCAGCCAATGGATGTGTTGTATGAGCGGCATCACCAACTAATGCAATTCTGTCGCTACAATATGTATCGGCATGGCTTAACTTTAATGGGAACCTAGCTCTTGTACCAGCAACTATATCAAGCACCTGAGGTGGGTAACGTTCATCAATTAAAGAATCATTTTTCAATGAATCCCAAACTTGATTAATTCTTTGGTTTATATCTTCAATGACAGATTCATTAGTGACTGGTTCATTTGGATTTTCTTCTAGAATTTTATAATAATAATCCAAATCAGCATCATCCAAAACGAATGCAGCATTTACAAGTGCAGAGAATACTTTTGGATCCAGTTGAAGTAATAATTGAGACATTTTGTTTCCTTTAGTACTCCAAACCAAAGTAGCGTTATCACCAGGTAATGGAAGATGTGCAATTGGTCCAGTCTTTAAAAATCTTTGCCATCCTCTTAATTTAGCAAAAGGTGATAATGGGTTCAGCTTTAATGTAGCAACCATACCGAATGTATCATAAGGCCAACCTCTAGTAGTGATACCTGAGAATTTTTTTACTGGTGAATTAAACCCATCTGCACCTACTAATAATCTAGTCTTATATTGTTCACCATTACTTAAGGTAACTATTGGCCAAGATGTTGGATCACCTTTAGTAGAAGATTCAATACTTGTCACTTTAACTTCTTCTTTAATTTCGAAACTATCTTCACCTAAATTCAAATGATTTAAACGATGTAATAAAGAAGCTTGAATATTTAAAATTTCTATCATATCTAACATTCCATCTTGATCTAAAGCCATTCTTGCATCTGTCATACCATCTATAACATATAACCCATCATATGATTGAATTCTTTCATGCATTAATTGAACCCCTAAAGTTTCAGTTAAAAATTTCTTCGATTTGGGAGTCAAAGAAACGACTCTATTTGTGAATTCCTCTGGTGGATTATCATAAAATTTAGCTACTCTCTCTGTCAAATTCTGAGAATCTACCAATGTGGTCTTGAACCCAGAAAGTATTGGGGATGTCTTAATAGCAGTAGCTAAAGTCAAACCAGCTGGACCACCACCAACAATAAGAACATCTGTCAATTTGGGACCTGCACTCTTAGCAGCAGTAGCCAATTGTCTCCTTATAACTGTTTGAAATGAACCTAAGAACATCATTACACTTTTATTCATATAGGTATATTAGGAACTTAAAAATCTGGAGGCAAAAAATGAAAAAGATTTGGAAGTTCTTTATCAAATATAGCAAAGATGAACCAGAATTAGGATAAAAAGGGTTAGCGATTGCCTTTAATAATGATTCTTTCAATAAAAAGGTTCAAGTTTTCCCCTGAATCGTTTATTAGAATTGCAACCTCTTCGCTATGAAATTCTACAATGCGCACTCCGAAAGGTTTTTTTTTTGCATTCATTTCATATTTAAAGAAGAGCAATACAAAGAAACTGCACTTATGCTGATAATATTAACAAAAACATCGATTCCATTTGTTCAATTGACGAAGTAAATAGGTAGATAATCCAAACCTTTCGAAATAATGTCTAAAGCGATAACTAGGTCTCAATTGCAAAAAGTGGTTAGCAGTATTACCAAATTATATCCTGCTGAATTGGCTGATAGTGCATGGGATAACACAGGTTTATTAATTGATTGTTCCAATTCCGAACAAACTTCCACAGTCACAGTTCCTAAGATTCTTTTAACTGTGGATTTAACTCAAACTGTTACACAGGAAGCTATTGATAAGAAATGTAATATTATTATTGCTTATCATCCATTTATTTTCCCATCGTTTAAGAATATTGCCCCAACGAAAAATCCACAACATAAGAGTTTATTGAAATTAATTCAAAACAATATATCTGTATACTCTCCTCATACTGCTGTTGATGCAGCAAAGGGAGGTGTCAATGATTGGCTAGTGGATGGATTAATTCAATTCAAATCCGATCTAATTGCTAAAAATGTTGCCATTGAACGTACAAAGGCTTACCCTGGAGAAGACAACATTGGTTATGGTAGGCTTGTATCATTCAACGGTGAAGGTATTAAATTGAGTGATATGGTGAGCAATATTAAAGAAAATCTTCAAATTCCACATATCCAAATAACTTCCAATTATGAGACAAATAAGGACAAGATGATCAAGACAGTTGCATTGTGTGCCGGCAGTGGCTCGGGTGTTTTCAAATCCTTATCCCAATCCGAACAGGACTCTGTGGATCTATACTACACTGGTGAGCTATCTCATCACGAGGTCCTGAGATTAAAAGAATTAGGCAAGATTGTCATCACTTGTAACCACAGCAACACCGAGCGTGGCTACCTAGCAGCCGTCATGCAAAAGAAACTGTCAGAAGATGGTCTGTCTGTACAAGTAAGCGAGCAAGACCACGACCCACTGCTCGTAATCTAAATAATCTAGTTACAAATTCCTATGTACCCCCCCCACCCACACCCATTATATACCAAACCACCCACACACTCACACTCGCTCACACACGTACCCACCTGTCTTACCCGGACACCGCCGTGCAGCACGACAACCAGCGGCCCCCCAAACAATTTCAGTTTTGGTGGCTTTCTCGCTGTGTGTGGCCGCTCAAAAGAGCTGAAAGTGAAAACCAAAAAAAACGTGAAAAAAAGTTGCATAATTTTGCAGGAAATTCAAATCGGAAACCGTGGAGAAGTTTTAACGGTTTATCCAAGGAAAATAGTTTTTTTATTTATAATATAAAATGTGTTTTGACGTTGAAGTGTTCAATTCTCAAAGGGTTACCATTTAAGGGTTCTATTCCTTATAATCTAGAACACTATAATAACAACAACAATCTCATTTTTCTATACATTTATTTATTTTAACATTTTTTTTTCTTTATTTGTTTTGTTTTTAGAGAGTAGTACAACTTTTGGAAAGCGAACATATAATTACATTCTTTAAAAGATAAATTTCTGACTCAAGATTATTTTTACTCATTTTATTTTATTTTTTTTTTCGTTTTGTCTCATAGAATATCCTTATAGTTTAATAGGATAAGTGTGATAATCAGAAATCCTTCCTCCCCTTAAGAAGTACAACAGTGATATATTGATACAACCTTCAAGGAAGTAAGAAAGAGAAAGAGAAAAGAAAAAGCAAAAAAGAATCTTATACAGATATATGCAATAAAGGATTACATCATGTCGACAGATACCATGTATATTAACAGTTCACGAATGTTACCAACACGAAGTAAGAATAAAACTTCGAATGCGATGTTTCCTCGTAGTAACAGTAGCACAAGTATTAAGAACAACAACAACAACAACAATAATAATAAACAAAATGGTAATAATAATTCAACTAATCGTAATAAGAAACATTCTCATAAATCAAATGCGAATAAAAATTTAGATAAATTGAAAGTACCGTTACCACAAACTTTACCAAATGGTGAAAAGCCAAATTTTGGTGGGGGTTCAAATTCCACTACAATTCCAAATAATTCAAAGCGTAATGGTAATCATAGTAATAATAAAGATAAATCTACTAAAACCATTACTAAAAACTTAAAGAACTTATTACTGGATAATAATAATAACCATAATCAGAAAACCTCTACAAAAAGAAGAAGTAACAGCAAATCTCCAAAAATGCAAAACAATGTAACCACTAATAGTATTCCTGTTATGAATACTAACCATAGCCATTCAAATAGCATCAACCCTCAAGAATTTACAAAACAAAATACTACTCCAATCATGACTTTTTTAACCTCTCCAATAAATGGACCAGGATCAATTCCAAATATGAATTTATCAGATCAACATCCTGCTTCAAATCAACCAAGTACTAGTAGTAGTCGAGGCGATACACCAACTCCTGGAAATATGCCACGTGTAGGGTCTCAAATATTAACAAGACCCGGCATTTCAATGGCAATGCTAAATAATGATCAAGGTAATAATAAACAACAAAATATTCTTCCACAATCTCAACAACAACAACAACAACAGTATCCACAAGGATTTTTGCAACAACCTCAATCTTTACAATTTCAACCTCAAATTCAAGCACAATTTCCACAACAACCTCAATATGGGTTGCCTATTGGGCCTGGTATTCAACCAAATCAATCTATGCCACTACCACCACCTAATATTCAATCATCCTTATCTCAACATTTTCAAGGTTTAGGCTATCCATTTGCATTACATAACAATTACAGATTGTCTTCAAGTGGTAGTCCAGTTCCTCAACAAATTCAGTTGATGGCACCAATGTTTAACCAACAAAATATGCATCCAATGAATAATAATGATAATGCAGTTCGTCAGGGACAAGCTACAATTGGCAACACTATATCACCAAACGTTACACCTACAACGTTACGTTCCACTCAAATTACTCCTAGGGTGAAGACTAGTAAGACACAACAATCTTCTGCTAAAAGAAATAAAGCTAGAACATCTAGTCATTCATTTGCAGGGGCATCGTTTGCTACTGATGTTCCTCAGGAATCAAATTTACCAAAACCAAGTTTTTTATAGGAATATGAACGACTGTTTTTTTTTTTCTTTTGACTTTTTTTTTTTTTAAATAAAAAATAACCTTTTTGATATTAATATATTTAATTAATATACTCTTTATATAGACATAAATTATATATTTGCATATATACAGGGTACAATATAAATATATTTTGATGTTAAAATGTTACTTATTTCTCTTGTTTAGATTACAATTGTGAGATTACAAAATGAGTAGGGATGTTGATTTTATAGATACGAAAAATTACATATAATTAAATAGTGAACTGAATAATGGGATAAAGATAAAAAAATGGTAACATGAAAATGAAGTATAAACCTTATGCAATTTACAAGACAACGTTTTGTGCCAATTTCTTCTTGTAATCCAGAATAGTACCGTTCCATCTTGTGGCGGTCTTGTTTTCAACAACGAAAATATCCTTGGCAATCTTGTTTAACAATCTGAAATCGTGAGAAACAACAACAACACCACCGTTGAAATCGTTAATAGCATCAGCCAAAGAATCAATAGTTGGGATATCCAAACCATTTGTAGGTTCATCTAATAGTAAAACATTTGGTTGTTGTAGGGCCAATAGAGCAAAGACAACACGAGAACGTTGACCTTCGGATAGAGTACCCATTTGAACAGTTTGTGCTTCACCAGTTAGACCGTAACGACCTAATTGACCTCTCCAGTATTGGAAATCTTGAGAGACGTCTGAATGTTTATCACGAACAAATTCAAGAGCAGATTTAGTTAGATCTAATTGATCTTGGGAATGTTGGGAGTAAACACCTAATTTAACGTGAGTATGTCTGGAGACACGACCAGATTGAGCCATAAGTTCACCAGTCATGATCTTTAATAAGGTAGATTTACCAACACCATTTGGACCAACCAGCGCAATTCTGGAATCCATATCGACACCGAAGTCTAAGTTTTCATATAGGTTATGTTCTGGCTTACCATCGTAAGCGAAAGAAATAGTATCGAAGGATAGAACTGGAGGTGGTAATCTTTCGACTTCTGGGAATCTGAAAGAAAAGACTCTATCTGGAACAACAGCTTCAATTAAACCATCAGCTTCCATCTTATCCAAAATCTTTTGTCTAGATTTCGCTTGTCTAACCAAGTTAGCATATGTACCCGCAGAGGCAATGAACTTCTTAATATGTTGAATTTCTTCTTGTTGTTTATTGTATTGTTTAGTTTGATTAGTTTCCAATTCAGATCTTGTCTTATGGTAAGAATCATAGTTACCACCATAAGCAGTCAATTTCTTTAATCTCATATCCAACATGTTTGAACAGACACCGTTCAAGAAATCTTGAGAGTGAGAAACTAAGACAAGAGTTCTGTCGAATCTTTTCAAATATTCTTCTAACCAAACACAAGCTTCCAAATCCAAATGCGCAGTTGGATCATCCAACAATAATAAAGTAGGTTTAACGAAAAGGGCCTTAGCTAAAGCAACACGCATTTTCCAACCACCGGACATGTCCTTAGTCTTCTTAAGAATGGTTTGAGCGTTGAAACCCAGACCGATCAGGATAACCGCAGCTCTACTTTCAAAGGTATCTGGGTCTAGAGAGTCCATTCTTTCATATAATGGTTCCAATAATTCGGATTCTGGACCATCTTCAATAATGATCTTTTCAACAAGATCTTCCATTCTTTGTAACTCAGCTTGAGCTTCTCTAACAACATATTCCAATGCAGAGTATTCAGTGGCAGCAGCCGGTTCATCCAATAGATAGATATCAATGTTTTCTGGAATTGGGTATTCTCTAGTAGCGATAGCCTTTAGGAAAGTAGATTTACCACAACCGTTTTCACCTAATAGACCATATCTTCTACCATAGTTTAATTCCAGAGTAGAGTCTTGAATCAAGACCTTACCGTGGAACAATAGAGAAACGGATGTTAATTTAATATCTCTGGAGGTTTCTAGAGAAGCTAGAACACCAGTGACAACACGATCGGAGATACCATCATCATCTTGTTGTAACTTTAACTTTTCGATTTCCTTGGCTTGTTCACTAACTTCATCAACCTCTTCGTCACCAGACTTCTTCTTGGATTTACGGACGGTCTTACCGGCAGCGACTTTCTTAGCGTCTCTTTCAGCTTTCTTTGCTTCTCTCTTAGCTTTGGATGCAGAAATTGGAGGCATTTTATTTATTTATCTTATGTTGATAAGTTTTATATGAATTCTACCACTGATAAAGTATAGAAAATTTTTAGTTATACCAAGCAAACTTTAATAATAGTAAACCGATGAGTTTCTGGTTTATATAGTATCATTTTGGGACAGCCCTTTGCGATGTCCATTGCAACGAACAAATTTTTCACTTTTTTTTTTCCCAGTTCGTTTGTAATGATACATTCCACTATATATTCGTGCAACATGATTAAGCTTCATAATTAAGTTCCAAAAAGAAAAGATATCAAGATCAGGCTTCATTATTTATTGTAAAGGGAATCATAAACCATTTAAGCAGATATACTCACAAGGAGACAATTGGTATCATATTTGGAAATCGTACAGACTTATAGATTGGCTGAAATATACCGTAAATTGAGTAAGTATGAGTACGTCAATGATTCAAGATCAAAATTTTGCTACAGGAGATTTCAGTGAAGATATAAAGGAGGAGGTCCTAGATTTGCTTAAGACAAGAACAATTAGCGATGTCAAAGATTATTTATTGGATATAAACCGTAAATTATCGGTTACGGAGGAGGAGTTTAACAAGGAATTGAAAGTACATTATTCTGTTATCTTACATGTAATCCAAAATATTTCCTTATTGCATAATGATCTAAGTAAAACTGACACAGAATTTAGAGAATTGTGTTTTAATGATAGCCTTTATCAAATTAGTAAATTACCTACATTTGAACCCAAAATGTTGTCGGTTGAGCATCATGCACTGGACAGTAATAATAACAATAACAATAACAATGATGATAAAGATTTACAAAGTGTGACATTAAGAGTTACTAATTGGGTCCTGGCTGTAACAACTTTTATTGATCGATTCACTAATTCTAATGATAATAGAAATGCTTTCTTTGAAGACATGATTACGCGTTCATTGAATCTAAGCAATGATAATAATGAATCGATATTTGTTAGATATCAGGACATTATCAAAAATAAATCTCGATCTTTACAAGAGTATATTGTCGAATCGTCGATAGCCCATAGGATAATACTGAACCTCGAACAAAGTATCGATGTATTTAATCTTTTCCACTCAACAGTGTCTTTTTTCTCGTGGGACAAATCTTTAACGGAACAGTATAATAATTTATTGTATGATATGATACTAGAGGACTACGATCTTGAATCGTTGTATGGTAATGAAAATATGGGCAATATCAACACTCCATCAGTAAGGGATTTTTTGCAATCATCTTTATTCAAGAATAATGTAATCCAAAGACTAATTAATAATATAGAGGACCAATTGACTCAGTTAGAGATGAGTAGGAACCTAACATCCGCAGTGGTGGAAACAGCAAAAACAAATGAAGAACATGATAATGATTATGATGAAGAGGATGATATGGATGATGAAATATCGACGATTGTATATCAATCACTCATGCAATCTATGGGTCTTACATCTGATCACGATATCACCGGGTATGATAACACAGAATTAATAATGGACCAATTAAAAAGCTTAGAGGATCTAAATGCAGATGCAACAAGGGTCCAAATTTTAAGGGATAGACTGCTAGCATATTTACTAGCAAAACAAAAATCACTTCCAGAGAATGATAAAGTTACACAGCCACAAAACACCGATGACACAGTACAAGCCATTTTGGACAATTACAACAAGACCAATCTTGAAGATTTGATCAGCCAACAAATAAAGAGACTATGCAACACAGCAACCAACTAAGACATTATAAACACACAGATCCCTAAGGTCAACGTTTACTAAAGAAACGTGCCTCGCATTACCATGTAAGTATACATGAAACGTATACAATTGTACGTTATGAGTAATCGTTTGTTATTGTTATTTAGTTGCAAAAACAAATTTTTTTGTTTTCATTTTTTTGGTGAACCTGCGGAGTCTCAATAAGGTAAAGATTTTCAAATGTCAAGAAACATGTGGGCATTGCCATTCCAATTTGCTTAGTTAAACAGGCATCGGTTTCACATAAGAATGAAAGAACAGGTGTGCTTACAACTAAATAAAAAGGGTGTAGGTATTTGGAACATAGTATACTTTTATATATAAATAGCATAACGAATAAGTTAAACATTTTACCTCATTTTTTAACATTGCATCTAGGTAACTTACACCACATCCACCATTTTAAAGACATTGTTACTCTATTGCAAAAAGTATAATTAACTATTGAAAACACAATACAAATATGACCATTGATACTGATCCACATTCTATCTATCAAAGGGAAACTGAAAGACAAATAAAAAAAAATATAGATCATTTATGTTCGTTGAATCATCCAGGTTGTAAGATTACATTCCCTATAGAGCCTTCGAATCCATTGCCAACACCAGATGAGAATATGCGTGTATTTTTTTTTGATATAGATAACTGTCTTTATAAGTCGTCAAGTAAAATTCATGACTTGATGCAAGTTTCTATTGTGAATTATTTTAAGAATACTTTGAATTTATCACATGAAGACGCTCATCAATTAAACAATACTTACTATAAAGAATATGGTCTTGCTATACGTGGATTAGTAATGTTTCATGGAATCAATGCTTTAGAATATAATAAACTGGTCGATGACTCATTACCGTTACAAGATATACTGAAACCCGATTTTAAATTGAGAGAAATGCTTTTAAATTTGAAGAAAAGTGGATATTTTGATAAATTGTGGTTATTTACCAATGCTTATAAGAACCATGGTGTCAGAGTAATAAAATTATTGGGACTTGGTGATATCTTCGATGGCATGACATATTGTGATTATTCACAGACAGACACTTTAGTCTGCAAACCAAATCCACAAGCATTTGAAAGAGCCATGACACAATGTGGACTTGCAAATTATGAAAATGCCTGGTTTATTGATGATAGTGGTAGTAATATACATCAAGGTTTAAAATTAGGTATGCATCAATGTGTTCATGTGGTAGAAAATGAAGTTAATGAAATCCTAGGGAAGACACCTGATGGTTCAATAGTTATTAGAGATATATTAGATTTACCAACTGTGGCGCCTCAATTATTCTGTACTGATCATTAATATATATATATATAAATATATATAATGAGATAACATATATAAATCGAATAATTAATCGAATATGCAGCTTAAGATTAGGAAACGAAAAAGATTGTAAAATTAATATAAAATTTATGAGTTTATAATGCTAACAAGATATTAAATATTAGTCAATGAAACAGTTATGAATAATTGATCTAACTTATTTTCTAAGTTGTGATTGTTTATTATATATAATTGTCGATATGATTATCTAGTTACGAACTTTATGTTCGATTTGTTTTCTTTGTTTAGCAACAGCATAAACGATACCAGATAAGAAACCAATGAAGATAGATAAGATAGATAAGAAGTTTCTTGGAGCATCAAAGAATATTAAACCAGATAAAGCAATTGGTAATTTGTTCAAAGCACCAACCATAGAGTAAGTAGTGGATGAAGTGACACGAACACACCAACCTGAACAATAAGAAATACCAACAGAAGCCATACCTGAAATAATCATAGCGGTTAAGGAATCATTAGATAAGTTAACAGCTAGATTAGCAGAGGACCAATCTTCAAAACAGAAAGATGCAACTAATAGAATTGGAAGACCTAAAATGTTATTGTAGAACATAGTATCGAAATCTTTGAAATTGGTTAACTTAATTCTCTTTCTCATAATCAAGACAAATAATGCAGATGAGATACAGTTAGTAAACATCCAGAAATAACCTGGGTTTAAAAACACAGATGCATTAGCTTCACCAATAGTTTGGGAAGCAGCCTTTGAAGCTAAAGCTTGTTGATCACCCCAAGTGGCAACGATAGAAGATAAAACCATTAGTAAGAATGCTGATAATTCCATAGAGGAAACAGAACCACCAAAGAATAGCACTTCACCATAAGCAATTAGAATAATGGTTAAATTCTTGAAAATGGTATAAATTGGAACAGCTAAGAATTGTAAAGCCTTTGAAGAGGTATAAATCATTAAAACCAATAATACAGAGATTGGGAACCAATTTTTAGCGTCAGTTTTATTTAAAGAACGGAATTTTGCGTAACCTAACACTTTCAAAACGACTAAAGTCAAACAACAAACTAAAGATTGAACAAATAGCATAACAAAATTCATGTTGAAATTTTCCAAATTGACAACGAATTTGTTTGTAACAGTCATTAAGATAGATGAACAACAGTAAGATAAGATAGAGATTGGACCGGAGTTGGCAATCCCGGCCATAGAGCCATGATCAATTTTCAATTCAGACATTATGCTTTATTGTATGTGTGTATATTTTCTTAATTGTTCTTTTCAACTTGTTTAACGTTCAGAATCAACAGTAATAATAAAAAGTTGCTAGTATAGTTTATAAGTGAAAAGTTCTTAAAAAGTGTAATGGAAAATACTTGCAGAAGAAAACAATGCCTAAATGAATAACTAAAAACAATAACAGAAGTTTTAATGTCAGTACTGAGTTCAGTACATATACAAAAGGAAAAGGAAGATATAAGTTAAGCGAATATTAATATAATTATATACACGTTAAAAAAATGTTTTTACAAATTTCATTAATTCATTATTGTTTTCAATGTGTACTTCAATGAAATTGTTTACTGCAGAAATTTAGAATCGCGCGTTCCTTTCGCCAAAAGGAAAAATTTTCGTGGATGCTGAGGGTAACATAAAAATCTCTGGGTTCAATTAATCAATCGATGCAAAACATGGCACTGTGCCTCTTTAATACCACAGTCAAGCAATTTACCGATATTCTGATGTTGGTTGTGGTGGTTGTAATAGTCTTACTTTTTACACGTCATTGAGATCCATATCTTTGTCATGTTTCCAGTTGATGTATGAAACACCCAGTGCTCCCAATAGTGTGACATTAAATAGAACTCTAAATATGAAATAAGTTACATTTATCTCTGTATTTTTACCATCAACATTATTATTGGACCGAGGACCCCAAGAACCATATGCTAAATAGAACGATGCAATTTGTTCCTCACGAGCCATCTCTGTCCAAGATCCTTGCATTTTCCAATCGAGATATTCTTTGATCTCATCTTGCAACGCCATGTTCTTCATGGGAGACCATCTTTTTGGGATGTCCACTAGACTAGGTGGTGAATATATTGTACCATCTATACCTTCATGAACACTTGAATATGATACTTTACTATGAAACACCTGTAAAAAATTATTCACTTTAGGGGTGCCAGCACATCGAACAAACATTGACCTACTCACGGCTCTGGATCCGCATCCCACAAACCACGACATTTATAATACACACTGTTTATTCAATCTCACCGGTAGCTACCTCTTTAATTCAGTATACTGACTCTCTCAACCACCTCAATTCCCTAATATTCAGATTCTTCTTATAAGCTGATTAAATATTTCGAACAAATTTGAATTTTTCACGTGACCGCTTCACAAAAAAATTTCTAATTCGCGTGTCTCTCTATCTATTCGGGTTGTTAATGTTACGTGTTTAGTTCTTCTCCTTTGACAGGCTAAATTAATTATTATATAATAGTAAAAACATAATGATTAGCAAAGAAGTGGATTGAAGAAGCTGTAATTTTGGAAGTGATTTTTTTTTCTTATTTCTTGAACGTTTTTACTTTTAATTTACTTATTTACTTGGGAGGATAAGGACATTATTCACAAGAATCTGCAATCGTTATACATATACAATGGGTTACGAAACTATATACGTATGTCGTTGATATTTTTATGAAACATTTAATTCGTTACAACTTTTTAATTTTTTAAGAAAACTAATTGATTAATTTACCATTTAAAAAAAGATGGTTTATTTTATTTGTGGTTTTAATTTCATACTAACATAACTCTGGTTCACTATGCTCATTGTTTTTATACTGAAATCAATGCATAAGTACGTATCCTTTTTTTTTTTTAATTTTTTATTACAGAATGAATTTCATTCTAATGAACAAGTTCAGGCATTCATTCCATTAGCACAACAACCAAGATATGGTATCTTAGCTACCATTTTATGTTTGATATTCCTATTCGGTGCTGTAATGACTGCTTGCTCTAAGAGATCTATCATACCCAAATTTATAATCTTCACTTTCCTAAGTGTGATTGGTTCCGTCCTATTTGGTATCGCTGCTATCTTTGTCTCCGATGCTTTAGGTGTATATGTCTAATTAAATATATATATGTACCACAAAATATGTATATTACCCATAATAAAAAAAAAGAAAATATCGAATAATAAATAATAATATTGTGCAACAACAGTTTTTTTTTATAATAGTACTATGTAAAAGAATATATATATTTATATATTCTATATTGGGAAGGACGTCATCACAAATTCAACAGATCCTCATCCATATTCAATATCTTGTAATATTTATGTTGCGTGGAGGATTGATAATGTTGATCTCCATATGTGACTAACGTTGAAAGCATCGATCTAGTATAACTAACAATATTATTTAATGCACATTTACTATCTTTCCCTAGAAAATCTAATATATTAGAATTTAATATTTGAAATAATCGATCCTGTAAAAATTCATTAGATAGATACATTGAAAGATCATCAGGTGCTTCTTCTAATGGATCCTCATAAGCTAATAATCCTGATACATTAAATAATTCTTTCTCAAATTTTTGTCTTAATTCAATTTTAATCTCAGGATCTTGAACAAATTGTTGAGTTAATTCATGCGCAGATTTTAAAATATCTTTAATTGATTTATTATTATTCTTAATCTCTAACAAAAATTCGACTAATCTTAACTCGTATAATAATATCGTATTTTCCTCTAATAATCCAGGTAATTGTTCCTTAATATATTCAATACATCTATTGACCTCCCCGCAGTTTATTAACCTACGAATTTCATATCTCATCTTTAATAATTCTTCTTCATTAATAATTTGTTGTTCATTATGCTTAATTACTTCATAATTATTATTAAACCCAAGTGAATTAACTTCTTCAATATCCATACCATTAGTATCTTTACGTAAATCAGTTAAAAACCCCTTTGCAACATCAATCATACCTTCATGAATTAAATAATCATTTATCAATACGTTTAACATGGAGGGAATTGAATCATTATCAGCAGATATTTCATTTATCTTATTAGTGGCAGGTTTGATCATTTTTCCATTAGAAATTCTTGAATCAACATCTAATAGAAACGGTTTATCGTTTGTTGGAGTATTTACACCTGTTTCAGTTGAGCCTTCCTTATTCTTCGATCTATTATTACTATTTGTTCCACTCTCATTTGTATCATCAACATCAATCATAGAAACATCTTCTTCTTCATCGTCATCATCGTCAACATCGTTATCCGATTCGCTTGAACTGTCTGATATTCCAATTTTCCCTCTATTTAATCCATTCTTAGATGAAGGTCTTGGGGTTTTAGTTTCATTATTGGTTCCATTCGATAATGATGTAAAAACGTGTTCATATGCCATTAATTTCCAATTATTTTGGTAATTCATGATATCAAATACAAACTCTTCATAAACACCAAAATTTGTTCTCACTGCATTCCCGGGACGCAACCCTATTGCAGGTACAAAATCACTATCTTGCACATCACGGAATGCATTTCCTAAATAAACACCGTTCTTGGTGTAGAATATAGTACCATCAATAAAATTAACCCCACATCCAATAACATCATCTCTTCCATATGGCTCATTATAGCCTGATATTTGCCTTGGGCTAGAAATTTTACCATCATAACCAGAGTATGCATAGAACCCAGCTATGGAACCAGCATTGTTACGAATTGCGGATATACCGTCAGAACTACCTCTTACGTTTGGTTCTCGGAAACCATTCGGTTCTGTAATAAATGGTCTGACATCATTATGAGATTCGATACTGTCACCATGTTCATCTGATCTACCACCCATTTCCATAAAATGAACAGATGATACAGAATTATCTATCATAGCATTATCCATATTTAAATTATCAGTACCTTCTTCGTCATCTTCTTCATTATTAAAAGGTTTTAATTTATAACCTATAAGGATGTTACTATTTGCACCGCCCTGTGAACTGCTTACGTTAAGAACTCTTATTTCAAAGTAATATATACCAACATTGGGAAGGGAGACGCTATTATTAGCCCACGTTGTAGCGTATTCATATTTTTGACCAGTAACAGTTATTTCAGAATCCCTCATTCGATGTCTGCCATAAGCGCTCATATTTTCGGATGTTTCAATTTTCATATAAGATTTCCAATGTGGGTTTGGGGAGATTCTAGATATACCATCATTAGATATTAGTACACTATTTCCTTGTTGTGGTATCCAATATGTCGGTAGTGGATAGTCTAAAGTTTCGTATATATCCATTGGAGTATTATTTTTTTTCAGTTTGCAAGGTATTTTAGTCTCCCCTAGATTAGAATAATATAAACAATCTTGATCATTATCCTCATCTGATAATTCAGATAAATTATTATCTGTTTGTAACCTATCAGTAGCTGAAGGTACACTATTGCCATTACCTGAAGAAAATCTTGATTCTTGTATTAAATCATCAACAACATTTTCATCATTGTTGATTTCGTTGTCATCCTTCTGGGAGATAACATCGACACGTATCTTGTTGGGTACTTCAAGGTTATCAGAAAATGGAGAGGTCATGCTAATAGCTGCACTGTCTGTCATGTTTGACTTTCCTGAATTTTTACCTAAATAGAAATATTTGTATAATTGAACGATATATTCATCACTAGCTGATTCATATGGAACGGTCCCTAGAACACCCAATTTCATTAGCTTTTGCCAGATTTCTTTTCTTGTATTTGGAGATAGTTGATTGATATAAAATGAATCTAATTCATTGGTAGATTTGACATCCTTACCGATGGGTAGACCATTAGAGTTACACCTTGAATCATTAGAATTAGCGTTGCACAACTGACTGTTAGCAGATTTATGGAATAATTTCTTATGCTCATAATATTGAGACCATAGCTCTAATGCAATGGGTTGTTTTAATAAATATTTTGGGTATAATGCATCAATAAATTCTTTATCTATTTTATCCATATAACGAGACATTAGTAAAGGTCTATGTCAAAACAGTAATGAATTTGATATTATCAGAAAAAGACAAAATATGAAAAATAACAATAAACTATGGAAATAGTTGATACGTTGAATAAGCAAAACAATAACGTTAGTTTGTCAGAACACACTTTTGATTCACTAAATTCTTTATGGTGTGGTAAGAAGTACTCTTATCTTCCTTAATTTTTACCTACGGTGTTTATAAATCTCAAATCCCCTTATATTAAATCATTCTGACTATTTTCGCTTTGTTCTGCCAAATTAAATATAAGACATCGCGGTGTTAATTTGTATGGCTACCCATATAGTGGAAAAAATTCAATATTCTATAACCAAGACAGCAGTCAAAACAATAAGTGAAATATCCACGAGTTGGGTTGTGTTCGTTAATGATAAAATCTTATACATTCTTAAAAAATATTACATAGTTTTTGAAACTTATAAATAGTAACTTTTTATTACATTATTTCTGTTTGTTTGTTTGTTTGTTTATTTGTTTTTAATTTAATTTAATTTTACAGTAACTTTATTATTATTATAATAATAATATTATGTCTAAGTTTCAGCTTGTATTTCTTCAGAATCTTCCTCTGGTTCTTCGTCATCTTCAGCATCAAAGGCTTCCATTTCAGCTTCTTCCTTTTCACGCTTTTGGAATGCTAGATTGGCTTTAGATCTTAAGATATACAGATATTCTCCATTCTCTCTGTTGATCATCATCAGAGTGTTTTGAACCATACTAGTAAACTTAATAACTTCATCCATACTTACAGGGTGAATAGCAAATTCTTCCCTTCTACCAATGATTTGTCTCTTAACCTTTAAGAATTTCTTCCAATTTTCTTCAGATACATCACCATTTGTGTTCTTTCCAGAGTCAGCATCCATAACATCGATATAAGCTAATCTCTTGGACCATTCATTAACCATAACGTTTGCCCATTCTTCATAAATTTCGGCATATTGTTTACGCATAGCTTCAACAGCAAAATAAACATCGGCATCTAAGTTACCAACTTCTTTATTAATGTGACTAATTACAGCCAAGCCTAATGAGTTAGCATTTTCAAATAAATCACGCATTAATTCACGATCAACATAGGTTGGTAATTGAGTAGTTCCTGTCTTATCGAAATAGATTTTTTCTCCAGTCTTTGCATCTATTTCAGTGATACAATCAATATCTTCAATTTTTTTGGAGATTTCTTCATAAGAATCTTGAGAAGAGTTAGACATTTGTCTTAACATTTTCTTTAAAGTTAAATCTTTAGTCTTTAGAATCTTATCCATTGTTGTATTGACATCCTTTTCGAATAAGTCAACAATAGAAGACATTTTACGTTCAATGGCATCAGACCAATTGTCAAAATCAATTTGAATAGTATTGACTTCATCTTCCTCGGTGATTGCATCAGTAGGTTCTTGAGTTTCAACGGCAACTTCTCCATCATTCATGGTAACAACTTTAACGATAGTAGAAGTAGAGGTAATAACTTTTTCGTTATCATTTTCCAATTCTGCAAAATCTTCATCATTCATATTTTCTGCTTCTCTTCTGAATTCGTATAAATCAGAGTAAATTTCTTCATCTAGTAATGGTGTGGTTTTACCCTTTGGGATATCAGAAGTAGTAGATGCAGCTTTAGCTTCGGAAGAAGCTTGAGCGGCAGCGGCAGCAGATTTTTTTGAATTCATATAGCTTTCCTTTCTATCTTTAGCAATTTTTTTCACTTGTTCTTTCTTTTTTTCAATTGATTCTTCAACTTGATCTTTTTTCTCTTGAACTGTATCTTTTAGTTGTTGATTAGCTGATTCAGTAAATTTTTTAGCATCTTTAATGTAATTCAAATATCTAAATTTCCATTCTTGAAATTTAGTCTTTGAACTTCTTAAATAAGGTTCGAATACTTCACAAATTGGTTGGAATTGATTTGCATATTTAGTTTGTGCCACGTTATAAGTTTTCTTAATACCTAATTGTTTTTCTATCTTTGTAATAGTTGGTTCCAAATAAATATTATAATAAACATTTAATTTATTTATCAAACAAGAAATATTATCATGGATGAAAATTACATATGGTCTATGTTCAAATTGAGATAAATAAGGAGTAACAAATGCAACGAATGGATGAGTGACTTTAGTATTTAACCTTTCAGAGAAACTGTGACAATGAGGTTGAATTAAACTCGAATATTTAGCGGAGACAATAGCTACTTTTGGTGCCACATATTGATGATAAGCTGGACTGTTTGCAATTAGAATATTATTCCAAGTGGATGGAGCTGTGTAGTGACAGAATTGCTTGACATCTGTTGAACAATGATTCCATTCACAGTAGTGATTAACGGATAATATAGTCAATACAAAGACTATAAACTTGGTACAGAATTTCATCGATACCTCTTATTTTTTTGTCTTTATTAAATTATAGTTCTTTGATTCTTAATATAACTACAAAGAAATAACATATGCACATTAACAGATAGTATATATAAACAGCTTAAAACTGCATCTGTAAACTAAGTGAACGTAGTCTCCCTTGCAATATATTCGATGTTGTTAACGTTCCACGTTATCGCATTTTCCCTTGTTGTGGATTACGTGTAAGAAAGAGAAAAAAAGGCGACAGAACTGCGAAAACTGAAACAAAAATTTATATTCTTCTTTGGTGTATCCACAGGGTTTTGGTATGGTTTCACATAACATTAACCCAATTGATTCAAGTAGGGCCGATATATTGCTAGTGGTTCCACTATGTTGTTAGAAGATTTACCCTTATGCATATATATATATATACATATATAGATGGAAGATGTATAGTGGTAAATAAATGAAGTTTGGGGATGTTGTTTAGCAAAAGCGAGTCGAATATAGTTCCCTTTTGCCAGACAACTGAAGAAGGATGAGGTATGAACGTATAAGATACCAAAATTATTAATAGTATATAAATGTGAGAATCATTAACCATTATACCAACTTGTAAAGACTAAATCACAGTAATATGGAATATTTATAAAATATGTATAGCTCTAGTCTCTTAAAGTAAATAGGAATATTCTTGAAGGAACCGCGAGAAGCTGAAACAAGAAAGAAAGGAAAAAAAAATAAGGGAAACGAAGCAGATCAATGATTTCGAATAAAATTTGTACTTATTCGAAACAATAATTTGTAATAAGTTAGTCTGTTATTCAATGCATCCTGAGTTGGGATCAATACCTGTAACACTTCTGTTTGTTTGTTTTCTTTTGGGTTAAAGAAACCTCCGGACCATTTCGATGGATACGTCTACATTACAAAAGTGATTTACTTAAGGATTTATTTTAGACCCTGAACTTGCATAAAACTAATAGCATACCTATTTTGCTGAATATAAGATAGAAATTAAAAAAAAAAAATAAAGAAGGAGAGAAAGACAATACGATGTCCTTCTGGCCATTTGGTTCAACTAATTCGGAATCAGAAATTGATACGATTATTAATAATTATTTAGAAACACTACGTTCAGTAGAGCATTTTGAAAATATTTCCACTACAATTGTTCAACGAAGGCATAGCAGTAGTCATACTATCGGTCATGCGGGACCTTCTATGATCACTAGATCACATTCCCCTGTGTATAGTTCGCATTCTATTGCAAGTGATGAAGATGAGATATATGGATCCCCAAATCATTTACATATTGCTGATCCTAAAGGTATAATTAATATGAAAGAACGAAGATCAAATAGACCCAGTTTTTCTAGTTTGTTTAAAAATAATGAAATGGGTAAGCCATTTCAACCTTTGCCCTTGGGGACCCTCAACAATTATTATATAGATCAAATACGTAAAGAACCAACGCTAGTTGATAGATTGGTACGACAGGATAAAAAGTTGATGGATTTTATTTGTTTTGGTTATTTTTACAAACAAGCAGATAAAAATGAGTACGAAGTGGAAGATGAGGATATTGTTGTCGGTGGAGAGGATATATGGACGAAAGTTTATCATATAGATTATTTGATAGACGTCATGTTAAGTTGTTTAGATGATATCGATGGAACTTATCCATTTGGTTCTGAGGATCCACCTTATTCAGAAGATACTGAAATTGAGAATGATGATTTTATAGACCCTATCACAAAGAAATCCTCATCAAAGAATGAAACGCAGGACTCAAATTTTATAAAATCTGGTGCAAATGATACTTTAGATCGATATACGCAATTACTCAGAATATCAGATATTATTACTTTAAATATTCCTATTGTTCAAAAGATAATTTTGGAAAGTTCAGATAGAATGCAAAAATTATGGTCTATTATATATCATTCTAAAATAACTTCAGAAAACTCTATTCAATTGACAATTTTTTTAAAGATCCAAGATGGTTTATTAGCAAATGCAAGAAATTCATATTTGAATTTTATAAGAAATAAACAATCATTAGTTCAGGATATATTTCTTCACGATGATTTACCTACAATATTTGATTTCCTATTACGTTTGATATGTACAGACAAGCCAGATGATTCTACTGGCATTATTGACTTATTGGAGACACAAGGATTGATGACTAAATGTATGAACTATTTCAGAGACCCTATGTATTCTGATAGACAAAAAACATCTGTTTGTGATTTCTTAAAACAATTAATTGGAATATCAGTAAACATTCTTGTAAATGATATATCAATAGGCCCAAATAATTTAACAAGATTTCTAGTTTTAGAGGAAACTATGGAGACATTCATTCAAATTTTGTTGGAACAAGAAAATACGATACTTTGCAATATTGTTGTTCTCGTAATCGAATTGATTAGAAAAAATAATTCAGACTTCGATTCGACCCTCCTCTTAGAGACAACTATTCTGAAGGATCCCCCTAATAAAAGGGACCCCTTATATTTGGGTCATTTATTGAAAGTTTTCACTAAGCATTTGCCTGAGTTATTAAACATAATTTGGACTATGGACGCTCCAGACAACAAATTCTTCGAGACTCAAACAGGATATAAATATAAAAAAATCGGCTTAGTTAGAATTAAAATCATTGAGTTGATAGCAGAGCTATTACATTGCTCAAATATGGAATTAATGAATTCAAAGACTGCAGAACTTATTGCAGAAGAAAGACAAAGCTATAGGAAGTCGGTTACTAAAGAAATTAATTGTCTCTTGGACGGCGAGTGTACCACCGGTACTTTAGTGGAAGAGCAAGGTCCATTTACTTATAATAACAGTACTGTTGAAAATGATAATCTAACTACTAGTGATAACACAAGTGAATCTTCTTTTGACAAACCATTTATATCTATGGAAAATAATAGAAAAATACGAAAAATGAAAACTATAGGTGATGCATTTAAAATAATGTTGTTTGATTATGAAGTAATACCCAAAATTTTAAAAATTTTCCTTGAACATCCTTGGAATAATTTTTGGCATAACGTCACATTTGATATTATTCAACAGATACTCAATGGAAGACCTGATTCCACTTATGGTCCATTTCTGTTGTATTCCCTATTTTGTTTAAAGGACTCCAGGAAATATAATCTCATTGGTGCACAAGAGAATAATTTATCAGACTTTAATATTTTACAAGACTTTATATTGTGTGCATACAAAAACAGTTATCAATATTATATGAAGAATTCCATGACATTAGGATATAGTGGACATATCTTACTTATCGCAGAGGACCTCACGGTATTTTCGAATACTTTTGACACTAAGGGTATTGCACCGATGGTATTTGACCGACTAATGGATGAGAAATGGAAAACGCTCTCCAAAGATATATTAGCAATTACAAAAACCATGTGCATAAAAATCTTAGGGGGTGGTGAACGTATTGAAGACCAAAATGGTAATATCACACTACAGATATACGATAATGATCGTACAACAAGCACAAATGAAAATAACGAACAGCAGCATAACATCGAGCCTGATTATCCAACTCAGGCAACTTTGATTGATAGGATCGGAACCCTTTTCTAAAAAACTACATACAACAAATTAAGTAAAAGCCTACATGTTTATTTAATTCATAAAAGCATACAAGATAAAAAAAAATGGAAGAACTAATTGTTTTCTCAACATTTACCTAATCTTTATATAGGTTCCATAGTCAGTATCCTTATTGCATGTCTATATTTCTTAGTCTCTTAGTTGGTAAGTATAGCATTCCGTTTGTTCAGTGCAGGAAAAAAAATAAGCCATATATTAAATATAAAGACACTAACATATAAAGAAGATAGCAATAGTTATTACAGTAAGAAAGATAGAAACAAAAGGTAGAACAAGCATACTAATATATACATAATGTCTGTACAAATGGAAGAGTGGGCACAACATATGTGCGATTCAACATATTCTAACAAATTAAAGCAGGGTAGAAAGAAAAATGCCTTGTACCCTCCAGGATTTACACCATCTGATAATGATGATGGGAAAAATGGTGAAGCAGTTAATCAAAAGCGTACAGTAGTTAATTTGGATGCATTGCAAGTTCAGAAAGCTTGGCAAATAGCCTTGCAACCTTTGAAATCAATTCCAATGAATTTCTTCATGTCCTACATGTCTGGTACATCCCTTCAGATTATTCCTATAGTGGCAGCATTGATGCTTCTATCAGGTCCAATTAAGGCTATATTTTCAGTTAAACAGGCATTCAAACCTGTATTGGGAAACTCAAACACAAATTCAACCATCAGGGGTGCTATGTTGCTGTATATTATTGGGCAATGTGCGTTGATGTATATTGGTATAAGGAAACTGAATCAAATGGGTCTAATTCCAAATACCGCAAGTGATTGGTTAGCATGGGAACAAAAAGTGGATTATAATCAGGATATTAAATCGGTGGTGATTTAGTAAGATATAATCTCTCTGAACGTGTTGTGTTAGTACTTCGATAATTTGAAAGACATATATATAGATCATTAAATATTTCGAACATAAATAGTACTACTTAAATATTTTCACTTTTTAGTACATTAGAATAAACGTAAAAGACTTATATGATTTAATTGGTTCTTGGATCACGGTTTCTTTGGTTTGGCTGTGATTGCCTCGGTATCCTTCTGATTTAGCTTTGCTTCAAATATTTGCTGAACATTGTATCTTTTGTATGATTTATTATAATCACCATTTACAACAGAAATACCAACGTTGTTCTTAAAACATTCGACCAAAATTAGTTTATCGTAGTTCTTCAAATCAACTTTATGTTTATACTTTCCGTTTTCGCACACAACTGATACCAAATTATTAATGATATCCATCTTTGGGATTGTATTAAAATTTCTTCTAGTAACCTCAACTGCAAATTTATATCCTTCCTTTTCACTTTCAGTAGAATGGAAATGTGGAGAAAGTACTTTCTCAGCTAATTTCAGTATTTGTTCCATCGATGCACTACAAGAGTTTGTTACTGGTGTTAATTTTTGAACGTACCTTGTTCTTTTTATACTATTTTGAGGGTCGATCAATTCATCCATTATCTTCTTGACAAATTCTTCAGGGACAATTGGTCTCCTAGTTTTACAAAAGACAACACATTCACAGTCTAAGTCAACAAAATGCAATAATTCTTTCTTCTTTTGCTCTTTGCTAATTGGATTCGATGCAGTCTTGATTTCTGACAATTCCTGTTGAATCTGTTCCTCAATGGATAATTCTTCAGTAGTTTTTGGTTCATTTACATTTTCGTCTATGTTATCATCATTTTCCAACTCTTTAAGTTTATCACCGTATATTTCTTGTAACTTTTCTTCAAAAAGCAATCCTAACTCTTGAGCAGCCTGTCTTTCTTTTCTTCTAGTACAAGTTGCATATATACCCGAAGTGCCTGGGTCTAAGAAACCCGATGCCACCTTGAATTTCTTCTTCTTTTGATCTCCTTTTCCATCCGAAGAACGTTTAGTGCTCATTTTTGACTTGGTATTTTGTCAATGACGATTCACTGGTGGATGTTCTAATTTCTTTATATTCTAACAATCATTCTAATATATATTGAGCATCTAAATCAAAAATTTTCAATAGCTCATCGCGAAGATACGGATTTTCACTACAGTTCAAGAATGTCAATATTGACGTTGGGACTTTTATATATATTTTATTGTTCTAAATCAGGCACATTATTAATACTATTTCATTGTTTGCATATTTTAATTCATTAAAAGATATATATTAAACTATTTCTGTGTTGTTTAACGACCGAATAATTTAGCCAGTCTGTTAGTATTTCCGGAAGAGTCATTTGAGGGAGTAGAACTTCTTGCAGAGCCTAATATCGATTTGGAATCCATGTTGTCATCAGATTCTGGTGTACTACTCCTTACCTTACCTAGTAAAATATTTGCATCTTCAGGTTTTATACGAGAAAATTTTTTCATTCTGATTTCGGGATTAGAATATTCAGAATAACTTTTTGTCTTCAATAATTCTATACATTGATTCAGTTCAATGAATGTTTCTTCCAAAGACTTCATATTATTTTCCAATAAAGCTGCTTGGCGATCAGATGCGTTGGGGTTAGGAGTCCCTGGTGCAGAATGTAGATCGGAAGTAGTTGGGGAAAGTGAGGGGAATATCCTAGGTATGATCCCTTGCAGATAATTGACGTCAATTTCAAAATTTGAGACACTCTCTTGGGTCAAAGAAGAAGGTGTTTCATGTAATAATACATCAAGCACTTTCCTTGTCAAAGAATCGAATTCTCTAAAAATCAGCAGTGTTTGAATACTGTAAGGTAAATTCACTAACGTAGATGCGAACATCATTTCCAAAAATTGTGCAACATCGATTATTGAAATATCTGGTTCATGACGAAGTTGAGTTGAGCTCCAATCAAATTCCACTGTATCTAAAATATCAGATATCTTCGAATCAATCAATTCAATCAATTTAGTTTCTGCGTATTTTCTACTTTCAATATAATGTTTGATGGAGGAAAGCTTGATTTCAATATCAGGATTTTGTAAAATATTTGTGTTTGTCATCATCAAACTGAATTCTTTTGAGGCAATAATGAAATAATCCAAATTAATCAATATTTGAGCTATTTCTTCTCTAGATTTACTATCTAATTTGGATTTGATCTGTTGGTTGACAATATCGTTAAATATAACGTCCATTGTTTTAATCAGCATATTGCTTAAATATTGTAGATTATGCCCATAAAACACAGAGATGAATAAGGTCAACTTTGAATATATCTTCTTAGCTAATGTACAGGTCATTGGGTATAACGGAGAAAATGGTAATGTAATAGAAAAGTCAGACCCCGCCGCTTCTAGTGCACTTACTTCTTCAGTCAACCTTTCATGTTCATCCCTTTTTAACCAACAAATTTTAATAACCTTATTAAATAATGTGCGATCCTCAATAGTCAAGGGCATAAAATCATCATCATCCAATAGTATTCTAAATTCTTCGCGGAAAGATTCCATCGAGAGGTTACAATATTTTTGGAAAATAGAGAGTAATATATTGTATAGTGGTGCTATACTCAAGTTAAAATTCTCTACAATAGCGACATATACGCTAAGGAAATTTTTAAAATCAATAAGTTCTTCTTCAGTATTAAGTAACTTGTTCATCGCATAACTTAGGTATGGGCCTAATCTATTGAGTAATCCTTCCCAGAATTCATTAGTAGCATTATAGTTACTACCTACCAGGATGAAATCTGTCGCTCTATTGAGGCAGATATCATACATTAAAAAAGCTAAAATACGAAGCAAATAACTCTTCAAAAATGGTAATGTCAAAGCCTTAGTAAATGCATCTCTCTCGATATCCGATGCTGTGATATTAATGTTATTAACTGTTTTCTTCCACACCAATGGGAAAATAACTTTGGATTTTCTAAATTCATACTCTTTTGTGAACTCAGAAAGTAAGTATGGAGTTTGGTTTAAAGTTTCGAAAATCATTATGGCATCATGGAATTCGTCTAAATGGAAGAAATTATCTAATGCTATTGTACTGAGGACTTCTTGATCTCTCAAAGATATTTCTACAGGGGAATTGAATTTGAATATATTGAAGTCCATTTTCTCTTTGAGTTGTAACCACTGAGGGAGTAATTGCTTCTCGTAGCAATCAAAGATAGAATTACCAACATCCTCCAGGTTTTTCCCCAAATTTATGTTGAATGAGTTACGAATTAAATTTATGCATTCATCTTTGACCACTTTTTTCAAAAAAGGAATAGAATCATATATTTCTTTGAGAAATCCAAAGTTGTAATTTTTAAACTCTTGTAAATATAATTTTTCCAAGTTATCAAGATTTTGAAGGGCCTTGAAAAAACTCTTCTCTGTAATCAACTCTTGACATTTGCTCGATAATTCTAAAATACGTAAAACTTTGGTTATCAGTATAATTGCTTCCGATATTTTCAATGATGTTTTTTTATTGTTTACGAAGACTTGTTTTTTCATTATTAAATCATTAGAGGATGAGGATAATTTATTTTGAAAGTCTTGCATTTGGACAGTCAATTGCTGTTCAATAGTACCTTGTATATTGGTTACTTCTCCAATAGATTCAGTCAATTTATTAGTAACTTGGAAATCACGTAGTAATTGAAGTTCCAATCCTTGGAAATTGTCTTCGGTCGACGATTGTAACTCATCGACTACAACATCAAGTTGGTCGTTTTCTATTGTTTCTCTAAGGAAAGGAACCCATTTATCAAACAATTGGGTATCTAAAGAATCACCTAATACTTTTTCGATATCCTCATTAGATATATTGCCTGTCTTCTTATTCTTTGACAGTAATAGCTTTTCTTTTCTCTCCTTATTTGTTAAAAAGGAGGAAGAGACAGACGAAGTAGCAGAAGTTAATAATGTCTTCTGAAACTCATCAGATAAGAGAGCCTCCTGGTCCATATTTGTTCAAGTAGTGTTTTAATAATATAATATTTAAACAACCAATGACCAATTTTCGTCGTTATTCGACTTTAACAACGTTACTATCTTATTCCGTGAAGAATGTACGTACGCTCCTAATAAAGTGTTTACAATAAAGGAGAACTAACCTTTTGTGATATGTCCAAACGAAGATTTTGCTAGGTACCTTTTTTAAATAAAAGCTTAGACTACTTTATTGAAACTTCCCTTTACTTATTGTTCTAATTGATTCAGTCAAATGTGTTGATGATTATGCGGAAATGGTAACAGCTTGAGTTTCATCAGTGTGCATAAAAGCGCGGTACTCGAAGAGAAATTGTTAATGCCTTTTAAAGGAAGTCGTTCATGCTCGAGTATCATTTGCAAGGTATACAAAAAGAGTTGTTACTACTTTATGAGAATGCATTTAAATTCACCATTAACAAGCCGTCGTTTATAATATATATTGTCACGTACTTTTTAACTGGTTTTTGTAAGTGTATGAATTAGAGTTTTATAAATATTATTGTACAGAGTTATAAAATATGTATGTTCAATTATCTTTAAGTTTTCGTGAATAAGTTTGTTGCCGTTTAGTATAGATTGGTAGCATTATTGACAACACAACCTGGTGCACCAGCTGGTTTTTCTACCAGGGTACCGATTTCATAAACAGTTTCGTTGGCTTCTCTTACTAATCTCTTGACTTCTTCAGCATTTTCTTTTTTAACGATAAGAACCATACCAACACCCATGTTCAAAGTCTTTAAAATATCTTCAGTTGGGACATTACCGGCCTTTCCGAACCACTTGAATACTTCTGGGACAGTCCATGTTGACATATCCACTTGAGCTTGTAAATTTTTTGGAATGGCACGAGGAATATTTTCAATCAGACCACCACCTGTTATGTGAGCCAAACCTAATATTAGTCTTTTTTGTAAAGATGGTAGTAATTGTTTGACATATATCTTGGTTGGAACAAGGGTACCTTCACCAAGAGTTTTAGTATTATCCCATGGACAAGGATCACTCCATGATAATCCAACGTGGGAAATAACTTTTCTGACTAAGGAGTAACCATTGGAATGCACACCATCGGATGCAAGCCCAAGTAGGACGTTACCTGCCTCCATTTGATCCATCTTAGGTAATATATCATTTTTGTTTACGGCACCAACAGCAGTACCGTTGGTATCATAGTGACCAGGTGGGTACATACCTGGCATTTCAGAAGTTTCACCACCGACTAAAGCGCATCCAGCTTGTAGACAACCATCAACAACACCAGAAACGAAATCGGATGCAACCTTGATATCAAGTGCACCAGTGGCAAAATAATCTAGGAATAATAGAGGTTCAGCACCTTGTACAACTAAATCATTAACGTTCATCGCTACCAAATCTATCCCAACAGTGTCATGAATGTTAGTTTCTTGTGCAATAATCAGTTTGGTACCGACACCATCAGTGGCAGCGACTAATAATGTTTCGTCGGTATCATAACCAGCTTGCTTTAGGTCAAAAACACCACCGAAACCACCGATATCTGAATCAGCACCTGGTCTTCTTGTAGATTTGACCATATCTTTAATCTTTTGGACTAATAGGTTACCGTTGTCGACAGAAACACCGGAATCTGAATAAGTAATGGAGGTCTTTGATGTGTTTTCATCAAATGCACGGTGAGCAATATCCTTTCTGAAATATTTACCCTTGAAATCAATGCAGTCAACAGCTTCGTAGGCTTTGGCAACAGCATCCTTTAATGTCTTAGCAATAGCCGTAGCAGCAATAACTCTGCCACCTGCAGTCAACAATTCATTTTTATCACTAGAGATACTGGTACCAGCTTGGAAGATGTATGCATCAGTTGGTAACTTATGTTCATTAATTGTGATGACATCACCTTTGTTATAAGCTTCTGGATAACCACCAGCAGCTAAGACAACAGTGGTAGCAAAATAATCCTTCTTGATATTAATTTCAATAGAATCTAATCTGTGTTCAGCAGCAGCTAAAAATACTTGAGCTAAATCGGTTTCTTCAGTTAGCAATGGTAAAACGGTTTGAGTTTCTGGATCGCCAAATCTTACATTGTATTCTAAAACTTTTGGACCAGCCTGAGTTAAAATAATACCGGTAAATAAAACACCAACAAAGGGTAAACGATCCTTTCTTAGACCATCAATACTTGGTTTAATGATATTTTGATCGATTTCATTTAGTATCTTTGGGGTAGCCACTGGAGCTGGAGCATATGCACCCATACCACCTGTATTCAAGCCGGTATCATTTTCACCGATCCTCTTGTGATCTTGAGCTGCAGGTAAGTTATAATAGGAATAACCATCAGAGATTGTTAAAATTGAAATTTCTTGACCTTCAAGGAACTCTTCGATGACAACAGAATCACCTGCAGAGCCAAATTGCTTATCAACCATAATAGTCTTTAAAGCATCAAGTGCTTCTTGCTGATTGGTTGGGATTAGAACACCTTTACCAGCAGCAACTCCATCGGCTTTAATGACTATATTCTTTTCGTTTTCATTATTTATATAATTAACAGCATCGTTATAATTATCGAATCTTTCAAATGTAGCTGTTGGGATATTATGCTTCTTCATAAATTCTTTAGCAAAAACTTTAGAACCTTCAAGTTGGGCAGCTTCGGCAGAAGGACCAAATACTGGGATACCTACTTTTGTGAAAAATGTAGTAATACCATCAACTAAAGGTTGTTCAGGACCTGGAATAACAAGATTTATGTTATTTTTTTGCGCAAAAGTTTGTAAATTAGTGAAATTTTTTGGAATTGGTAATAAATCATCTTGAGTTAAATTTTCAACTTTAGCAATATTTTTAGTACCACCATTACCTGGAGCAACGTAAATCTTGTTGACAGTTGATGATTGAGATAATTTCCATAATAGAGCATGTTCTCTACCACCGTTACCTAATACTAGAATGTTGAATGACATATTTTTAAAAATAGGTGGAAATAATATTGAGATTAAAACGAATTAATCGAAACTTTTTAATTTACTTAAGGGTGGGTATTAGTTTACCTAATGTAACGATATCCGATTTGAAGATAATGAATAATCGATTTATTTGTGTCTAGTGTAGCTAAACCTCGATGAGTTTCAAACAAAAAAAAATATTTATTCAAAAGTCTAAAGGATGTTTCCTTTATATATTGTTCGATAGAAGAATGATGATGTTATTTATTGAACAAAGATCAGTCACAATTACAAAAGACTAATTGAGTTTTGACTGTTTTAATATTTTTTTAATTGATAATATTAGTTTCATTAAATGAATTAAAATTATAATTACCAAGTAACTGGTATGATTATGTGATGGCTAATATTCTTTATTCCAGAGTATGTAAGTGATGAGAAAGGGACATCGTTCAGAAAGCAGCCCATACCACTTTTTTGGTTTTTCAGAATTATTTTCTGACTCCGTGGACTATTGACTTCTCTCTCTCTCTCTCTAGGGAAATTCTGCATTCAAAGTACGCAGTAAAATAATTTTCCATTTCAATTCTGTTTTTGTTCCAGCTGCCATTCGCATTTTTTTTGCTTTGCTTTTCTACCCTTGTCAATAGTAAAGTAGTCACACGATAGAAGGAGCGAAAAGAAGTCAAATCAAATGTTTTGCCTCGTACAACATGATCCTCCTGTAGGTTTTTGATAAATTCAATAAATGAGACTCTCTTGCCCACAGAAAGTTTCAAAGTTCTACTATTTTTGTTCATCAAACTGATGTTACGGATAATGGGGAGAATCAATAGGATTGTTCGTGTTTTAAAGGAACATTTGCTGACTAGGTTTGTAGGTGTGCTGTACTTTTCTACGAAAATATGAAAATATGGAAATGATTGTTCACATCTTATCTAATTACTGATAGTCCAAGTCTGACTAAAGAATTGAATCATTGCAAATAAATATCTACCTGTTTCTGGTATCTTTTTTTGTTTTATCCCAAAAGAAACAACTATTGTAGTTCATAAATTGATAATTTATTTCCAAATAGCCGCCAGAGATTTCCCACTTTATATCTCAAATTTTACATGGTTCGCGCCGCCGCATAGGAATCTTATTCCAATTTTAATGACAGATGAATTAGATCAGAGATACTATAAAGGTAAGAACTAGTAGAATATATACCTTAACGCCTTTTTTTTATTTTATGTAGAATAAATATAGATTCGAAGTCATTATCAACGTCATGTGGAGAGTTAAGAGGAGTCATGTGGTGAGGTCTACATTGAGGAGGCCATATATCAAACGGCAGATTACAATGAATGCAGATCTTACAGCTGCGATGGCATCATTACCTGAAAATGATGTGATAGTTATAGGGGGTGGACATGCAGGTTGCGAGGCATCAACAGGTGCAGCTAGGGTTGGAAGTAAAACTATTTTGGTGACACCTTCTATCAAGCAACTGGGGACGTGTTCATGTAACCCATCGATGGGTGGTGTTGGTAAAGGGACTCTATTGAGAGAAGTAGATGCTTTAGATGGTGTAGCAGCAAGAATAACTGATAAAGCAGGTATTCAATTCAAGATATTGAATCAAAGTAAAGGTGCTGCTGTATGGGGGCCTCGTGCTCAAATAGATAGAAATTTATATCTGAAGGAAATGCAAAATGAATTAATAGATTATCCAAATTTAAATATTCAAGAGGGGAAAGTAAAAGATATTATTATAGATCAAGATGTTCTAAATTCAGATGGAGTATACGGAGAAGTCAAAGGGGTGATACTTGATGATAATACAATAATTCCTTCTAAAAAGGTTATAATTACCACAGGTACTTTTTTGAGTGCAGAAATTCATATTGGTTTAAAGGCTATCCCAGCTGGAAGAATTAATGAACCGCCTACTTTTGGTATTAGTGAAACTTTAGCTCAAGTTGGATTCCGTCTTGGTAGATTGAAAACAGGCACACCAGCAAGGTTAGATAAATCTTCAATTGATTTTACAAATTTGGAGAAACAATATGGTGATAAAATACCTACGCCAATGAGTTTTGTAAATGACTCGGTAACAATCAAAGATCAAATACTTTGTTATGGAACAAGAACAACTCCACAATTGCATCAATATTTGAAGGATAACTTGGATAAAAGTATTCATATAAGGGAAACTGTTAAGGGACCTAGATATTGCCCCTCCATTGAGGCAAAAGTATTACGCTTCGCTGATAAGGACTCTCATAAAATTTGGTTGGAACCAGAGGGAATAGACTCAAACATAATATATCCAAACGGTATTTCAAACTCGATGCCCCAAGATGTGCAACTTCAGATGATGAGAATGGTTCCAGGTCTTGAGAATGTTAACATTTTGCAACCAGCTTATGGAGTAGAATATGATTACGTTGATCCCAGACAATTAAAACAAACTTTAGAGACGAAACTGGTTACAGGTCTATTTCTAGCAGGGCAAATTAATGGTACGACAGGTTATGAAGAAGCATGTGCCCAGGGTTGTATTGCAGGTATAAATGCTGGTCTTGCGGCTCTATCGAAACCGCAATTAAAACTTTCAAGATCTGATGCATATCTGGGTGTCCTTATTGATGATCTTATTACCAAAGGTATTGAGGAACCATATAGAATGTTCACTTCTAGATCAGAATTTAGAATAACAGTGAGAGCCGATAATGCAGACTTTAGACTTTCTGAATTAGGTCATTCTGTGGGTGCAGTTCATCAATTACGATATGACATCCTCAAGAATGACAAAGATATATATGACACTACTATCGAAAAATTAAAGTCATTTAATTGTAACCATATGAAATGGTCTAATAAATTAGGTATAAAGGTAGCACCAGCTGCTTTAAATTATACAGCATGGGATATCTTTAAATTTAATGGCGTTTCATTAGAAAGATTGGTCGATTCTTTTCCTGAATTGAAAATTAATGTAGATAATATTCCAAGAAGGGTCATCCAAAAGATTGATATACAAGGTAAGTATAACCCTTACATCACAAAACAAACCCAATACATAAAAGCATTTCAAGCTGATGAGAATTTATTGCTGCCAACAGATTATGACTATTCACAAATGCAAAGCTTATCATCCGAGTGTATCATCTTATTAAACACAATCAAACCTAGTACCATAGGTCAGGCAAGACGTATTCAGGGGATTACCCCAGCTGCATTATTTGAATTGTACCGTTTATTAAACAAAACAACAAGACAATCTTAAATCCCCTTCCCCACCATATAGTTATATAGTTTCATGTAAATATTAGTCATTTTTATTCCTTCTTAAACTGGGTTCTGGATTGCAGTTTTACGTGAAGAAGAATCGTAATTCCTATCACTTTTTACGTGAATCACCAAAGCAGGGTAATGATATATCTTTTTTTCATTTTCTTAACAAAAGGCGAAGAACTCGTGGGAATAAAACAAAGCAAAAAAATGGGGTAATATAAATAGATAATGGCCGTTAAATGCATAAACTCGACTAACAAGGGTTCTCATTTTAATAATAAAAATTCCAATCTAAAGAAAAACAGAAAACTACTAGAGGGTGTACCGACATTTATCTAGGAACATTTAATATTAGATTATTACTATATTTTGAAAGTAAGAGAGCTAGTAAAGCATTAGAGATATAAACTGTGGTTCATGTTTTCGTAGAACATTTCTTTTTTATTTTAAGATAACATTACACATATTGAGACAAAAAGAAAAACTCTAATTATAGATACATTACAAGGTAGTACTATTCGTAGGAAGGACAATACTATTTACATATTATAATATAGGATAAAATAATGAACGCTAATGAAGACAACTATCGTCCACTAGAAGCGGACTTGGTCCAGACAAATACCGGAATTTCCAATGATCTATCCACTGATACCCAAAGTAATAATGGCAATATTATAAACCAAACTAATCCACATACCAGTGCATCTGATCTTTATTTATATCATCGGCTGAATAGAGAGGCTGCAGAGAAATCAGCTTCGAATATGTATATGAACGATCTTCCTCAGCTAAATAGTAAAAGTTCAAAACTTGAAAACAATGATATCAATTCAAATATAAATGTAAATACAGAGACTACAATGAATGATATATCCCAAGCACATATAGAGACGCAACTAATAAATAAGTTAGATCCTAGCGACCCAAGTGATCTTGTTATGGATGACCGAAATGTGACTCAACATGATATTACGTCAGAGTATAATAATGGTGCTAATATTGAACGAGAAACTACTCCAGATCAACCGTTTTACGTGAATGCCAAACAATACTATAGAATATTAAAAAGACGTTATGCTAGAGCAAGACTTGAGGAAAATTTGCGTATATCAAGAGAAAGAAAACCATATTTACACGAATCGCGACATAAACATGCAATGCGTAGGCCAAGAGGGCAAGGTGGACGATTCCTGACAGCTGCAGAAATAGAAGAATTGAAGAGTAAAGGTAGAATAGATAAAAATGGTGATGTCATACCTGAAGACAAAGAGAACGATAATAGTGATGATGGTAAAAGCACTGAAATTGAAACGAAGAGGGATATTGCAAAAATTGTTCATAAAAATGATAATAACGGCAACAATAAGACAGATAAGAGTAGTGATCAAAATATTTCTATTACATCAGAGATTATGCCAATACAGGACAAAGCATAAAGAAGAATTTTCAAAACTACCGGAAACTTCTTTTCAATGTTCCAATGTGTTGAAAACTGCATTTATCCTATAATTATGGTAATATTCTTCTATTTTATTAAATGATATATACAGATATAATTATGTATCATTTAAATTTGTATTATAAATAATTATTTCAAGACCATTCGGTACATTCATGGAAAGAATAATCAGTTTTCCATTTAAACTTTCACGCCCATTCTTGTTCGTTAAAGATATATTTAAACAACTTGATCTGCTACATATGTATCATAATATAAAAATAAATCTATCCTCATGCACCAGTTAACAATTGGTTTAATTTCGTTTGTGTTTCGTTAGTAAGATTTGGGAGAATCGAGTTTGAGAAGTTTGCTCCTTGGTTAGTCACATATTTGCTCAATAATTGACTAATGTAAAGCTTTAGCCCATTAGTTAGATCAACTTCGGGTAATGGATCAACTGCTTTTTCACTGACTACACCTAGTTTACTGAAAGACGAACCAAAGGTCACAATTTCTTCCATGTTATCTAAGTCAACAAAATCACTCTTAAAATTTGCCACATCCTCTGATACCAAAGTTTTTATTAACGTTTCGAAGGTTGGGGCAACCAACTGTGGGTATTTGTTCGCAAATAAGGAGCTTTCTGTGACTATTTTAGTAACACCTAGCAATGAAATTTTACGATCAAGTAGGTTACCCAATGTTGGTAGAGTTGGAATGATAAATGAATTCCAAATTTGAGAGAAAATACCATCTTGTACTTCATCAATAAATTGAACAACAAAGTCGCCATTCATCTTCCACGATATTAGACCTAGAAAGACGACTAATTTCTTAACATATCTCTCTGTTTTAGATGTTTGTAAACGTTGTAGAAGTAGCACTGCAATTTGCTTTAAGTATGGTTTCAATTGGTCCAGGTTTATGTATAGAACGATAGCTTCAAGAAGTTCAAATCCGTGGACTTCATAAGCCTTAGATGCTATCAATCTCTGGAAAACACCCAGAACCGGAATCAAATCTTGGAAAATACTCTTATCAAACTTAATTAGGTCCTTTAATAATCTAGTTACAGCAGGTACATTACCCTTTAAATCCCAAACAGATGGTGACAAAAGCGGTTGTGCCAATTGCTTGACAGTATCAGGAACATAACCTGCTTTTTCTACACCAAATGAAATTAGTTGGAAAACATATGCCACAAATTCTTGAATATCTTCAGATAAAATATGAAGGAAACACGGCATCATTGAGTCTATCAATGTAATTAACGATTGCGTAGGTGTATATCTAAGAAGGCACCCAACTGACTCGAATGTATAATGAGAAAATCTTGGATTAGAAGGATTTTTTACAATGATATTAATTATACTGATGAGTTGATTTAACAGAGTAGGGAACGATCCTTGTATGGTATCTTCTGCTGTTTGCAAAACCCTGAAAATTGCTTTCATTAAGAATTCGTTTTCGGCTAATTTTTCTGGTACAGTTCCTTGTTTCATGATTAAATTTATTAAATTACCCAATAACATTTCAGCACTGGAACTAATATCATTTTTACTGAAAATAAAATTAGGAGATGATACAGACTCTCTGATGGACAGTATCCTCTCGATGGTGACTGCAGCATATGTGTAAACAACATACTCGTCAGATGTTAAAAAGTTAGCCAACAATGGAAGAATTTCTATTAATTGATTTTTACTCAATTGGTTTCTAAACATGTATATGAATTTAATTGCGTCAACCTTTAGAATGTTATTGGCAACATTACCAGTCAAATCAGGAATGATCTGGACAGTGAAAAACTCAACAACATTTAGCTGTGGATTGGTCGTGGATACACCAGCACTTGTTATATTCCCTGTGATTGCTAAAGTGGTAAATAAAAAGACGTATAGATCCTTATATTTCCAGTATTCTGTTGGATTTGATTGATATTGTTCAAAAAACTTCTTCATGTGAATCATAAAGGTATTTGTTACTAAGGTTTCATTCTTTTCTTTCAATTCATTGAGGAAGTCTGTACAAGCCCTTCTTCTTGTGTCAGTATCCGACCCTTCTAAATCTCTTCTGATATATTCAATTGGATCATCTTCAAATAATTCAACGTCTGATTCACGAAGAGTAACATTAGGTAAGATAACTTGTTCTGTTAAATTGTTCATGGCCTCTTGATTATTAAACATTTCAAAATACTTCGGATTACGAGAAACAGCTGTTAAAAATGCTAGAGATTTTGATACTAGAATATCATATTTTGGCTCATCTGAGGTTGATGTTAATAGAGACCACGTAATTTCGATGAATCCGTTGACCATTGGACTGAAAACGTCATCATATCTTGTGGTATATAATTGGACCACTTCTTGTATGGCAGATTTAACTTTGGTTACAATACTTGTATTTTCTGGGTCATCCGGATCCTCTAATAAGGTATTTGAGTAGGATAGATACTTGTGTAAGATACCCATACCTTGTTGAATATTGTCTTCAAAAAATTCAGGGATATCCTGACAATTAAAATCATAATATAATTTAATTAATACTAATAAAACATCAAATAACAAGGTTAAATGTGGTGTATTGTTTTTATTTTCATCTATTTGTTTATCCACAGTTTCCAAAAGACTTAAGAAAGGGATTGTAAATTTATCTAAAACTAGTTTAATTTCCAAAAATAGATCATCAGATCTAAATAATGGTCTCCATCTTTTAAAAATTGAATGTGCAACAATTAATACACCTTTATTTAGGATCATATTATCTGGAGATAATCTAGATACAAGATCATCTAAAAATCCAGGCCATCTGGTAGGAAAATCCGAGTCTGCAATAATCGAAATAGCTTCACCAATTTGAATCTGTAAGTTAGCTGGTAAGCTAATCATCAATGGTATGATTTCCTTTTTGATCAATTCCACACTGGATACTGAAAGGAGATGATTACCATTTTCATCAACCCATTTTCTTTTTAGGAAATTTTTGAAAAATAAAGCACCAGCCAATCTGGTAGATATGGACAAATTTTCAGCTGCCACTACATGCAATAATGTTAAACCAAACCCATCCTGGCTCTCAAGTTCCTTAAGACTCTTTTCTGCTAATTTTGATGTCTGTGCGATAACTGAATCAGAGAGCAGTTTAGAGACTATTTCAATGTCTGACATATTTTGTTAATGTTCTCTCTATATGTGTGTGAGAAAAGAAAAAGTAATCCGTCCCACTTCAACAGCCAAATATATTTGAAAATATTCGTAGTGAAAATGGAACCTTTTTGCAATTGACTGTTATTTGTAGTTAAAGTTAATATAGTCTTAAATAATTTTTCAGTTTTAATTGAAGAAGAAAAAAATGATTAGAGGTGAAAAATGGAAATAAAAAAAAAGCCGCGAGGTTACAGGCCTTTGTGTGGATTTCAAACCCGTCAAAATCCCCATCAAAAGTTGTAGGTTTTCTGAGATCAATGAGCTGTCTGGCAGAAAACCAAAAAGGGTAAGGGCTTCGAAGGGGATCGCTTCTGAAAATAGCGGGCGAAATTGTAGTTCCACATATTCGGGTCTGCTATATGTTTGAAAGATTGGGAACTGAAACTGCAACTACTAAGGATAATGATTCTACGAAAGGTTTTGTTAATCCCCCTAGAACTAGTTTAATCCAATGAGGAATTGTTCAATAGTATATATAGGTAAGGTTGTTGAGACAGTATCCAATTATTATATTAGCATAGGGTAGTTAACAACTTTATATGGAGTTTAGGGTTGCTTGAAAAATTTTGCCGCCCCAAGCACCCAAAAATAAGTACACCAGGGTTAAATTGAAAATTTATGGGTCTTGTTTTGGGGGGTGTCCTGAGTTGTAAATAAACCCAAGGTCTAAAGCTTTAAGAGCTATATTTACATACATTTTTATATCTAATGATGTTATCTAATCTTGATAACTATAAGTAAATGTTTCATTTTTTATTATTAAGTTGTAGAATGCAAGTTTGATTGTTATGAGGTCATCTAATTGTAAACCTCTGTAATGAGCTTGAATTGCCGATGCCGTTTGTTTCTGGTGGGAAGAAAGTTTCTTGTTGTCTTCTCACCTGAGGGGAATATATTCGTACTCCTCTTAGATGTGTATCTTTACCATTTTCATGATTTATTGGGAACACAAGTCTTAAGAATTGACACTTCATAAGATTGTCAGGCCTATTGTCTCTAAATGTTAAACCTACCCATCCATCCAAATGTTCGATGTGATAACTTTTATAAAATACAGCATCAGAGGGGCTATGTCCAACATATAATTTGAATAGCTTTGGTGTATACGACTCATCTGATGCCAAAGAGAAATACAACGCTAATAGGATTATATCTGTACGGCGACTGAAGTATATATCAATTGTGTGAGGTTGGCCACCGTCACTTTGCCAAAACGAGTTTGGATCATCATTTAAAACGTTTTCAATGGGACTACCACCTTTTGTCGATGATGCCAGCCATAGAGCTACATTGTTCACACAGAGTAAGTCCTGACTCTCCATAGCTTGAATACCTAGTTTGAATAATACACCAGACTTCAGATCATCAATATCTGGTAAGTCGTCATCCATATTAAATCTGTTTATATACATTGGATCCATGTTAGCATTTTCGGAAGTATCATCAATGATAGATACTTGTTGCCTCTTAGTTGAAGTCACCGGTTTAATTGCGGCTATCGGTGCCAATTTATTCAGTACATTTTGTATATCAGTAGAATTCATAATATTTAATTTAACCTAATCCTTTCAGAGATATCAGTTTTTGTCCATACTATGGTTTTAGTGATGGATCGTTCTCGTCTTTTAGAGTTGGAGTCATCGATGTGTCTTATGTTTATATTAGCATTACTCTTTATTGTGTTTTTTATTTTTTGTTTTGTTTACAGTTTGAAACGGTTGATGAAAAATACATACATGAACGTCGAAGAAACTATTTAAACAAGACATAAAGTGGCCAGATTGAAAATATTATTTATAATAGATTAAATATTAAAATTTACTATTATTACGTATTATATACTACAGTTATCTTCAAGTGTTTTAATCCATCCATCTGATGAAAGTTTTTGTCTGATATATTCGACCATAGTTCTCCTAGTTTTGTGTTCCTTTTTGAACTGAAGATATGATTTGTCTTGAACAGGATTTATCTGATTGTAAAGATTCCACTGACTATACCTGGATATTGCTGTTTCGCATCCTTTTCGAAGCGGTTTAGATCCTTTTGTGAATGAACCATTTTTGACACCATTCAAAATAGCTTGTTCTTGAACGTTAGATTTATCGTAGTACAGTTTAATTGAGCTCATCGCACTTGGAGTTTCATCTTTAGATTGTTTATCATCTAAAAATTTCTCATCGCAATTCTCTATTTTGAACTTTTTGGGCTTATGTGATTGTTCCTCATTCGAAGTACCTCCTAAGCGGTCTTGGAAACACCTCTTAAGGCCAATCAAATCAGTTCTGGTTAAGGATGGAATTAATATGTAGTCCAGATATAAAGGTTTAGATAATAGCTCATATGTCAGACAATTTAATAATGAGGTCACCTGTTTTGTGCACAACTTATCTGAGCATGATTTAGAAAGGGTAATTTGTGAATCATACCGTCCTGGTTTACTCCTTACAACACCTTTCTTGGAAAAATTTAGCCTTCCCCTTAAGATTGTATTATTTCTTTCATCTAGGTACTGCATTTTATTTTCATCTAATATTTCGTACGACTCAGATGTGTCATCCTGAGACTCGATGGTATCCATACTGGCATCGCCACAAGGTACTCTGGATATGTATAGTATCAGTTTATTTTCTTTTTTCCATTCGTACTTATCACCTATTTGATTGATTAAATCAGAAGTACCGCCTTCTTTCAAGTTCTTGATATGGTTCAAAATTACAGCATTAAGTCCTCGTATGGAAAGTATTTCGGCGTGACAATCGTGTAGCATCTTTCCGTTACTTCTTACGAGTAACTCATTGGGGAGAGCTTTAACACCAGTAGATATGCAGATCATTTGTATTGTGTTAGTTTTGTGATCCCATGCAATTATTCCAGCTAAAACAGTCCATTCTTTGGTTCCATTGGACTTGATGACAGGTTTGCTGCTAGGTTTTAACTTGCGGTATTCGTCGTAAATTAACGTAGTTATACGTCGTTTTAGAATGTCATCCATTACAAAATAAATTTTCAACACAATTTCATCTTAGAAAGCTGACTCACAGAACTTAATCTAATTTATGAGAAGTCAAAATGATTCTAGAAAGAATATGTCTTTCTTATCGTATTCAATTTTCAAAAAAAAATAAAGCCTTTCAATATTCTACCTTCGAGAAAACACATTTGGCAAAACTTCGAAAAATAACGAAAATATTTGGCATTATACTAACGTGACTACAACAAAGGTATTTTCCTCTACTTAAATATTACAAATCTATACTAATATTAAAATCTATGTTATTAATAACCTTTTCGAGACCACCTAAACGTCTGAATTTAGCTACTAACAACTCGTTCTCTTTTTTAATTCTGGCTGCTTCGTTTTCTTCCAACTTCTTTTGAATTGCAAGTTCCTTTGCCTTCTCATTCTCTTCTTGCTGTATATCTTGGTAATAAATCTTGGTTCTTGTTTTTAATCTACTAAATGGATCACTCTTTGAATCAAACGTGTCTTCCCTCTTAGTATGTTCAACGGTTTTAGTTTTATCCATATTTAACTTTCTGTTTTTTGACGTCAGAGCACCTAATTTCTTGCTACCAGCTTGGTCATTTTCATGATGCTTTTCGTACATGTTCATTCTCTTCTCAAAATTATTCAGTTGGGCTGAATATTTGGCGACATCTCTCTCATTACCGTTCTCCCTAGCGTATTGCAATTTTTCTTTCAAGACAGTCTTTTCCAATACCGCATTTGTACCTGATAATTTTTTGTTAAACAGCATTCTATTTTTGACAATTGTGTCTGTCGTTTTGTCAGTCAATGGTTCTGAAACAAAAGCAACCAACTCCTTGGACTTACTGTTTAGATTATAAACTGTTGGTTTCGAAGTATGGGAACTCTCAAGGGCCCTAATATATCTGTCGTATTCTTGTTGGGTGATGAGACCATCACTGAAGAAACTCATTTGGAACACTTTTCTATCTTTACCTTGTGTTACACCGAAATATTGGTTTGTAAAAAATTTACCCATGTTGTATGGCTTTTGCAAGAAAACCTTTTCGATCTTTACCATCCTATAATTTGTTTCGCCAGTACGTTTGTCCACACCAACATTCACTCTACCGTAACAGTTTTGAACAATATCATTAAATCCAGGGTAAAAACAATACTTGGCCACAAAGGAACGACCGATTCTCAATTTATTGAAATCACTGACTTCTGAATCTCTAGATGTTTCTTCCTCGGCCCATTCTACCTCATCCTCACCTTCAGCATAACGTGATTTTCTGTTTAGTGGGTTGTATCCTTCTTCGTCATCTTCATCTTCCTCATATTCTTCATCTTCGTCCTCATATTCGTCTTTGTATCTTTCTTCATCTTCATCTTCTTCAAAATCTTCGTCATCTGAGTAGTTCTTCCTTTGATTCTTTTTTTCTCTTTGTCTCTTTAACTGCGATAGTTTGGATGCTTTCAGGTCAGAATGACCAGTTTGATGAGTTGTCCTACCAGAGGAACGAACTTTTTTGTTGTCCTGTTTGTTGTTTTCTTGGTGTCTCTGTAAACCTCTATTACGTTCCCTAAAAAGTTTTCTTTCCTGATATTTTCTCATGGTTTGAGATCTTTCAAAGAGTAACGTTTCACGCTCCATTTCTGGCAGAGATTCTAAGTATTCACGATCATCTTCATCCTTGTATTTACCTTCCAAAGGAAATGGGTCCTGTTCTTCTTCATTATCCTCATGGCCTCTCCCAGTACCCATATCTTCTGGGTTATAATCATCTTCTTCATCACTTACTTCTTCTATTGTTCTTTTCTTAGATGTATTACTTTCAGATTTTTTGGAGTGAGAAGTTAGAACCTCTTCTTCATCTTCATCGGCACCAGCAAGAGCTAATAAATCTTCATCAATATCAGACATTTCTCCACAATATAAATGTTTATTATCTTTTTTTGGATATTTAAACACTTCTTTGTTTAGTAAAGTTCAATTCACATATATATTGTATTCATTTATCCTCTGCAATTTTATCTTGTTTTAACTTTAATGTCTGTTTAGAAAGTTCCTCTGGTAGTGAAAGTTATTCGCCTTTGGACGAAAATAATAACTAAAAACTAAGGGCGCGCCGCTCGTTTAAGGTGATATAATTCAGTTTAAGAATTAAATTATTATCTTTAGAAAATCTCCTCGATATAGATCACTATACTGAGTGCCAGAAAGGCTAGTGATTAGGAGCCATATGTTTTGAATGGCACATAAAGTTTGTAAATATATAGAATCAGATTAATTGAATTATTTATTCCTTTGTGGTACAAAAGAGCTACATATCAGTTTGTTTAATAGTTTTCGTAAGGTTTAGATTATTTCTTAGCACCATACTTGTTAACTGCTTTACCATCTGGGATAGTGAAGAAAGTGTATGGCTTACCATCCTTTGGTAAAGCATCAAGTCTGTAGTAACCCTTTCTCTCGAATTGAATGATTTCACCAACCTTCATGTCCTTGACGTTCAAGTCAGCAATGGCGTCAGTATGGAATTCAGTTACTGGAGTTAGGAAATCTTCGAAACTTTCATCTTCCTCCAATTTGTCCTTAGAGATTAAATGGTCAAAATCGACTAAGTCAACTGGAACAACGTCAGTGGTGTCAGCCAACCAAGTCAACTTATGCTTAGTCTTCTTGAAATCACCTTCCAAATGTAGTTTACCTTCTAAGGAACCGTCAACATTCTTCTTGGTGATAATAACATTACCCCAGTCCATTAGGGTAACTTCCTCGTTATCGTCTAGAGATTCAGCATCAGCCTTGTCAATGACAACATCCTTGTAGTAGATGACCTTCTTTTCACCAACAGCTGGGTTTTTCTTGTGCTTTGGTTTCATTTCAACCTTTGGGGTTTCTGGAGCATCAGCACCTTCGATGTGAAGTTTAACAGGTTCAACAATAGCAGTGTGTCTAGCAGCAACTGGGTCAATAACCTTCTTGTTGAAAGCCCAGATCAAGTTCCATTCCAAGTTAATGACGTTTCTAGATGGACCTTGAGACAAGACGAAGTTTCTAAGACCCTCAACGGTCATACCTCTTCTTCTAACACCTCTTACAGTTGGGAATCTTGGATCATCCCAGTTAGAGACTAAATCCTTGTCAACCATCCATTGCAACTTTCTCTTAGATAGTAAAGTTCTAACAAAGTTAACACGAGCGAAATCCCAGATGTGTACCTTTCTCAGATGTAGGTTTTCCAACATCCAATCGTATTGAGCATTACGGTCTCTGTATTCGATGGTACGTAGAGCATGAGTGACACCTTCGATGGAATCGACAATTGGGACACAGAAATCATAGGTCGGGTAGATCTTCCAGGTGGAACCAGTTCTATGATGTGGGGTCAAGTTACATCTGTAGATAACAGGGTCTCTTAGAGTCTTGTTCAAGGCAGCGTAATCGATCTTGGCACGAACACAGTTCTTTAGACCTTCTTCAGTACCATTCTTCATTTCTTCAGTAAAAATTTTCAAATTTTCTTCGACAGAACGTTCTCTTCTAGCGGAGGCAATACCATCCATACGTTCTTCTCTCATTTTTTCTGTTGGAGTATCGTCACAATAAGCTTTACCTTCCTTAATCATAGCAACACACATGTCGTACATTTCTTGGAAGTAATCAGAGGAGTATGTGATTCTATCACCCTTGATACCTAACAAAGAAAGATCTTCAAGAATAGAGTCTTGGAATTCTTCCTTTTCTTTAGATGGGTTAGTATCATCGAATCTGATAATCAATTTACCTTTGTATTCTTGAGCGAAGTATTGGTTCAATAAAGCAGCCTTGGCATGACCAATATGTAGATACCCAGATGGTTCAGGTGGGAAACGAGTTACAACTTCACCCATCTTGGCATCTGGCAAGTCGATTTCAAAGTTAGCCTTGTGAACTTCCTTCTTCTTACCAGAAGTAGCAGCCTTCTTCAGTTCTTGTAGAGATTTGGTTAGAGATTCATGAGCCTCATGGAATAAAGGATCTAACTCGAATAGAGTATACCAACGAGACACGTTGACATCGACTTTGTTCTTGATAATGGAACCAACCATACCGTTAGATCTCAAAGCACCCCAACAAGCAACATCAGCAGCGGAGTAACGTAGACCACCTAAGATGAAAGTTCTCAAGTTCAATTGAGCATCAAGGTGTTCCAAAGATTGGGATAGCTTTTGGAAATTCTTGATAACCAATTCTTCATTGGCAATCTTAATCCATTTGGCAACTTCTTCCTTGTTGGAATCAGTGAATACTTGTGGGAAAGCATCAACAATAGCTTGGAAAGTGTTTTCGGTGGATCCATTGAAAGTGGATGGAGCAGCCTTCTTGTCGTCGACGAATTCAATCTTGACAGATTCTGGCTTGGTATTGTTTGCAATACGAGCAGCAATCAAGTCGGCGTAGGCAACCACTGGGGCCTTACCGTTAATAACTAAAGTGGCAGACATAGTTCTTTAGATTACTTTACAGCTGATACGTGTATCCTTTAGAAGTGAAAACTAATTACATATTGGACTAAGAAATTTTTAAATTTCGTAAATAAATTTCGTACTTCATTTATATATATGGACAAATTATCTAGGAAAGGTGTGTTGAAAGAGGATCGTAGATTGCCCAATTCCATTACCTTAGCGAACTTTCCCATCGATCGCTTTGCGACCAAAATTTTTCAGTTCAGAATTTTTCCGGTGAGAGAGGTTGTCTCCTTTCGTGCGGTGTTGTCTCTGGAAAACTGGAGGGTTCTCATTAGAGTGAGATAAGTAACAGATTACCTGATCGTGATAGTTAGATAGATAGATGGATAGATAGATAACTAGATAAACAGATAAATTATATGGCAAATTATGTGGCTAGAAAGGGAAATAAGTTACATGGTTAGTAGATAAACATGTTGATAAACATATCTTGGATGAGTAATATAGATAATCAATTCCATGTTACGCAACATCTTTCTTGCTATTAACTTTTACAATGACGGAATTTTTGTAGATTTGATGATATATTATCGCTTCGTACGAGGGCGTCACTGAAAAATTTTTGCTGCCTTGGGAACAAACAATTGGCGATGAGCTTTCGTTGTGCTATAAAAGTTACTATTGACATAATGACTAAACTATGTATTGATCATGTAAGAAAGTAAAGAGGTAATTATCTAACTGTTAGTTATCCTACATTGTAGTTTTTTTGATCCATTCAAGGTATATATATATTTGATTGAGCCCACTTAGTACACGAAACAAAGTAGTTCTGGAGTTTTGAGATAGATCTATTACGTATAAATTATTTTTTTTGCTTTAACATTTTACTTCCCATAAAATGGCAATCACTTCAAACCTGTTTATAAACCAGAAGGGTTCCACTACAGCATTAAAGCAACCTAGAGAAATCGGCTATTACTCTAGAAATCAAAATGAAGAATATTTAATTCAACAACAAACCCAGTTAAAATATTATTATCTACCCAATTCAGACCTTGAAAGAAACTTGGATCTTTCTAGTGGTTTAAAGAAATTTAAGAATTGTGAGAGCACATTTCAGGATCCTAATACAATTCATGGATTGTTGAAGTCTATCCAACATACGGAACAGCATAAGGGGAAAAAAGTTAAAGGTGATATCATCGCTAACACGACAACAATTACGAAATTGATTCTTAGTGCATTTGATAATACAAATATTAATCCCATTGATATGATAGTGGTGTCATTCGATGGACAATTATTTATTAAAGAACGTCAACAGACAGTATCTTCGACTGTTGACGCGAATAAGTACACAAATTATAAATTTAAAGCACTTTCGACCATTTCCCAACCGTTACCGTTGGAATCTAGAGAAGTCTTAGAAAAAAGACATAGAAAATTATGTAATAATGGTGACAAATATGTTAGTGTTACAAAGACGGGTGTTGGTAAAGTAAAATTGATTCTTTCGACAGATATTGACTGTATTTTTGATTTCAAAGAAGAAAGCAAAGATAACTTAAAACATTATACTCAACTGGTTTGCAATCCTACTGTTAATACCATTTCCGAATCTCATAAATTTGAAAATGGTATGTTCCGGATTTGGTTAAAATGTTTCCTTGCCGGTATTCCAAGAATAATATGTGGGTTTAAAGATGATAGTTATGTATTGAAAACTGTTGAAGAGTTTGCAACAAATGAGATCCCAGTTTTATTGAAAGAAAATAATCCCGAAGTCGGTTCTAAATGTTTAGATGCTATTAAATGGTATGGTCTGTTTACTGAATGGTTACTTAAAATAATACCCCACAGCGATACCAAGGAAATCAAACCATTCAAGTTAATTTTGGCAGATAATCATTTAAAACTACATGAAATTGAAACTAATGATTCAGAATTCGAAAACTATGTTCAAGGAGAAGGTATTTTATCATCCGAATTTAAAGAATGGAGAAATTCATTATAGTCATTTTATATACATATATAGATATATATATCCTAATCGTCCTGCATTATAAAAACAAAAATATTCAACTCTCAAGTAATAACATATTTATAAAGAGTATTATTGAGGTTGTGATACTATGATTATATATGGGAATAGTATCATTTTTAGAAGTTATTATGATATCTGTATCAAACAGTGAATGTGTATCCTTGAACAGCAATTGAAAATATTAAGCTCTCTAAACCAGGAATTTCATGTGCAAGTGTTCTTAATTCATCTAAAATAGTCAGTCGCGGATCCTTCTCAGAGTATGTCATCTTCACATGTGATACTATTATTTTTAAGTCACGGAGTCCTGATGAACTACCGTATTTGTCCCGAAGTGTTTGTAGTTCATCCAACAATTTGTTTGACGACAGGTGACCAAAAAGTCTCCTTTCATCAATAGATAATGAATTTGAACATTCTATCACAATTGCTTTCAAATTTTTTAGAGGAATATTGTTTGCCAAATATGACCATAATTGGCATAGTAATCTTGGCTCATTTGGATCTTCATGGTCCTTTTCTAAATCACCACAAACAACTATAGAATTATTTGTCCTAGTATTGGTTATGATATAAACTGAACTGGAAACTTGTGAACTTAAATCTGAAACTTTTGAACCATGGTAAACTTCAAAGGGTATTATATTCCATTCAGGTATTGATAATGAGTTATGTGACTCTCGGCTTGACAACGTTACCAGGTCTAGTCGTCCCAATAACTTATTTGATAATTGCGGCCAAATGATATCATTAAATATAAAATCTTTTAAGGGTCCTATTGTGAAGGGTAGACCTTTTATATATTTCCTCGATGGAACTAATGGTTCATAAATGGCTGGAGAATTCATAATCATTCCAGCAACGTGATCCATATGTGGATGTGTGATATAATATTCTCCAATATTTTGATATAATTTCATAGTCTGTTGTACAATCGATCCTTCTAAGTGTCTAGTAACTGCAAGAGAAAACCCTCTTGTGGTTTGTGATAACACTGTAGAATCCACATATTTCTCAACTGGTTCTTCTTCATTCTCGTAGAGGCTCTCTACGATCCTCTTGTTGGGATCTAACCGGAGCATCGCTGCAATACTTCCCAAACCAACCCCTCCGTCCACACATATCAGACGTACGCTTTCGTCATTATGGGTTGATCGTATAATAAAGCATTGTGTAGAATTTTCAAATGGACCTCCTGTCCCACCTAATATCGATATCTCAAAATCTGTCATACTCTTTGAATATAAAAGAAATCTGTATTAAATTGTCACTTACTCTACAAAGGTTGGCACTATAACCTATTACCTATAACACAATATACTGATATTCTTTTCTCAACCAACATGAACCAATATATCTATCGTTAACTCCCATTAGGTATTTATGTTAGGTATGAACTCCAGTTGACTTTTATGGTTTTAGTTTACCTACTATGGTTTAGTGTCAAACGTCGTCCATCTCCTCATTTCCTTCGCTGTACCAGCCGATTTCAGTAATTAACGCTCTGCGAAGTTAACGGACAAAGCAAACTTGCGTCAATGAATTGCACAATTTTTCAACCGTTTTAGATAAAATCTCGAGACAGGTGGTGCAAACAAAGATTCCAGAACTGAGAGAAATAAGCCAGAGAACCATGAAAATTCATTTAGAATGGTCTTCTATTGAGGGGTTCCTGCAGGATCAAGTTACGTCACTTTGGGGAGTATCTAATTGATTAACGCCCATATAGAACTTTCGATGTTTTTCATTTGACTATATTTTTGACAGGTTGTAAATTGTGGGGTAATGCAACTCAGCAGGACGATTATGCGATAAACGTATGAGATTCATATAGCTATGTATACTAGTAATATGCATGTTGTGATATACCTGCCATAGAATATCGTGTTGTTTTGTTTCGTTCAGTCGTTAATAATGGCGTCGCTAAGAAGATAAAATACTATTGCGTGCGTAAAGATGTAAATATATATATATAGTCTTAATTATTTAATATATTCTATACTTTTTGAGTACCATAACCCTTTATATTTTTGGCAAACTTCCATGACATATTTTCTACTTGTAATCCCTTCTTCAACACTAATCCTTGATCATTATCGATTATAGCTAAAGAAAACTTTCTTGAGGAACGTGCATCTCTGTAATATAAGATCTTCATCGATTCAAGAATAGTTTTTTCGGCAACTTCGAGAGAAGTATTCTCTACATCGCTGTCACGGTCTACTACACGTCTCATTAGAGGCAATGCTAGATGAGCACCAAACCCTGTAGCCAAAGTAGGCGAAGAATATGTAACACCCAATAGGTTAACATATCTAAGGAAAGGTTTGTTATCCTCCGTACCTGCAACAATAATAGCGTTCCATAATGGATTCATCTTGGATCTACGATTGTACATGACATTAGCTAAATATTCAAACACGTAACTTGGTTTTAATGATTCCTCGTCGTCTACGTAAGAGTTATCATAATTATTCTCCGTTTGCATTTCTTCTAACAAATCTTCAATATGTTGCATGTCGGAAATATCTCCAGATATACCAACAACTGTATTCTTACCAACAGGTACCAATCTTTCAACATTTGTAAAACGAAGCAAAGAACCATAGGAACCTAGGTTATCAGCAGCAATGATTACACCATTGTTGTATTTCATTGAGATAACAGAAGTACCCGTGACGATTGGTTGTGTGGTATTCATCTTTGGAAAAGCTGGCGCTTCCGCTATTCTTTTGTCATAGGAACCATAGGTTTCATCTGATGGTCTGCCCCAGCTAAATGGATCGTGGTTCATATTGTTAATTGGTATGGTAATAAGAAAAGAGAAAGTTTGGTCTTTTTATTATATTGAAGCAGTTGGTACTTGTTGTATATCACAAAAAGGATTCACTCAGATAGTTCAATTAATTCAAAATATATTCTAGTTTCTCTTTGAGAGTGTTTAACCTTGAAGTAAAATGTTCAATTAATTGTTGTCTTTTAACCATTTGAATGCAAATTAAAGTTAAACCCCATATATTTAGTTCTACTCTTTCTAAAGATGATAATGAGACCTTCAAGGGTGGCAAAAAAAAAACGAAGCGCTACAGTACTGGGCGGAAAAGAAGATCGTATTATTTTTTGGCGAAAAGCGGGTAACAAAAAATGGACTTCACCAAGTGACAGACAACAAATTTTTAAATGATTTCCATTGCCAATTAGTTAGTTGCGACACTGTATCATTATCCATAGCAGTCTGCGATAGTTGGACTAACTTTAGGAATTGTAATAATGTATACTGTTCTAGGATTTTAAGTGAGAGAATTGGGTTGTGTGTTATTGCCGTTAGAAATTCTAGATCACTGCTTTCAGTATTACTAATTAATATGTCGTTGGTTGGCTGTGACAACAATTTTATGTAATTCAACAGATAGTACATCGTTATTTTATTGGTAGTGTCTAGATCTTCACCTCCAGGGATTAAATGTAGTTGGAATTGTTTCATATTCAAAAAAGATCGTATTTTCCAAAATAAGTCAGGGTCAGTTTGTTCAGATACCTCATCGTAATCAATAAAGACTACAATCTTCTTAAAAAAACGTAGTAATTTTGTAAATACATTAGAATAAAATAAAGTACCATCTCTGTTATATTGTTGAAATATTTCTAATTTAATTCTTACGACACAACATTCAATGCCTAAGATAAAGTCGCAAGGTAAATTGATATTTTTTTCAATAACATTTATATTATAATTTGTAATAAGTTCATGTAACATGGTATGGTTAGTTAGTAATTTAACAGAATTAATTATTATTGTTTTTCCGGATACTTCAATTGGAACGTAAGAGTACGCCAGTTTGAAATCATTCTTCGTCCTACAGATATTAGTGCTAGTGATCTTGTTAGAGATCTCTTTATTGATGCCAAAATCCAATATCTCCTTAATTTTTTTTGTCACACCTTCATATGATTTATTGTTTTCAGTTCGTTGTTCGTTTGTCTGTTTCTTCTTTTGAATTATACTAAATATGTCAGGGTCTAGAAATGATCTTTTTTGAGGAATTAGGGATGTATTAGCTGTTTGTTCTTCGAACGATGAAGTCTGAACAGTCTCTTGTGATACAGAGTTTGTCGCCTCTGTAGGAATGGGACCAATATTCCTTGGGGTATGTTCACTGTCCTGCTCATCATTTAACCCAAATTGGTAACTATTAAAATTTTTACTTTGGATGTCTATTAATTGTAATGTATTTGGTTTTAAATAATTAAATCTAATCTTTTCTTTATGAATAGTCACAGTTTTAGGTGTAATTGCCTCAAATTCATTAACAATAAAAGGAAAATTTTGATCAACGTTTTTGAAAGGATTCCAATCTATACTCTTGAGTAAAACCTTGTCTAATAGCCAAACCTGGAATTTTCCCATTCTTCCTAGATCTTTAGTTTTTCTATTATTTCTTCTCTTTGAAAGGTTGAGTCGAAACATATAAAATTCTAATTCATGGAAATTATCATCTAGAAGTGATCTTTCTAGGTTGTAATAATGATCTTTAGGGAAACCGAATTCTTGTAAAGTTGGCCACTTCCCAAACAGTGGACATTCTGGCTTATGAGGAGCAATCGTTTGTCCTATTGGTATGTCTATTAAATAATTTGTCAGAGTGTGGCTGTTAATAGGTCCGAAAATAATCTCTTTTGGGAAACAAAAATGAGAACTCGGGAGGTTCTCTAAAGTTTCATTTACGAAATCCCCAAATATTTTGTCAATTTTGGAAACCCATACTTTCAGTGATATCTTACTATTTTGTGAATTTCCCTTATCTTTCTTTCTATACAAACGATCAAGCAAATATCTCTGAAGATTGCTAAAAGAGAAATAGCCACAAATCTGGGGCGAACAAATTTCTCCTCTGGTGCATAATTCTCTTATTGCCACTTGACATTCTTTGTTCACTTCAAGTTTCTCTTTATACTCTTTAGCCGTTATAGGACATTTATCTGTAATTATATTTTGGGGCCAAATTGTTTTTATAGGATAATAGATCGTACTCCTATCACGTTTGGGTGTAGTTGGTTGGATTAGGTCAAGAAAGAAATTTTTCTTCTCGAAACCCAATTGGTTTACTTGTTTGTATTCAATTTTTATGTTGTTTGACAATTTATGTAGGATGAACTTTAGTGTCTTTTGGGTATTTTGATCGACAACAAGCGACTCATTTATGGTATGACGGCAATTATAGCCGCCCAACTCTATTTTTGTTCTTATTGGGTAGGGTTCTTTAAGTTCCCAGGTTTGGGCAAATGGTTTGGTCATATTAGTAACTTAATAAATAACCAGACGATATTTCTTTATATTTTTATGTTTTAAAATATCATATACCAAGAATTCCACTCTTGGCATAATAAATACGTGATAAAATAAATATTTTTGACGTGCTAAATGTTAAAAAAAAAAAAGTAGGCATCCAAATTGTAAGAAAACCACTTTAATAAAATAGTTTCTCAAGACATGTAAGGTTTGGCATAAATATCTATTAATTACAACTAGTACACATTTATTATATACTGATACAGCTGATAGAGTCAAGATCAACCATTCTTTATTCATTCTGCCAGGGTCAGCTTTATTTTAAAGTTAACCGAATTAATCATCCAAAATGGCAATTCCGTCATTATTATCTTTCTCATTTTTAGACCCCTCCGGCTGTTCATCCTCATCATCTAGGACTACTGGATTGTCCTCGTCATTAAAAAAGGGTTTAATATTCTTTAAGGTTGCAGAACCTTCAGTAAGTTCGACTAAAGTGTTATATCTCGAGACAAACCTTGGTCTAGTTGTAATGACACCACTCAGATATTTTGGAATATTATCCTCTTTCTCAATTAGTGATCTTTTCCGTAATGTTTGGAAAATGGTCTCCAAGTCGTTAAATGATACCTGGTCATTGTACATATTATCTTCATATATTATTAAATCTAGAATTGGGATGCTGATTACTATCTCTTTTGCTCCTAATGTTACACCATTGTAATAACCTTGTATAAACTTTCTTATTACAATCAATAAATGTTTGAACGATTCATGACAAGCATCAATATCTTCGCATATTATTGGGTAAGAATTTTGAGAATCGTTATCATTTTCTTGAGATTCATTATCATCATCATTTTCATCGTAGTCAAACAGGAGGAACATATCATCCTCATATTGTAATAAAAATTTAGAAGGTAATTTCCTCAATAACAGCTTAGCAGTATCTCGAATCTTATCCGAGTCAACCATTTCTTCGTCGCTGTCATTACCGAAGGACTCTTCTACCAAATTCTCCGATAAATTTGATCTTTCGGTATCAGCGCTCTCATCATTATTTATAGCCATGTGTATTTCATCTACAACCACTTCATTGTTATTAGTTGCCATCCTGATATTCGGAAAAAGTGCCGATGTGTACCTCCTTCTCTATCGCACTCTCTTAAACCTTTTCCTTTTGTTTACAGTTTAGAATAACCCTTTTTTATTGTTGATTACTTTACAAATCGTATTTTGTTTGTCGTGTTTTTTCGTAACGGGGCCGTGGTGCTCTCATCAGGACTTGTAAGGACATAAGAAGCACACAACTTTAAAGAAATTCTAAAGTCAGCATTGTTCAAGAGAACAATATACATATCCAAAATTCACAGTTGAATATTTCATATTTATTTGTTGTTTACAAGTAAAACTATAAATACTTCTTATTTTAGTTTACAAGTGATCAGAAGTAAACGATATTTAAAAAAAAAAAAAATTAAATATGGGAACGAAATTTGATAGGCTCGGCGGCTGTCGGAATAAGAAACGGACCTCTATCCTACAATCAGAAGGTAACTAAATTCGCAACAGAAATCACCCTTATTTATATCTAATCATAAAGGTTAAAAAGATTTACTAACGTGACTTTTAATGCAGACCCAAATTGTGTTCCAAATGAAGCATTCTCTCTGAGGAAAAAGAGATGGCAATCTAATAGAAACAATAACAATAATTCTTTAAAAATTAACTTATGCCACAATTCTCTTCTAGATGATGGTGATGATAATTTGGAAGATTCCGAAAATATATTTGGGGGTAAAAATGTATCTGGAGGAATTTTTACTCAAAATAGTCTTAGTATAGATGCCGATGACACGCATATTACTGATATTGGAGCTATAACGCAGGATTCTACGATGTCGAACTTACCCCATAAAAAGAAGCTTAAAGTAAGAAAAATATTCCATGACCAAGAAGAAGAGCAACTACAACAAAAGTTAATACCAGTGGCTTGCATTGATTCAGTTCCTCAAACGTTTTTTCCTTTCGAGTTCTTTAATAAGATGCAATCAGAATCATTTGAAAAAGTTTTCAAGACTAATGAAAATTGTATTATATCTGCACCTACTGGTTCAGGAAAGACTGTCCTTTTTGAGTTAGCAATTTTAAGATATATATCTAACTTTTCTGAATCAATTGAAAATAAGAAGATTTTATATATTTCACCAACAAAATCTCTTTGTTCAGAAATTACGAATAAATGGAAAAACAAATTTAATAATTTAGCTGTAGTAGCTATAACTGGGGATTCCACATCATATGAGATAAATTCTGTCAAGAAATCACAATTAATAATTACAACTCCAGAAAAGTGGGACTTATTAACAAGAAAATGGACAGATTACCACAAGCTGTTTGAATTGATTCAACTTGTTTTGGTAGATGAAATACACACTATAGGAGAAATACGCGGTGCCACCTTGGAAGCAGTACTTACAAGAATGAATACTTTATGTCAAGGAATTAGAATAATTGGGGTTAGTGCAACAATTCCTAATATTACAGATATTGCGTCATGGTTAAAGAACAATAAATCCGGTGAGTTTGCAACAGTTTTAAAATTTGATGACACATATCGCCAAGTAAAATTAGATGTGACCGTTAAAGGGTACAATTTTAATTGTAAGAACGAATTTCAAAGAGACGCTATATACAACCAGAAACTCTTAGAACTTATTGAGCAATATAGTAAAAACCGTCCTGTATTGATCTTCTGTCCAACCAGAGCATCTACAATGAATACAGCGAAATATATTAGTAATAATAATTCTGCTAATGGTAAGGTAACGGCAACATTGGCTGATAAGACTCTACATTTTTGCATGACCAAAGGGGTTGCTTTCCATAATGCTGGGTTGATATTAGAAGATCGTTCACTCGTGGAAGAGGCATTTCTCAATGGAGTAATAAGGATTCTATGTGCAACTTCTACTTTGGCTGTAGGTGTCAACTTACCTGCGTATTTAGTAATAATCAAAGGAACACAAATGTGGTCTTTATCAGAAATGGTTGAATATTCCAATTTAGATACACTCCAAATGATAGGAAGGGCAGGGCGTCCTAAATTTGAAAAGACTGGTTGTGCAATAATTATGACCGAACAAAAGATGGTTTCCAAATATGAGAATCTCGTCTCAGGGAGTGACATTTTGGAAAGTAAGCTACATCTACAATTACGTGAGCATATGTGTTCTGAAGTTTCATTAGGGACTATTAATTCTGTAAAAAGTGCTATTACATGGATAAAAAGTACTTTTTTCTATGTTAGGTTTTTGAAGAATAGAATAGCTTACGATTCAATCGGTCGACTTGGTGGGTTTGATGCTGAAGAAAGTCTTGAACAGTTTTGCCAGAAGTTGTTGAACTCTTTGAATGAAAATAATTTAATTGTACGAGATGGTGAACAAATTTGTTGTAATGCATTTGGGCATGCTATGGTAAGACATTATATATCATTTGGAACAATATCAAACATACTAAAAGGTAAGAAATTCTTAAATACTCAGGAAGTATTAAGTATTGTGGTACAGGCAGAAGAGTTTAAAGACTTGCGTATTAGGCAAAATGAGAAGAGACTGTATAAAGAGATAAATTTATCTCCACTGACGAGATATCCATTCCTTACGCTTAAAAAGCAAAGTATGATAATAGATAAAACAAACCAGAAAGTATCCCTAATTATTCAATATGACTTGGGTGGCCTTGAGTTTCCAAATTATGAAGGAGCGCAAAAATTACATCATGTCCTTATTCAAGACAAGATCAGAATATTTAAACATTGCTATAGAATCTTGAGGTGCATGGTAGATTGCTATATTGAAAAGGGCGATGGTATTTCCCTTGAGAATAGTCTTTTTATGTTGAGATCTATAAATGGATCATGTTGGGAAGATTCGCCGATGATCTTAAGACAAATTAAGTCTATTGGTTTAGTGTCTGTAAGAAAATTAGTTAGAAATGGTATAACTGATTTTGAAGAACTTAGAAACAGTACCGACCAAAAACTGGAATATTACCTAGGCTTAAAGATGGGGAATGGACTGAAACTTAGAAGGGATATTGAGTCGCTTCCAACATTTAGATTGGAATATCATATTGAAAAACAGGCGAAAGTAGGTAATAACATTGAGGTTGTATTGAGAGTCGATGTGAGCGTCAATTGTAAATCTTCTCTTTGGCATGGTAAACGCCTTTCAATGAATATTAATTCCAGGTATGGTTCGGGAAAAATAATTGATTTTAGAAGAATACAATTATCACAATTACAACATCCTAAAACTTTTAAGCTCAATTGCACAATATCATCATTGCAAGAATTAGTTAAAATTTCAGCAAGTTGTCAGGAAATTGCAGGTTTGAATAAGATTATCCAATTCTCCTCAAAGGAGTTGTCTGACTCTAATACACAAGTTTTTGAAAAGGTGGCAATGGATTTATCTTCCTCTAAGTCACGCATAAGTGTTCTGGACGATATTGTTTCAAGTAGCTCAGATGAAAGTTTATACAACCTTCTCATTGACCGCCCATCACGGAATGCATCGGCTTCTATTGCAAGCTCTAGGAAGGATGAGCCACATAGTAATGTCCTCTTTGAAGGTCGTCAGCAACTACCAAACGGAAACTATGAGTGTCAACATACCTGTAATAGGAAGGGTGAATGTCGACACTTATGTTGTCATGAAGGTATCCCGAAAGAATTAATCAGAGGTAGACGAACAAACACACGACATATGGCAACAGAAAAACCTGATGTACCAATTAAAGAAAAGACGACCCCTCTCCTTCAGGGTGTCCGTAAAACAACCATACGTCAAAACTCAGACATTGAAGAATATTGCATTTCCTCCTATGATGAATGTGGGAAAGGTGTAGAGGATGAAAGTCATGATTTCGAAAATTACTTCAACTCACCTGCCTTATCAGATAGTTGTAAAGGTGAGGAAAATATCTTGGATTCGAAAGTCCTTTTGGAAAATTCATTGTTGAATAAAACACTAGAGCCCAAAAAAGACATATTTGATTCATCTCTAGCAAAAGAGTGTGATGACTGTTCTATCAATTTGAGTTTTTTGGGCTCTGATATTGAATTAGGAGAGTAGAAGAAATATCGGAGATTGATTGTTTTTTGACATCTTCTCACAGAATAGGCCGTTAGAGTCAAACTGTGTTTTTTTAGCTGCCCAACAACTGAGAAGAGTCTAAAGTGCGTTCACATACTCCTGCAAACTGGTGTTGTCGAAACTCAAACAGCGCGATAGAAAAGGAATGTTAGTTTTAACAGTGGCTCAACTCCAAATATCGTTCTAACTTTGGTTTACCAACAAAGACTGAAAAGGGCGTTAATAATATTAGATACCTCAATATATATATAGCTTCCTCTCTTTAAGCGCTATAATCAAGTATTAGTAACATAAGAGATGTCTGAACTATCTGACAATGATATAGAAACAGAGGTTGTATCCCGGAATCTATGCGGTATTGTTGATATAGGGTCCAATGGTATTAGATTTAGTATATCTTCCAAAGCATACCATCACGCAAGAATCATGCCATGTGTATTTAAAGACAGAGTTGGTGTGTCTTTGAACGATATTCAATTTTCTAAGGACTCTTCTAAAAGACAGCCCATTCCAGACGATATTATTAGAGAGATATGCTCAGCTATGAAGAGATTCAAATTAATATGTGAAGATTTTGGTCTTCCAGATAATAGCATTAGAGTCATTGCTACACAAGCAACAAGAGATGCGATTAATTCAAAACAGTTTGTCGATGCAATATATAAAAGTACTGGTTGGGAAGTGGAAGTATTGTCCAAGATAGAAGAAGGTAAATTGGGGGTTTATGGTGTAGTGTCTTCGTTCAATACTGTAAGTGGATTGTATTTAGATCTTGGATGTGGATATGTGCAACTTTCCTGGATAAAATGCGAGAACGGTGAAATAATACAATCTTCTGAACCTATATCACTACCCTATGGTTCCAGTAGGCTGACAAGGAGATTGAAGAATGAAAATACAAAGGATTTGTTTTTTGAGATTAAAAATAATTTAAGCAGCTTATTAAGTGAACTTAATATACCACAGGACTTAATCGAAGAAGCTCGTTCACAAGGTGGATTCGATTTGTGGACAAGAGGTGGGGGCTTGAGAGGCTTAGCACATTTATTGCTTTCACAATACCAAGAGTACCCAATTCAGACCATTATTAATGGTCTGGCTTATTCTTACGATGAATTTTCAAATATGTGCGATTATCTTTTTCTTAAAAACAAGATACCAGGTACTAAAACTGGTAAAATATTTAAATTATCCGAAAAAAGAGCAATACAACTTCCTGCCGTTGGTTTATTAATGTCTGCTCTATTTGATGTTCTTCCAAAAATTAAGACTATTCACTTTAGTGAAGGTGGTGTAAGAGAAGGTACTATGTATTCCTTACTTCCAAACGAATTAAGGGCTCAAGATCCATTAGTAGTGGCTTCACGACCATATGCCCCATTACTTGCTGAGAAATATCTTCGATTATTACAAACATCATTTCCTGGGAAAGGCGTTCCCAGCATAATCAATAAAAGAATTGCACCTGCATTGTGTAACCTTGCGTTTGTGCATGCATCTTACCCAAAAGAATTACAACCGACGGCGGCATTGCATGTTGCCACAAGAGGTATCATAGCAGGTTGCCATGGTCTATCACATAGGACGCGAGCATTGATAGGGATAGCTCTATGCAATAGATGGGGTGGAAACATCCCAGAAACTGAAGAGAAATATTTACAAGCTCTCGAAAGTGTGGTTCTTCGTGAAGGTTCTAAATTGGAGGCAAAGAGGATTGTCTGGTGGACTAAATATATTGGCACAATAATGTATGTTATATGTGGTGTCCATCCAGGTGGTAATATTAGAGATGGCGTATTTGACTTCCAAGTCGTTGACGGAAAGCAGGATACCGTAAATTTAGAAGAATTGAGGATCGATGAATACACGGGTCAAGTGGTGAATCATGAATCTGAAACGAAAATTAGAGAATTTGATGTTGTTGTTAGGATTAGTAAGGATGATCTTAAGACAAGTGCTAGTGTACGTTCTCGTATAATTACCATGCAAAAAAAAATTAGAAAATTATCAACAAGAAGTGTGGAAAGAGTGAGAATTGGTGTTGAATTCTATGAATGATAAAAAAAAAATAGAAGAAAAACTTATTTAATGTATTACGTACTGCTATTTTAATATAGGGATAAATATGCATGTATTATTTATAATTTTAATGAAAGAATAATGAAAGAATAAATTAAATTGGAAAAAGGGGTTCTTAACGATCGATTTAACTATCTTATGAAAAACTTACGCAGAGTTCAATACAAATATCGTGACATTTAGATTATTATTATTTAATTGATGATCTGATATTCTAAAATTAAATATAATTTTTTGTATTATAATTTATAAATTTATTTATCGAAAACTATTACATTAAAGCGTCAAAATCGTAAAGGCAACTCGGAATCACGGATGGTAAAGAAAAAAAAAAGAAAAACATATATATATATATTTTTCAATTTCTATAAATCTAGGCACCGATGATACCAACAGACTTACCTTCAGCAAGTCTCTTTTGAGTTAAGGCAGCAATGATAGCGGCACCAGCACCGGAACCATCTTCAGCACTAACGTATTGAATTGGATAAGACTTAGCGTCACCCTTTGGCCAGCCGTAGATAGCTCTTAGACCTTCAGCGGCAGCTTCCTTGAAACCTGGGTATCTGTTGTAAACGGAACCGTCGGCAGCAATGTGACCGGTCTTGTAACCTCTCTTTTGACAGATAGCAGCAACACCACAAGAAGCAATTCTAGCAGATCTAGTACCAATCAATTCAGAAAGTCTTCTGATCAACTTACGTTCTGGAACAGTAGTGTTAATACCAAGTTCCTTAACAAAGATTTCATCAGTGTTTTCCAAGTTTTCAAATGGATCATCTTCAATTCTAGATGGGTAAGAAGTATCCATAATGTATGGCTTTTCCAACTTAGAGATATCTTCATTCTTGAAGATCAAACCCTTCTTATGAGTTTCTAGTAAAGCTAGACGTAATAATTCACCTAAGTAGTAACCAGAGGACATCTTTTCGAAAGCTTGTTGACCAGGTCTTGGAGATTCGTCATCAATTTGAATATCGAATCTAGTTCTTGGTAAGGCAACATGTTCGTTATCGAAAGAACCGTATTCACAGTTAATGGCCATTGGAGAATCATTTGGAATATCAGCTGGTAATTTACCTTGTAACTTTTCGATATCGGAACAAACATCGTAATAAGCACCGTTAACACCAGTACCGAAGATAACACCCATCTTAGTTTCACCATCAGTGTATAGAGAAGCAATTAAAGTACCGGTAGTATCGTTAATTAAAGCAACAACATCAACTGGAATGCTCATAGCAGTAATCTTTTCTTGTAATAGACCGACAACATCGTGACCTTCAACATTTGGAATATCGAAACCTTTAGTCCATCTTTGTAGGATACCTTCGTTGATCTTATCTTGAGAAGCTGGATAAGAGAAAGTGAAACCTAATGGTAAAGGTTTAGAGACACCATTTGGAAATTGTTCCTTAATGAAATTATCTAAGGAGACAGCAATGAAATTGAATAAATCATCTCTGTTCTTAGTAGTTCTGTATTCATCTGGTAACTTATACTTAGATTGAGTACTGTCAAAAGTACGGTCACCACCAAGTTTAACTAAGATAACTCTTAAGTTAGTACCACCTAAATCAATAGCTAAGAAATCACCAGCTTCTTTACCGGTTGGGAATTCCATAACCCAACCTGGAATCATTGGAATGTTACCACCTTTCTTAGATAGACCTTTGTCTAATTCAGAAATGAAATGTTTAGTAACAGCTTGTAATTTTTCAGCTGGGACAGTGAAATCACCTTCATAACCGTGGATTTCGTTCAACAATTCTTGTGGAACGTCAGCCATGGAACCCTTTCTGGCAGGTGGTTTCTTTGGACCTAAATGAACCATTGTTTAATGTGTATGAATATAAGTGTATGGGGGTGGTGTATGTATGTATAAAAAAGAATTTATATATATACTTGGGTGTTTTTAAATCTAAATGAAAGAAGTAAAAAAGAAAAAATGAATTTAAAAAAATAAGGGAAAAGAAAGATTTGATTGAATTTAATTTTATTTTTTGACAATAGAAATACAGTTATTTATATATATTTAAATTTCCTGATTCCAGTTTACTTTTTTTTTAAAAAAAAAAAAATAAAAAAGATTGTTGTTGCTAATGAAATGTTATTTATCCAACCTTCTCGAGGGAAAACCTTGTAAGTTCAAAGTAGCAAAGTTGAAAATAAACTGAAATTTTTCCATTTGCGTTGTCCATCACACTGTTTGCTAGCGTGTCTTCCCCCCCCCAGGAAAATTATTTGAAGTACAGACACGCTACTTCGCTCACATTCACACAGAGAGAGAGACAACGAATTTAATTAATTAAATTTTTTTTCAGTGTGGTCACGGTCAAATTACAAAGTTGGATCAATCACTAAACTATAGAAATATTGCAGAGAAAGCAACGAAAACATTAGCCTGTGTGTGTGCCCCACTAGAAAACTGACTGGAACAATTTTTCAAAATTTTAGTATTACGACATCTTTATCTTACGTACAGAAAAAAAGGGAGAGCGTGGGGTTATTCCATGTAAGCGATATCTCTTATTAAAACAAAAAGAGACAGAGACAGAGAAAAAACAGACTTTCTCGCTGAGTGGTTACTGTGTCCCCTAAATGATCCGAGACTTGGGCAGTGTATTGGCGTAGCAGGAACTTACCCCCCTTTTCTTTCCGTTTTCCTTGTTGCGGTTATTATTGAAGGCATTTTCTTTTTTTTTGGCGTTGGAAAATAGACGCTGCCCAAAAAGCAATGCCGCGATGAATGGCAGCAGGACAGGTTTTGTTACGGCAACCAAAAAAAAAGTGGAATTTGTTCAAAGAAAATATTTTCTTGATTATTTTGTTTTCGCTACTGAACTTTGTTTGCTTTCCCCACGGGGATATCAGCAATCAGCTGCGCACAACTCACATTAATAGCGTCAACTAAAAAATTTGAATTGCAAGCAGTAACTAAATCTGGGGGGGTGACAAAGTGATAAAGAGAGTGAAAGAGAGGTATATTTCCACCAATTTGGAGTAAATAAAATGGTGTAATTTCTTCTCCTTTGGCAAATAATTCGGCACCTTGAACGCCGATTACTTTGAAAATAAGAGCGGGGATTTGCATTAACTATCCTTCGCCATTATTTCATTCATACGCGAAAATTATTTAAAAATGAAAATAAAATAATATATGGCCGGGCTTCCACTCCAGTAGTTCCTCCTTCTCTCTTGCCCTCCCTTTTTTTTGTCGTGTTCCTTCTTGCTCTGTTAAGTCGAAGCATCTTCCCAACCCCCCCCACAACATAACGCACCTCAATGGGGGGCCAAAGGAGTTTTTAATACGATATATTTGCGAAATAACTATGGTAGATTAATTAATTCACGTACGATTTAAGTGAGAAGTGACGGAATTGCACATGCATCCACAGATCAATCATTTTGCGGGGGGAAAGAAGTGGGTTTTGTAAACATTTGTCACACTATTATTGTTAAGTTGACATAGCCCTTTCAACATACGTAGATTAGCAACAAATAAGTTGATATGTTGTTCTGTCACTGTAGACCCCTCACCCCTGAAATTCTTTCGTATTGATTAACTAATCGTTAAGTAGGGGGGTATAGTTATCAGCTAATCTTTATAAACAAATTAGAGATTAGCTTATTTATCTTTTATTAAAGCTGTATCTATTATGTCCTTACTTCGAGGTATTATTGTTGACACACCAAGGTAAAAAGAGGTTACGTTATTTAGTTGTTTTTCTTTGCCTTGAGGAGAAGGGAGGCCAAGGAAAAATTGAGGGCAATCTCCGGTCTTGTTAACTCCGCTCTATATATTTGTTTGTTTGTTTATTTGTTTTTTCTTCAATTCATGCACCCCACTTTATTTTTATTAACTTTTTTATTTTCTCCCTTGAGTTACACATACTCGAAGCCCAATTGTTCCGGTAAGGGCACTTCTTAAGCAGACAAGAATGAAAACTTGAACATACAAAGTGAAAACGGGAAGGGAGAATGGAATATTATTATCATTATTATAATTATTATTATCCATTAAATTTCTCCGAGAAATTTGCTAAATAACGCTCTTGCATAATAGATGTATTTATTCCGTTAACAATATATCATACAACTCCATCCCACTTCGGAGTTAACCTCTACAAATAAACTTATCTACCATTTTACTTAATTCATTATTTGTTTGATTATATTAAAGCCCTTTAAAATGTTGTATTCATTTTATTTCAACCATGAATACCATATATGTACAAATATCCATATTTAACTAATGATGTTGGAATAAATGAATGATCTTGATCATAATGTTCAAGTAAATCTATGATAGAATTAAACGGTTTGTTTGTAAATACGCAACCGGATTCTTTGCAACAATGATCTCTCCAATCAATAGCTGTATTATTATTATCATAATTGTCATTATTAGTACCTTCTTCTTGAATTATCTTATTTAAATCCAATTGATCCATTACATCAGTCATTGTCGTCGTAGAATCGCTTATGCTATTGGTTCTTTCACTTTCAGGTGATGGTAACATTACAGTCATCGATGGTGATGTTGTTATACCTTTAAGATTTATGTTGCTATTATCATGAGATAATTGATCATGAACATGTAACATTGAATAATCGTCCTTTGCATATTTCCAAATTTGTTCATCACTTTCAGGTCCATGTTTTAATCTATTCACTAAATGATACTCTAACATATGATTAATTAAATCTTCTCCGGGACGAAATTCAACTTCACAATCATCATATGGACATTGCACTCTAACTGCACCTTCCTGACTTTCAACTACATGACGTACAGCCATTTCTTCCTCTTCTTCTTTTTCTTCCTTTTCCTCTTCCTCTTCTTGATTTTCCTCTTCTTTTTGTTTCAACTTTAATTTTTTTTCCTCTTTTAATTTTAACTTCTCTTGTTGTAATAATTCTTTTTCATGTAACCTTTTGGCCTTTTTAGCATGGGATTCTAAATGTCTCTTTAATTGTTGATTGGTAATAAACCCTTTATCACATAAAGTACATTGACGTGGTTTTACTTGTAGATGAGTCCATTTATGTACAGCTAAATGACATGGTCTAATGAATCGTTTCCCACATCCTGGCTCATCACAAATATATGGTCTTTCATTAGTATGTGACGAGCGATGTTGTTGTAAAAGACATGGTCTACTGAAACTTTTTCCACAATTATCATACGTACAAACGTATTTTCTTCTACCTTTAGTTTGTTTAGTTGTAACTTCACTCATGTTTTAGATGTTGTAGATGGGCGTAAAAAGATATAATTTCCTTGTCACTAATTATTTAGTGTTTGCAAATTACTACTATTCTTACTGATGGGATAGTATACCTTAAGATATGCTAAAGAAGTACTTCTTATTCTCTACGTTTACGTATACATATGTATATATATAGCGTTTATTCATTTATGTAAAGTAGATAATGGAACGGACATTTCACTATGCAAGCTACTATTTGAACACGCGAGTAAGAAAGTGAATAAAAATTGTGACTAAAAAAAAAAGACGTTTGATTACGTAACGAGAATATATATGTATAATATATGCGGTGTGTGGGTGTGTATATCTTGTAGACTATAGGTTGCAAGATGCACAACAAGGCAGTTCAGCAAAGCTTACACATAGTTAAAGCATTAATATATTGTTAAAAATGTGACTCAGCTTTACAATTCCTTGGAATGTAACAAATAAGACAAAAAGAAAAGAATACTATACATACGATTGAATTAATGGCTGTATTGCATACGATTTCACTCAGTGACATACTGTTATGGGGTCCCGCTATTCATCTTTCTATGAAAGTTTTATCTCTATACTTCCTTAACAGAAGTCATGATTTAGAAGTTCATAAGCTGGCTATTTGTGAGGCATACAAGACTTCCCAATCATTCATACATGCAAAACCAGGTAGTGATGTGCTGAAGGATGCTTTCAAAGCGTGTGGTGGTAAGTTCACGGTATCTGCTATTTATTACGGCCTAGCTGCTGCAGCTTTAATCACTGGAGACGAACTACAAACTTTAGGAGTTCAACCCTCAATCCAAAATACCACTATAATTGAATATAATAGAAAAAATTTGGCAAGAATACCTTTTTTAATTTTCTTAAATGTTCTGAATGAAGGTAATTGGATAGATTGGGATGTGGCACTCTATCTTTCAGTGCTAGACTTTTAAGCTCGTTGTAATTTCTTTCCTCTGAGCTTGGAAAGACTGTAAAGTAACTTTAGTTGTGCTGTTCTTATCAATTGTATTGTCAATTTTAGATACAGACGATAGTTCTGTGATGAATTTTCAGGGTTAATTTGCATCAAAACAGTCTTTAAGTTTCTACAAAATGTCGTGATGTCAGTTATGAATTATTTAGGTAAGAGGAATATTTTAGAATTCAATATATTGGTATGTAGCGGGTTTTTTTAGCAATAATGCAAAATTCTTAGCTTCTAACTCTCAAGTAACAGTGAACATTAAAAATTGAACTTAATTTGTTGAATGAGAAGCTCTTATCATTAATGGTTTTACAATATCCGCCAACTATTGTTCGCTACTCAGATCATTGATATATTCTTTCTCACAGATGGAGAACACAACCGCTTCATTATTTTTTGAAGGATGTACCTTGATTTAATTTGATATCCTATTTATAGTACTGATCTCGTTATATCTGCCACCGTCGAATTATGGTGAATACGCTTTAGTGAATTAGTAAATCAGATTTTCTAACAAAAAGAAATAACAAATCGTCGAGAGAAATATAGCTAATTTTCTCTGCACATGCGACTCATAGCCAGAGTCATGTTTAGCAATTGAATACTGGTAACTATAGTAAGCCTTTCTTACGTAGACCTACATACAAAATAATATGTGTCATATACCAGAGATATATGATGAATCCTGGGTACAAGAAATGTCTCCGTCATTTAACTGACAACCATAGGTGATAAATAGTTCAGAGTAGCCATCAAAGTGTCCTAACAGGACATCAGTTAATACTACCGTCTTTAACTTTTCTTTCTGAAATGGTTGATATTCTGTTGAAATAGACTTACCTGATAATAGACCTAGAGGATAATCAAGGCAGCCTAGCGGAAATGATGAGGCAATGAAGAAATGTGCTGATATATCCATTTAGAGATTATAACTAAGTTGCGAAATCTAACAAATATTTATAATACTAGTAACATCAACGCATTGATGGTGTCAATGTCCACGATTTAAAGGAAGAGTTTGAAACTCACTCTTCGTCTTTGGGTCCAACTGAATAAAATATTCTGTGATATCAGCCCGTAATGCATGTGTTTATATATTTTCTTCTCCCTTTAATCAACATTCTTTAAAATTAAAGTGTTGTATTCCAGGTTAATATTTGCGGGTCATTTTCTCATCAAATTCACAACATTAGCCAAGACTGGTGAAAGCTAAGTTATTATATTGGTAGGTCTTTATTATCTTTGATCTGAATCTCACTCTACATTACACAATAGTTACAAATAAGGGGCATGTCAAATATTTAAATATCATATTTATAGACTTGATTAACTGTCTGTTTTTAAAATAGCATATCGTATTACAAATATGAGAATAAGAAATAATAACCTGGTTAAAATTACTCTTGAGGGACACCCAATAATACACAAGATTGTGATCCGCTGTATTGAATCTTAAGAATTATTCATTTTCTGTCACCCATTTGTTAAATGGCATTACTTACTTAAAACACGACATATAAGATAACGTTAAGAATATATATTCATACAAAAAATAAATCAGAAGCTTAGCTGTTTAGATAAATACAGGGCGTCTTTCTCACGTTTGTAACATCAAATACATATTTTATTTAATAATTTATACCAATTCAGAGGTATTTATGGAAAACAGTTTATTTTGTAATATGGTTCCAATATTTGGAGGTGATGGTTAAAGGTTCATCTAAAAAATGTAATCAAAAGGTCCTACGAATAACATCAACTCAAAAAAGGACAACTATTCTTTGAACTCTTGCCCCAGACTTTATTATGTTTCATATAGTACTAATATTCATTTTTAAATTTCGTCACTTTTGTTTTTTTGTTTACACCAGGTATTTATTCTTTTTATTCACTAAAAGCACTAAGCTCAACAAAATATAAAATATTAGTTAAATTTTCAAAACTAAAAAAAACAATAGCCTTTATTCAAAATAATTAACTTTTATGTTCATTCAAATCATCAGAACTCAATATTTTGATGTAAAAAAAACCATTAATATTATTATTAAATGTACTTACAAAGTATATATATATGTACCGAAATGTGTATATTATTTAACACCTATACGCTTTTTCTTTTGTTTAAGACCGCTAAGAAATGAATCCGCATACTTTTTAATTTGTAAGAGCATACATTGGGAATCATCACCACAACCACATTGACATGTTTGCCAAATGATATCTATTGCATGGATCAACCATAACTTATCCATATCATTCATATGATCGACAGCATTCTTATCATGTAGTACTCTTGATATTGGGTGTCTTAGATCCCATTGCCATCCGATCAATAATTCTTCACCAACTTTAATATCCCTGATAGCGTTGATCATGAAATAAACCTCAATCTTATTAGTGACTTGAGATCGAATCTTGATTGTACTCATAACAACATTAGGATAACAACTCCTCCTTATGTATTTGATGCAATTTTTAGGACTGTTGCCATTAACTGCTCTAGCATCAATTAGAATTGGCCAATGTGGATGAAATATGACTTCTGGTTGTGTTGTAGCCCATATTCTATATTGATTATCTGGATTCTCAATGTAATTTTTTTGGAAATCAATCATACCTGGGAATTCCATAATATAACTTTTATTTGCAAACGGTTTTTTTGCAAACACACCCATAGTTTTTTCATCAACTAATTTACTCTCAATGGAATCTTGTGATACATCCAAATTTCTATTAATTTGAACTACCCAATCATCATTGCAATGATCCTCCACAAACAATTTAATATATTTATCACGATATTGGTAAGTCTCTAGGGGTTCCTGACTAGTTTCTGAATTTGATCTCGATTGAATCAATTCTGTTTTTAATAAAGGTGGTGATTGTGTGGGACTATATTTGTCATCACTATTTAACGGTGAATGTAAACCACTAGACGTTTGTAAAGGTTCATTCTCACTAATATTTATATTATTTTTATTTTTATTTTTTAATTTTTCGTTATTAAGAATATTCAAGTTTAATTGTTTTTGTATTTGTATCTGTATTTGTAAATTTAAATTACTAATTTTTTCCTTTTGTTGTTTCTGTAATAATTTAATTTTTTTATTAATCTTATATGATTCAGAAGATAATCCAGGTTTACAATTATTACAATAAAATTTTGTTGGTAATATGTCTAATTTATTTTTTAAACCATAACATTTCATATGCTGCCATCTATGACAATGATTACATTGAACTAAATTATCTCTAGATAAAAGTATTGGATCCAGCTTATTATTTACACCACATTTACAAGTAATTATATTATCATTTTTAGAAACAACATAACTATTTTCAACCGCCCACTGAGATATCTCATGATCATTATTATTACTGCTACTATTACTACCAGAAGATAATGATCTTGATTGTTGTTGCTGTAAGTTACCTCTTTTCAATGGTAAAGGTCTCGTAACAGCAGCATTCAATGCAGCAGCAGCAAACATACCTCTTTGTGAATTATTACTAGTATTGGGTATTTCTTGTTGTTGTATATCACTTGTTTCATTATCCGAATTATTTAATTTTTTCTTTTTTTGTAAATGATTATTATTTTCTGTCATTTGTGAATTATTCAATAATACAATTGATGCAGGACCTGGTGATATTAAAGGATTAAATAAATTTTCCTTTTCAGTTTGTTTATGTTCATCCTGAATTTGTTTTCTAATTTGTAATAATTTCGATTGTAAAGCCGCAGGGCAAGGGGATGGCGATGCCATATTATTCCCTTTCTTATATTGTGATGATTGTGTTATGATTGGGAATTAAAAAGCGACCAACAAAACAAACAAACAAACAATAAAATAAAATTAAATAAAAACAAAATGATAATGGATGAGGCTAATATATTAATCTAATTTAATGGATATATATATATATATATATATTTTGTTATTAATTCTTTTTTGTTTTATCTTATTATAAATTTTTTTTTCGTATACCCTTTCTATCGTTTAATTTTAAGGATAT